AACATCAACAAGTTCTCAGAAGTTCAAATCTGACCTTAGATTTCAGATTTGACCTTTCGTTGACCTTCAGTGGCCTTGAAAAGGTCAAAAATTTGATTTTCTAAATTGATATTTTGGATTTAAATTTAGGTCAGCTAATTACAAAAGACCTACTGAGATCTGAAAAAGTGAAATTTTCAAGGTCGAAGGTCATCAAATTAGGTCACAAACAATGTTATCTAAATTTTCCCTAAGTTCAAGACTACAAATAAATTCTTGTCATCAAAATTGCAGGAAAACCGCTAACCTTGTCAACTTGAAATGTTTACAGATGCAAGAGCAGACTAGTGCCATTAGGTCTGATTAGGTTTTGGCCATGCTGGGTAAATTGCATGGTGGCCAGTTTGCTCTTCAAAGTGCGATATTTATCACTGTGTGTCTTGTATATTGATAGAAACATGGGTAAGAGGCGCTACAATGGGGTAACACATGGTGATATTCTAAAATACATATTTTTACTCTGCTTCTGTACTTTATACCACTTAAATGCATTTTGTGTATGACATCGATTGATTTTTAGAATAAATAACTACATTTCATCAAAAAGAAAAAAGATTATTGAAAACGTCAAACATTTCTTTGAAATCCATTATTGCACAGTGATTTTTGAGAGCGAAATGTATGCTAAATTGGCATTGATCTGAGTGTATAACGGAATTAAAGCTCTTTTAAACGAAAATGTAAATGTGTGGAAAACCTTTCACTGTGCATCATGTCAACGAAATGTTCTTCATGCAGTTGAATTATCTTCTGGACAGGTGATCACACAGAAGGAGAGACCTGCGTATCATATCCTTACTAAATATAAACAAAAATGACAAATGAGAAAGGAAAAAAGTGTAAAGCAACCTAGTGGGAAAAGCAAACTGTAAAGTGTAAAACTGGCAAACAAAATCAAACCTGAATATCCCAAGACAATAATCTAATATGGGAATAAACAGCATCCACACCATTCAATGACAAATTCCTCATCAACGACCACAACTCAGAGGGACATTCCATTCATACTGAAGTCATTAAAATACATGTTGAAGAAAAATTGAAAATAATGATATCCAATACTCATAAGATGAAAAATAGTTGTAGATACTATAGTACTCATAAAAGCTGCAGATAACGTTTCTTCATCGGGAAAGCAAGCTGTCTCTTTGTCAGATATTAACTAACGAGCTGGTTCAGAGCACCAGCATGTCAAACTATGTGAATGGGCTCCGTATCCACAATGTTGCGAGTTCGAGACACATGTGCTCTTTGCGTTTAATAATCAACAAAAATCACTTAAACCAGCACTAAAACTGTGTGTCAGATCGATATGTATAGGGTTTGGAAACTAATTGTACCAACAAAAAGAACTTTAAAAACACTGCTACAATATCAACATAAGCTTTCAATAGTAGTGACGATGCAGAAACATGCAAAATGTCACCACACCTTGTTAAGTATACAGTACACATTAACCACTGAACAGTGTCAAGATTAACGTTCGAAGCTATTACAATATGTCACCCAATCACTAGTGGTGGTGACATAAAAATAATGCATAGAAAAATCTACTGAACCAAAATAAACTTTGTGATAGAAGAACTGATTGTTTACTCTAAATTTTCAACTAAATATATTTCTTATAAGCAATGTTTTATCGAAAAGAAAAAATAATTTCATGTTATATAAAATCAAATAAATTAATTATATATTTTTTTTCGTTGTGTTAGTTACCAGTAATAATAAACCTGTTTATAAAGTGGTGTTAACTAGACTATAGAATTTAACAGTCATAAAACCTAAAAAAAAAATATACCAGGAAGGGACCATTGTGAATGTAAATGTATAAAGCATGGATGCCATAGGAAACGGAACAAAAGTTATAACAGAACCTAGCATGGAGAAAGTGTAACTGGTAAATTGTAATAAAAGTAGTATAGATCATGATCTAACATGACATAGTATGCCTTACAACTCATCTTCCCTAACATTATTAAAGACTACTAAATTATATTATAGTGATCCACTCGATTATGCTGGTTACCTAAACGGTTTGTTTCGGTAACAAAATGTGGGAACATCGAAGGTATGATTTTTCCTTTTTCCTTTCACACTTTGTAGGCAGAATTCCCACGACATTTTTTCTCACAAACGTGTATCAGTATCATATGTTTAAGAAAATGTGCATATTTGCAAACAAATAGTTCAGAAGACAACATAATCATACATTTAATTCCTCACTTAAGTTACATAAACGGTATTTCGAAAAAACAGTTCAGATCTGCACTTTTAACCCAAACCTTTATGTAACTTAAGTTAGGAATTAAATCGACGATTCTGTCGTCTTCTGAGCTATTTTTCGCAAACATGTACATTTTCTAAGACATATGATACTGATTCATGTTTGTGAGAAAAAAACGTCGAGAGGATTCTGCCTACAACGCATGAAATAAGGAATAAGGACAAATCGTTCCTGTAATCGAGCGAATCACCAGTGTATTTACAGGGTGAGATAATTCATATTATGGCATCTACTTTGACAAGTTGGTTCATCCAGTTGTCAGGTAAGAGATTTTCAGGTAATTCATTTTCTTCCTGATCTTCAACGTTTGGTGTAATAGTGTCATCAACTGGTTCAAATTCATTGTCGCTCTCATCAACATCATCGTGCTGATGGGTTGGACAGTTCTCACACACACCTTTGCGGCACTTACATGAACTTCCACGAATGAGATCCTGTTTCTTACAACTACATCTCATTGAGTCACACGCTCCTTTAAAACTACAAGCAACAAGCTCCATTATTTCTTGTGGGGCAGGACCGTTTTCCATCCACTTAATTTGTAGTTTATTCCCTTTGAATGTCCAACCATGTAATGTGGGGGATTGATAATCAATCATTATTTGCCTGCGTTTCGCCAAATATAGGCCTAATAGTTGGCTCTATTTATATGGAGAATGAGAGCATCCTTTGTTGGTGGTAAATGCTTTGACTGTATTTTATATTTATCTACAAACTTCCAAGATGGCCGCCAGAATGCAAGATGGCTATCGGAAAGTTAATCAGCTCTAGAACTTCATACCATGTAACATGTGTGAAAATTGAAGTAAAACTGTGAAGTGGTTTTTCTGGAATCGTGATTACAAGATTTATCTATAAACCTTCCAAAATGGCCGCCAGAATGCAAGATGGCCACTGAAAAGTTAATCAGCTCTAGAACTTCATACCATGTAACATGTGTGAAAATTTGAAGTTAATCTGTTGAGTTGTTTTCCTGGAATCACGATGACAAGATTTATCCCAAAATTTCCAAGATGGCTGCCAGAATGCAAGATGGCCGCCAGAATGCAAGATGGCCGCCAGAATGCAAGATGGCTGCCGAAAAGTTATTCACCTCTATATTTTCTTACCATGTAACATGTGTGGAAATTTGAAGTAAATCCGTTTGGATTTCCTGAAATCGTGATGACAAGATTTATCTTAAAACTTCCAAGATGGCTGCCAGAATGCAAGATGGCCACCGAAAAAAATAATGAGGTCTAGGACTTTTTACCATGTAACACGTGTGAACATTTGAAGTACATCTGTTATGTGATTTTTGTGGAATCGCGATGACAATATTTATCTGAAGAAAATTCCAAGATGGCCGCCAGAATGCAAGATGGCCGCCGCAAAGTTAATCAGCTCTAGAAATTCTTACCATGTAACATGTGTGAAAACTTGAAGTAAATCCGTCTGATGGTTTACCTGGAATCGTGATGACAAGAAAGTGACACTTCAGAATGCCACCTTGTCTAACCCCGTTTTGGTGCCTTTTGCCCCTGTTTACATCAATAGAAGAGGTGTTTTCTTTAAGAGGGAAGTCTGTTCTTTCAAACAGTACCATCATTTTATGTGGGAAAGTACCGGACAACAAAACTTTTTTTCAGAGGGTCCAGATCAGGGACTATATGGCCTAAGGGTCGATGTGCATGACATTTTATATGGCAACTCTGATATTAGTAAATATGCATGGAAACGGATGGTTCTGTCAAAAGTCTCAGATGTTCAACTCCAGAGAACATATACAAAAAGCCTTATGTACAGTGGTTTAAATCACTTTCGTAAATTGAACTTTAATACACTGAAACCTAATATTTGGTGGTGTGTGGCACAGCAATTTCCAAGCGCCATGGCTTCTTGTATTATAATGTTCAAACTGTTAACTGGGGAACATATGCTCAATAGTAAATATCGTGGAGGAGATAACAAATCCAAATTATGTACAATGTGTGACTCATATGAGACAGAAACAGTAGAACATTTCTTATTCTACTGTAAAGCTGAATGCTACATTCCAGCCAGAGAGAAACTGGCCAAATTCTGCACTGAACTGAAAGTGAGATTTGATTGTGACACAATCCTTGGCATTAATGATACAAATGATCAACATACTATGTTGAAGTTGAAACATGTTGCAGAATTAGTCAAAATCAACTATAATCTCAGAGCTGTGAAAATAGATAACACTGTCTGACTCTGAGACACACATATATATATATATTATATACAAACATCTTGTAAATAGGTTGTCTGTCCATATGTTAATTTTATTATATTTGATGTAATTGCATATAAATAATATGTATCTCCTAATTAAATTAGGGCAATAAAGCTATACATGAGTAAAGCCATTATAAGTTTGACACGTTTCAGACCCTTCTATGATTTAGACAAATTGTCAGAAAATTTCAAGTGCCAATATGTTTATTGAATTCAAATAACAATAGAATCTTTAAAATTGTGATCTCGGATCAAACTCTAATGAAAGGAGTTCCCAGATTGTAAATTACATGTATTTCAGCTTTTAAGTTCATGTGAACTCAAGGGATGTATCCATTTATCAACCACTTACTTCGTAATGGTAATTTATCTAAGGAATAAATAAGTTAGTTTTGTGTCATGTGAAATGCTGACAGAGTCCATAAAGTTGTCTTACCTTTAAATGTTGTAACAGGTACATATGTGACTAAGGTGTACAGTTTGTGGACAGAATCTTCATCCTCGTTCCTCTTGCGGGCCAATCGAACACGGATTCTGTACGCAACATTCCTGAAACAAAAACAGTATATTTTTATTTGAGGTCTTAAAACAATCAGGGTTTTCATTAGCAGTAGGCAACAGGCGATTTTCAGAGGTTGTTTTCACAAAAATTGCCTGTTGTTTTTGGAGTGTTTTCAACTTTTCCATGTTAAATTTATGATTTCCATTAATTTTGCCTATTGTTTTCATTTATTTAGCTTATTGCGAGAAATTCTAGTTAAACCCCTGACAATGATCAATATCCTTGGAGAATCCTTGAGGAAATACTGAAAAGTGATGGCATAATATTGACGTAGGCCTCAGTTGGTTGATCCCTGATCATGTGTACATAGTACATCCAGTTTAAGTTTGATCATCATTGGCCACGTCACTACTGGTTGATAAAACACAACTTTTCTTTTTCTACAAGTTGGAATGATAAATTCTACATGTGACATTGGAACATTTTTGACAAAAATAGTGTGTGACAGTCAGTTTTGATAATGATGTGGTTATTTTACTGTGAAGCAAATAGTCTATATTTTGGAATAAAAACATGAACACAATTTAATTAATGTTTTGGTTCTGAGAATTTTAGTTGATTTTTTATTCCTAAATTAAGCCTATACATTTATACATATAAAATAAAACAATGTCGAACCTTTTTAGGTACCATAATAAAACAAACAATGTTAAATATCACACTTGGAAGAGCAAAATGGCCACTAAAATCTTATCAGATCTTCGCACTAACATGACAATATCTTGAAAATATAGGACTTTTTCGAAGTGGGATAAATATACCCATGCCTTAAAACACATTTACATACCTGACACCCTGTTGCCAGACAGCCTTGTTCAGCTTGGAGTCGATTCTTACATCAGGAGTTCCCATGGCCTTCTCTGCAAACTTCCTGATCTCCTTAACAGCTCTGGGTGCACGTCTCTTGAATGAGCTGGAAATGAAAAAGTTTAAATAAGAAATATGTTGTCTGGTTTTAACAGGACTTAATGCCTAATTAAGTGTCCTAAAAGACAAAACAGAACAATTTTAAGTTGCTTATACCATTGATAGACTCTGACAAAATTGCTTTTTTCTGTAAAATCTCTACGATGAAAGAATATTACTCAAGTGTTGAAAGTATTTTCAATATTGAATACACTGTACTTCCATTTCAATTTTTTCAAAATAATATCTTAATAAAAATTATGAAGATAGGCCTCAGTTGGTTGATCCCTGATCATATGTACAAAAGCACATCCAGTTAAAAGATACCTCATCATTGGCCATTCACCATTCACTGCATTCAATTGAATGTATTATCAGAAAATTCCAGATGTCCATTAAGAATGTAGAATACTGTACTCCCGGTAAATTTTGACGCTACAAATGTCATGTTTTTTCAAAATTGCAATTTCATGGGTTTTATACTTCGCAGATTTGAGATATGGCCTCATAAGCCAAATCAAAACATTAGATATTTTAGGCTGTTTTTAAATAATTGCCCAACAACACTAGACGAAACATTTCACACTGAACAAAATATGTATATAAAGAAATATATCAAAGTCCCGCATAAATACTAATCTAACAAATCTAACTGTTAATATATAGCTTATTTGGCGACATTGATATTTTGATGTGTTCCCTAATATGCAACTTTATCAATTTACGCTAATGATTTGGAAATTGCAGATGAGAAATATCTAGCGGTAAAGTCAAAGTAACTGTAAGTGGGGTTATTTTCCATTCATACTATTGTCGTATGAAAATACGCAAAATTTCAGTACTTTAAAATTTGCAAATTACAATTTTCCTGGAATCATTCATGTCAATGTGGGTGCAAATTTTTATATTAGATAAAAAATGAGTGAATAGACTTACACTCCGTGGATGCGCTTATGCATGTGGATGGTGTACTCCCGAGTGACCACCTCATTCATGGTCGACTTCTTCTTGTCTCCTCTATTACGGGGAGCCATCTGCAATGGAAACAGAAGGTCACAGATGAAAATATCAAAAATGTAATAAGTAATGTCATGTCTTGCTATACAATACTTGTTTGTGGTAGCTCCATTTGGGCAAACCTAAGTCTTGAGCCAATGAGTCTTTAGTCAATGACAAGCCCTAGACTCGAGGATAATCTCGACTTGCGTTGCAAATAGAATCTAAATTCAAAAGAAAAATGGAAGCTTACGATGGCAACCTAATTTATAGAGAAAACAACCAACACTTCGATAATTCATCACAAACAACCAATGTTTTAGGTTAATATGCATGGCAAGTTACAGTAAATAACGCACAATTTATTAATTCAACTGTAATAAAGGCGAGATAGGAGTTAAAATTTGTAGAAAATTAAAAATTTCCGTAAATTTTCGATTAGGTCAATGCCTCTTTTCAAAGTTATATTTCTCCGTGAACCTGTCGTTTTTAGTGCCAAAATGATTAATCAAAATGTTGAGAATTGATAACAGATACATAATTCGAGGAAGGTTGGTCTGAAAAGGTTTTATTATGGAAGAGATTGGGTTAGATTGTGGAAATATTTTCTGTATTTTGTTACCTTGAATGCAATATGGTGAAAGGAAGTACAAATGCATTCTGGGAGCTGATGTTACAGCGACATCTTTACAAACTGTTAATACTCTTGTTATAGCATAGCGACATCTATATATAATGTAAAAATCTGTTCTTGTGCGGTTAAAATGAATTCTATTCTATAGTAATAATAGTCTTAAATTTTTAATAAAATAATTCTTTAATAACGATAAGCAATACAGCAGTCCACTAGTTTGAACGGTGCTCCAGGGAAAGAAAAGCCATGATATAGACAAATTGATGAAACAATTAAGGTAGGCTTCCCAAACCCCGGTCGCAGTGGCGGAATTGCACTGGGACATGTAGGAATGGAGAAATATTTCAAATCTTCATATGAATCCTAGGAGGGCTCTAGGAAATGTCGAAGGGGGAGGGCCCGGAGAAGGGTTTTTAGGATGCTTATTATCTTGATTAATGAATTTTTTCTGAAAATAGGTTATACAACTAAAACCTTGTTAATACCAAGGGTGGTAAAGTTACCCATTAGCTATAGACTATAATCCCTGGATCACCAAGTATATCCTCTGTCAAGAAGAAAGTTTGAATCAATACTCCCTACGAAAATCAAAAATCATCTGCTGAATACGCCATCTATAGAAAATGTCAAAACTGTCATTCTGATTTCGCCAGATGGCGGGAGGTTAAAAAGGTAAAAAATTATTTTCAGGAAAAATTTCACATCAGTCACATCGAATGTTAGAGTTGATCCATACATACACTTTTTCGTTCACGGAGTTACCAAAATCGAACCAAATTGAGATTAGTTACAGTAACTGGACTAATATCACATTTTGTTATGGCCGAAATTGCAAATCAAAGCTCCATCATGGAGCTTGCAGTGTTCAGAAATTATGATTCACTTTTTGGATGATATATTGTGTCGAGTAAGATTGTTTATTTGTTTGTTTGTTTGCTTGCTTGGTTGTTAGTTAGTTTGTTTAAATCTAATACCTTTTTTTTAAAATAATTAATACTAAAATATCACTCCAGATCAAATGTGTATTTGTCTGTCTGACATTTGTTTGTTTGTTTGTTTTTTGTTTGTTTGTTTGCCTAAAATCCAATTTTTTAAAATAATTATAATTAATAGTTTGTCTCCATACGTAATGGCTATCAAATGAGACGTACAGAACATATCTATCTTCACTAGTTCATTTTATCCGAAAGATTGATGATAAAAGGGAAATCCAATACATCAAAAAGGACCATAATAAAGTGCCGACTCCATCCTTAAAATAAACATGTCAGTAGTTTTAACTTATCAGTTCCGCGACAAATAACTTTTAATAAAACTTTTCAATTCTTTTTGGCTCGAAAAATATTCAACGCGCACAAATAATTGATTAACAAATTTAAGAAAAGTATACGCAGTCGGCAGGATTCGAACCTGCGCGGGGAGACCCCAGTAGATTTCTAGTCTACCGCCTTAACCACTCGGCCACGACTGCAGTTGATGTACGGATGACAACTCGTTATATACTTATATACTGCACTTTATATACGAACGTGAACATTGCACAGAATTGGTCGAATAGCCGATAGATGTCATTCATTGATTAAACATGACGTCATATTTGAGATCTTAAGATAAATCTGACGTCATGACGTCAGTGCCATAGAAACTGAGATTGTCTTATTTTATTTTGACGTCATTCCAATGTAATGAACCAGTTATATCACCAAAAGTTATCATATTTTGTTTGAAATTGGCCGAAAAGTTAAAGGTATGAGGATTCTAATCTCAACGGAATCAAACAGATCTACCTTCAAAGTTACAGAAACCTGAGATGACTAAGATACCATATGATTTTAAGTACCTCTACCAGACCGTTGAATATCCTCATTTCACCATTTTGACGCCATTTCTAATGGATTTCAATGGAGTCATGCATGAATTCCTCATGATTTTTTCAAAACAAATTGGCCGAAAAGTGTGCATGTGTACATTGCTTAAAACATGTTAAATCAGTAAAGGTTGATGTCTAGTTATAGAAACCTGAGATGACTAAGGTGGCAAATCAATATCATTCGCACAGTAAGCGTTCGAAAAATGTCTCCATTATAAATCCCATAGGCTTTGGAAAACCGGAAGTAATGGTTCTGCGCATGCGCAGTGAAATATTGGACAACTTTTGTGCAATGACTCATTTCGTACTTATCAATAAGTTCATCATATCATTCGATTTATAGTTTTATCAAAATCGAAGTGGACTTTATTCTCTTTCCAGTCATTTCATAGATATCGGATCTATGTACCAATCATAGAGTGGCCTTTATTGGTCCTGATTGAGTGGTAGTATGAAAACAATTTTTTATTTCACTAAAAATGACCTTTTAGCTTTTTTTACATAGGTTTACATAGTTCACATGACCATGAATAGTTCAAAACGTTTGAAATAGTAAATCACACTACTATACCTAACACCTAGAAATGCATAAGATACTTTGTTTGTCTAATTGAATTGTTTAATATATTTTTGAAAGTACCTTAATTAACATCTAACTTTCAACCGATAAACCATTAATAAGGAACAGACAAATAAAAACAAATACATAATCATTACTAATAAGCCAAATGGGTTGCTCATGAACACCAAATGCAATGTATAGTAGAGTGTAAATGTAAAAATAAAAACATTTATACATGGCTTAAGTTCATTTTAGTTTGTATTTAAGTTGTCTATCGCATGTGTGGCCCCTTATATTCTTATGCTCCTCTGCCATGTTATTTTCGAAAATAAATTCCCTAAATTACAAAAGGCCATAACTTTGCTGCACATTATTCATAACTATCTGAAATATACAAAGGTTAGGCCTGTACATATGTTTCTATTTTTTCAGTTTACTGTTGCAATATAGTCATTCGATATTCTTATTTTTTAAATTCAAAGTAGTTCCAAACATTTAACATTTTACTGTAACATAATGTGTTTGAAAGCTTATTTGATAACTTGTTTTTGTAATTAAACCTGGTTAATTGGTTCTATTTTATAACTTTTTAATTAACTTGCCCGAGTGCATATATTTTGGCAACTATTTCTTATCGACACGACATTACGACATTGACATTCTAGTATAGTATGATGCGCATTCTGTAATACTTTAATAAGAATATATTTATGATCAACTCTCGTATGACCATACGTATTACTTTTTACAATTCTATTATGGCTCGACATTTTTGTCACGGATTTCCAGTGTTCCCTTAACCAGAATATCGTCAAAATACACTCATCAAAAATCTTTCCAAGCCAATTCACAATTTCCATCAATATTTACATTTAACATGTTGAAAATAAAAATAAAAGGATTGAGTCCAACTATGTCGGACGGGCTGCAAGGCGTCGCCTATTCACAGGCGCGATCCCACTACTGCTCGACATGGGGACTTTTGTCTGCTGCGTTTCCGCCCTGGACCTGTACGTCCCTCCTTAGGCAACCTGGGCACCCTAGGCTCCCCAGGGGTGACCATATTGATGCCGAGCTTAGTGCGGACGCCCGATCGACATAGAGCACCGACAAGCAGGACTCCCGCCCTCAAACCGTTCCACAACCCCAGCCTCCAAGTAACTGGATTACAGGAGCACGCCACGACTCCCAGCTGACATCTATAGATTCATTTTAGCGATTTCTCCAAATGATTGGAATACTGATATACAACATACACACCTTATACTCTCACATGTATATTGTATTGTATTGCATTGCAATGCAATGCATTGTATTTGTATTCTATTGCATATCGTAAGCCAAGTAATATTTTCTACAAAAAGAAACATAATTGCACATCCATTTTTATCTTTGAATCAGCAAGCTAGAAAAGCTAGAACCTGCACGTTATAGACAATAAAATAACCAAATATGTTAATGTCAATCGATTTGATGTTTACCTTACTTATTTTCGATGTCAGTTAGTTTTTTGAAAACAAAAGGCATCGTATAGCAAACTGTGAAGTATAAGTTGTCCCGTTTTGCCCCAGAGACAGTTGTCCAGCATTCCCCCAAGCAATGCATCGACCATATTTGTACATTTTCCAAAGTATGCCCTTGCGTTTTGATAGCCACCCCTGGTGGCAACGAGCATAAAGTTCCCAATTGACCAACTTTATTTGTTTAGCAAAGAATTCATATAATCAAGGTCAGGCGAACTTATAACTTATAAGCGAGTTGAATGTAAGTCCCCATCACTAACAATGCCTTTGTATGGGGTGTACATTCACACAATGCGAATTCCATGTTTAACAATTAATATTTTCAAGTATGACTCAATCGCAGCTTAGTTCTTTTATCATATTCGCTTACCAATTTGATTTTCAATTATGAAAACGTCATCTCTTGGAAATCTAAGATGTTCTATTATAAGTTACAGAAGTCCTTCTCACTTGGGATTATACTTTTCAAATATTGACGTAATCTTTTGGAGTATTGTTTTTCTGTTTGAAAATGAGTTTAAAACGCTTAGAAAATGCAATAAATACTTTGGAATTCATTTAAGAGAATTTAAATGCTACAACTAATATTAACTCAGGGAATGAAAGTGCCATTTTATTTGTTCAAAGTTTATAGGTATTCGATCAGGAACTTGGCACCCCTTACCAAAGTCAGTAAAGAACTAAAATATTTAAAGTTGCCCCACTAATTTCAAAGTTTGATAACGGTACCTTTACAACAGTCGCATGGCAACGTATTGCATTTTATGCCATTTATTTAGTCTATTTATTTTAGGACTGGCAAGAGCCTGAAACTGACCAAATCTCTAAAAACTCAGAAAACTAGTTTAACTATACTAAACTTTGCATATAACAGTAGTTTATCAGTAAGTTTTATTTATTATTTTATTTTATTTTAGATAAGGCTTTGACTAGATTATTTTTATTTGATCATTCACTATACATTGTATCTTTTATATTAAACTATGTGTCATTTGTATTTTTAGATTCTGAAGGGAGCGATGGTAACAGACTGTCCATTGCAGAGAACCTTTCTGGAAGGTCTTCCATCCATTTGAAACATTTATCCTCGATTTCTTTCTTCCACGTATCTTCAGACGTTTGGAGATTAAGCGCGTCTAAACCATGCGCTAGTAGTTGCGCATCGTCATTTCTTTTTAAAGCCTTTGCCAAGTTTATAGTACTTTGATTGATTTTGGTTTTTTGTTTGCCACTAGGTGGTAGTTCTATCGCTGAACCTATCAACCGTGAATCAGCACTTTTACTTTTATGAAGAGTCCTGACGTCACTTCCGGTTACTTTGATGTCCTCCGCCTTTATGTATCGTTTATACCTGTTACTGTAGGCACTTAGGTCAAATCCTTCCTTTGTGGGTAACTTATAACTTGAAGTTCCAGAATTTGGACTTGAGGATAATAATTTTGAAGAACTTAAACTATTATTTCTAGTTTTTGGTCTATGCTTTAATAGTCTATCTCCATTTTGATTTTTCTGATTTGGAACGGAGGACGATCTGGATATGCAACGGTCGCACGATACTGTCGAGTTTTCCTCCAAGACTGGCACACCGTTGTACCTGATATTTGGAGCACTTCTCCTTTTAATATGTATTACCGCAGATTCCTCCTTATATACAGTCCCATTTTGTTCTTGAAGTTCAGGAGCATGACGTAAACGTGGACGCGACATTGTCATCGTCATTATGATGTCACCTGCGCTCTATAGAATCAGTCTTTTGTCCCTTTTATTGCTGATGTGTTCTTATTGTTGCAGTTGTCCCATTTTGCATTTTTGTTTGTTATTCCTTATGCGTTTTTGTTTCTGTCGCTTGTGATTTTTTGTTTGTTATCACCTTGTGCGTTTCGGACGTTCTGTTTTGTGCTGTTTAAAAGTTAGTATCCACTGTTTTCCCTGAAACGCATATCAAATCATGAGTCATGAAAAAGTCAACAGTAACGCAAGAAAAAATGAAAGAACTCCTGTTACAATATGAAGCATTTGGCAAAGAAATCAGAAGGAAAGTGTTATTTTCTTCGATGAACTATAGAAAGTATACCGGCATCCTATAATTAATGAAATAATTATTCTTGAACTAAAAAAAAATCATTATGAAGTTCATAGCTAAACATCCAGTTCGCTAGAATTAATCAGTCCTTCAAAATCTAAAAAATTTGATTCTATAAATAAATAGGTTTTTATAACATTATATAATTTTCAACATAAATGTGAACATGCTGAAGCTACTCTTACGAACTACAGTAGGTGATCCATATCTTCGTTCAAAAATCCTTGTTTTAAATCCCTATATCCGCTCAGTATTACATCTAGGTCTAGATTAATGTCAAGTTCAACCCTATACATCGTCTTTAACCAAGTAAACCATATTTCAAATGCTAGAATTCTTTGAACGATTCATATTTAATCCCTTATCTCAATAATTCTTAGAAACCTTTATGTCCTGTTATAGAACTAGGAATAATTGACATAGGAATTAATACTATACAAACGTACACCCCCCTCAGTAAGTTTAGTAACAGAAGGTCTCTTTTTGATTCATAAGATATTAAAGCCTGTATAAGCAGCTAGAATCCTAGTATGCTTCCTCGATCAATTACTATTAAATATGTATAATTATGACTTTGTTAAAGTTGAAATCGCCATATATAGATAGGCTATAACACACCATCCAGGTCAAATATTGGACTCCCAGTTTCCAAACTTTTGGAGGGGAGTGTATCTAATACACAACATGCTCTTGTAACAATTCTTTTATCGCAACGCTACACTTGACCCTGTAAGAATAGAGTTTTATGATACAATTAATTGTTTATTCTTTGTTGTCGATAAATATTTCAAAGAATACACCTTACTTTTCGATGAACTTCTATAACATTACCATTGTAAAAAGTGCTATACCGTGGTTTTTGATTTTTTATGTTTCAAATTGTTGTTGGTGCAATTTTAATGATTTTCAAACCGTACTTATCAAAGGCCTCTTCTGATCTGGATGTTAATGTTATATCCCCATTTTTCAATTTATTGGGTTTTTGACCTATCGAATCCAACTTCTCAGTTGAGTGCAGTATTTATGGCCTTAGAATGTGATGCTTTTACGTTTTGTTGTGATAAGTCAGATGGGAATTCAGAAGACCGACCACAATAGATGGCATGGGCCTAGCTATGTATTGGACAATCAACATTTAACAGAAAATATTATTTCAGAAATTCGTTCAATAATTGAAACATTTAATGAAGTGGAAAAAGTTGTGTCCCTTTCATATTTAGATCATGGATCCACCCCTAGAATTCAGTTTGTTGGATTGTATCTAGGATGAAGAATGAAGATAATTTATGCACCTCTACTGTAAATCCATACCTTGCACGCAGAGTCGAGTTATAAACTGAAGACGAAGCTTTCTTTTAAGAAGTGAAGTCGAACGAATGCAAAGGGTTGTAAATTCAGGGCGTACCGATAAAAAGTTGGAAATATTTTTGTTGTTTTATATTATTCATATTTTTGCAATTTATAATTGAGTAATTGCTTGCTTGAATTGTAAAAGTTTCATAACTTCAGAAATCTTCATTTCTGCAAAAATTTTAAAGATGAATTACGGTTAATTCCAATAGAAGATAAATCAACTGATTTGGGGAAAACGAGCATTGGCATAACATTAGATTTTTCCAAGGCCTTTGACACAATTAATCATGACATTTTGATACAAAAACTTGAATATTATGGCATCAGAGGAATAGCTAAGTCCTGGTTTGAAAGTTATTTAAAAGACCGCAAACAATATGTCACCATTAACAATTATGAATCTAAACAATCATCTCTAAATTGTGGTGTTCCGCAGGGCTCGGTACTTGGACCACTATTATTTATTCTTTACATAAATGATCTGCCTTTTGTTGCCCCTAATCTAAAATTTATTATGTTTGCTGATGACACCAATCTTCTTGATAGTGATTATGATTTAAATGAACTTATGACTAGAACTAATGCAAACTTGAATTCAATAGATGACTGGATAAAAGCAAACAAACTTTCACTTGATATTGGCAAAACCAATGCTATTCTATTTGGACCCAAAAAAATCAAACAAATCTGAATCTTAAAATACGCAATGAGAACATAAATTTCCGGGAAAAAATTGACTTTCTTGGAATTATTATTGATAAAAACTTGAAATTTAAAGAGCACATAAAATCTGTTGAAACAAAGATTTCTCGCGTCATTGGTTCTCTTTATCACATTAAACATCTACTTCAAATAGACAGTTTCAAAACAATTTACTACTCATTGATACACTCTCAATTAAATTATTGCAACATAATATGGGGTAACACATTTAAATCATTTTATGATCGTCTACATAAACTGCAGAAACAATTCTTAAGGCTAGCTTTAAATAAGGATAGACTTTCTCACTCCGCTCCCCTATTTAAAGATCTTAGAATATTAAATATTTTTGATGTCAACAGATATTGTACTGGTCAGTTCATGTACAAAATCTTTAATAAGCACCCCAGTCTTCCAAAAAATCTATTTCAAGACTTGTTTGATATCAACATTAATATTCATCATCATTACACAAGACAATTGCATTATTTTCATATCCCTAAATGCTCTAAACTTTCCCTTCGCTATCTAGGTCCTAATCTTTGGAATGCTCTACCACATGATATTAAAAAATGCTCCACTCTAAATATTTTCAAATCTTCATATAAAAAACTACTCATCTATCGATAATGTATAATACCAATATCATACTATACTGTTGATTTTATACTGGTACCTGATTTTTTGTAACATTTTTACATTGTACATCCTTAGATTAATTGTTAATACCATTTTTATATACCTACATGTAACATAATATAAGTGTTTTCTTTTATATGTAGTCTAGATGTCATTTTAATGATTTCTGTTAAACCGCAACATATACCCACTAGGGTGTCTAGCGGCTTGTTTTATAGTGTATATTATATAAGAATTATGAAATAAATTGAATTGAATTGAATGAAGGGAAACAAACGAACTTTTTATGAATATAGAAGTTATTTATCGAGAGGGGGTGAGTTTTGGGCCTAGAGCCAATATGATATATAAGGGTGATGTACTGGAAGGTTTTGGATATGGGGTTTATCCAGAGGGAGATATGCATATCTACCCGAGGGACCGGAGGGACCGAAGGTAGATGTGCATATCTCACGAGGGATGAACCCAATATCCAAACCGACCGTACATAACTGCTTTACCCTATACCAAGTAGGGTTTTCAGGGGCATATGGCCATTTCAATAGTACAAGGTGTAAAAAGAGACAAATCATTCAAATGCAAAGTCATTTTATTGTTACCGGAAGCAGGAATATATGCACCGCCCGAAGCGGGAAGATATGCACCGTTCGAGTGGGAGATATGGAGGTTCTGGATATGGAAACCTCAAAATCAGGATACGGGATATATCTTACCAACTTATCTCCCTAAAACTCTACTTGGCATAGGATAAAACCTGTCAAAGAATTAGTCAATGAGTAGCAATTTGAGATATGTTCACTTCAAAATGTACAGGGTCTTCAGGAAATCTCGTAACACAGACTTTAAAATACAGTCTCTTTGCAATTACAATTTGTATTGTAATGGTAGAGACTTCATGCAGGACACCCTGTATTTTGAGCCATATTTCAAAGTTCATATACTGCATTTCATAATAAGCGTAATTTCTGAGAAAATAGAAATACGTTCGTGATTAGATTATCCTTATATGGAAGACGACAAATATCTAAAATTAACAATGACGCCGAAACAAAATATAGACAGGCACCATATCAATACCTAATGGTAATGAATTCCCTATGTAATTATCTAAAGTGCTATCAGTAAATACACGTCAAGAGCTGTTAGAATCACGTCATACAAACCCGCTGCATCCGAGTGCATGTTCGCCGTCCGGGTTGAGTGGATTAACAGCTTGGAAGTGTAACGATGCCTCGACTATGTTTTCTCCAGAGAATTAAGGGGTAATTGATTTTAAATGAACAAAATATTGCTGTGCAATCAATAATGAGTAGTGTTTGAAAGATATCTACTTTGGATTTTGCAAGTTTGCTTTTTTGCTGGATCTGGATTGCACTGATCCTGTACAACGTGCGTAGAGGATGAAAAATTAATAAGTCTAAGTGTGTGTCATTTATCCTATCAGAATAAATATTTACCGACATTTAATATGATGTATCCTTGAGTCAGATAACTTTTAATTATAATTAAATAGACTAGTATCACTTTTATCATTAGGATACTATCAAATCCAAATAAATATGTTTGTACATGATTGTGCTACTGTTTGTTGGGGTTTAACTAAGGTTGATAAGTGGGGGATAAATCATTAAAGTTGAGCAAAGTATCTTTAATATCATTGGCTATTTTAAAAATCTTCAATGTAATGAAAATTAGGCCGCGATGAGGTCTATTTCGAGGCCTCATGCATCGAGAAAAAGTCTCGATAAAGTCAACTACCTTCCACTCCCTGCAAACATGCTACTGTATATGATAAATGGAAATAATGAAACCATTTAACGTTCTTTCCAAGTATGTATCCATTACGGACCATATTTTTCTCATCAGAAGCAATATTAAATTTACGTAATATATTGTTGATTACCGTGCCGTGTATTTTTACATTTATCATAAATTTTTGAACGGGTCGTGGCATGCTTTTATTGTTTGTGGCTTGGTGGACCTTTTATCTTATATCATACATTACGTTGATGTGCTGCTGATAAAATCTATATTAAAATAGTATTCCTCCTCATATAAGTTCACATTTCTCATGATCTCTATTTCTAACATGTAAAGAAAGATTAAAACAAAGAAGAAATCGCTCACAACGTTTAAATTTAACTTTGATTCACAAACATTTGGACTGCGTTTTTGAATTCCCTTAGAGTCCCTGATGTTCAAATTACATGGTCACACACAGTTCATCCAAGCGCACTTACACCGCACTTACACCGCACTTACACGATGTGTCAATCTTGTCGGCAGTGGTGTCTCTCAAAAGAATTGTGTGAGTGTAAAAACGCATGCGCATGTAATGAACACTGCAGGACTTATTTTTCATTTCAATGATACTTGGGCAGAAAACTCATTGAGATATTACGCAATTCACTAGCACCGCGGGCATACAAAAATACAGTCTTGATCTCACGTATTGAATACTCAAGATAAACTATGCCAAACGGTCCTTAGGCACAGAATATTGAGTCAGGGTGACACGTTTGATTTTTAAGTGAGTTGGGTGGTAATTAAACTATCATTCAAGCCAAGTTATTTTCCGTACGCATGTCATTTCATTGAAGTAAACGAGTAAATGACACGGGCAAATCTTAAAGTTGTTTACGGACATCGTGTTTCCTTTGAAACTTGAATGAATTAAGACGAATCGATATATACTGATCACGAAAAATGCTCATAAAGATATAAAACACTTGAGCGAGTTGGATACTAGGTGACTCAATGTCACCGACAGAGCCTGGAAACAGATGTAAACATAACTAAGAAGAAGACTCCAAAAGCCAGTTACGATGGCAACAGACCAAAACAAAAGGGTCTACTCACGAGTGTAACAAATCAGGACACCAAAAGATCCCCATGCGATGAAATTAAATCAAACTGTCAAAAGACCATCTAGACAAAAATAGAGAAAACACGAAAAGGTTAAATAGCGATGACAACAACTCAAAGAAAAATACAATATTCAAAAGACAAAAAATACAAAAAACTAATCCAAAAGAACACAAATTATGACTGGAAATTCTGGCTGACATTAAATGATGTAGTCTCGCATCATACGTTTGTTTAATGAGATATTTTATATGTAAATGGGTATCTCGTCCCTGCTTCCGAAAGTAAAGACCCGATGGCACAATGACGTGATAATCTGTCCAAAATGTTCCCCTTAAAATTGCTTTGATTTTGACATCTCAGTGTCAGACCCGTAGCCAGGGGGTCGGAGGGGGGGATAGAGCGACCTCCTCACCCCGACCAAAAATTATTTCAAAATTATGCAGTTTTTCACCATTCCGAGCACTTTTCATGATTAAGCAATTTTGGGCCAGCCAAAAATTATTTAAGTCTACATGAATTATGCAAGCTTTATAATGTGTACGAAAAATTCATGCTCTCTGATATTACTAGATTGTACATCGCATAATCTGGATTTGTAAATGTAAAATATGTCAAATTAAAAATAAAAGTAAATGGTTTCAAACTCACCATCACAGATCATGAATGTCAAAAGGTATAAATGAGAGTATTTTCGTGAAAACTTACCTATCGTTTTCTCGATAAGTACATTCTGACTGAAACCAATCGAGCAGTATACCATTTTCCTGTTTTCGTTCCACCTTCAACTTAGCTTTAACCAAGTACAAAAATGTATCCTGGTGGTGTGAAAGGTAATCTCCTTAGTTATCTTCAATTTCCAGCAAGTTATATCCAAGTCTATAAGTGATATCCTCAACACGAATAGATATAACTACTATTCTAGTACTTTTTGTACATAGTGACTAAAATCCTGGCCAAAAAATACAACTGAAGTATTCTTGGGTAATGTTCAAAATACACTAATCTTATAATCGCCGTAGATAATCCGTTAATCCATTGATCTTTGGAGTGATATCGATTCAATGTAAATCAAGCGCAGTACCTTAATCTATTAAGCAACAATAGATAGTCTAACCTCTTATAACAACTACTTTCCAAGGTCCATGCACCCTATTTGAAGTTCTATTTTTATTCTGGTAATATTGAATTAGCTAGTGACATCAAAACATTCGTCTATTCTTTGTGTATACTAGATTATTTCATTTTGTTGACGTTGAAGAATACGTACAGGAAAAATAATCAAATATTGATATTTTCTTTGTACTTTTTTTATCATATATTTTTATTATTTCCATTCATTTTGTGATCCAATCTTGAAGTAACTGACAAATAAAATGCCTGTTGTTTTATACTTCTTAACCTCGGAATAGTTTACCGATTCCCCTTTTATGGTGGTACCCTGGTTCTCAGTAATAACTCCAACTACTCTCTGAATAGGAACGACAAAAAATGACCCAAAAGAAGCTGCAATTACTGTCATTAGACTTTGAATATGAAATAATGGCAGTTATATTTTGAATGTTTTGTATTATATGAGTTTGTCTAATATTTTCACAGAATTTTACAGTCACTTATCTGCAGCTTTTTCTACCATTTATATATCTCTAGCCTCGGGGAAGATTACGTACCTTAGTCCCAGGGTATTCGTACATTTAAAGGATGGTTGTCTTTCGATCGATACGTTACGAAAACGGATACGTTCCAGAAAACGTGATGCAAAACTCTAATTGTTTCCCCCGACCTACCATCGAAACGTCAAATTACTACTATTGCAATTCCAAGGACCTAGCTCTTTAACTATCTCCTCAAACTGCCAGATAACTAAGCGACTTAATGAGAAATAATTGATTTCTGATGGAGTAATTACCGGGACTTATAATATATATAAATCAAATGTGTAAATTCAATTCAACGGGCAAATAAAGTAATAATTGGAATTCTGAATTGATATTAATTTATTCTAATTTCTATGTCAACAACCATGTTTCATCCATTGTATGCCACTGTTTGTGTTATTTGCCTTTGCCTAGAATTATCGAACAATTAATCAAACTATGTGGATGCTCTGTTGCCATGGTGCCAGAACGCATTCTTGCTACCGGTGTAAAAGAAATTATGGTCCCCTGGGGATTATGGTCCCCTTTCCTTCCGGCCCTTACTGGCCCTGACTATGTATAAATAATAAGGAAAATAATTGTAATTAGGTCACCATATAAATCAATAGAGAGTAGGACCAAAATTTGATAGGACCACCTACCCTTTTACACCGGGAACTTGTTGGATTAGATATTATCATTAAAACTCATTACCTCTTGTAATTAATACCGATAGATGAAATTTAGTTTTAAATAGAATGATATGATTCCAATTTTCATTGATTATCTCACAGAAATAAAGGGGAGCCATCGTCCATCCGTTTGTTGTTCGATTGTCCGGACGATAAATTACCAACCAATTGTCGGATTTAGTTTACTAGTGTACAATGCTTTTTTTCATTTTCGAAAGGTTGTCAATTTTGGATGTTTTCCGCAAAAAAATTATTATGAAAATACGCACACGTCTTCATATGTACTTTACCCTGCGCGCAGAGTCTATAGCTAAAGCGAAGTCCAACGAATACAATGGGTACATACTTTGAATGTAAATGTAAATATAGACATGAACCTTTTATTAGAAAAAAGACTTTCTATGTCAGCCCTCATCCTAAAAGCTCTGATCAAGCGGGAATTTCAAAATGGACTCAAAATTCGAAACCTGTATACATATCTCTAGTCATTCAACCTCATCAAAAGTCCATTTTCTGTTATCTAAACAGAGCCAAATATGGCCATAAAAGGGGCAATGATCTGAAGAATCCATAGGTTGCATATCATATCTGTTACAAGGTCTTTAGAGTTGAATTGTCGTCATTTCTATTAAGATGATTACGGTTGACCAGAATTAATTACTACAAATGAGGATATAGGAAGGAAATACTACAAATGCCATCCGTCTGTCATGTCTGTCCTTCCTCACTTCGTTCGTTAACCTTTGACGAAGAAAATGCATATAAACACAGTGCTGTACGTAGTACATGACCTTTAACAAAGCCAAGGTTATCAAATTATCTGTTTAAAAAATTTCAAATTATCTGTTCTGATATAATAAAATCACTAGTACCCAAAAAAAAGTCAAATCATCCGATTTAGTTTGGTGAAAAAGGCACCTAGACCTTTGCAATGCTTTGGTAGAAAATCGGGATATTCAGTAATTAGAAACAACACTAGGAATGGGGCGTAGCCAGCTTTCAGTCAGGGGGGGGTGCGATCGCCATTTTTTCGGTTTTCAATCGTTGAGGGGGATCCGATCGTGGCATAAGCAAGGCAAAACATTTGTTTTCGAGATTTGTTTTGAATTCTACAAAAATGGATGCAACTTCCTTCAAAAAATTGAGCCAGAAGCTTCAAATAAAAAGCATTTTAAAGTTCCTTTCTTCCTCTATCTAAGTGTTATATTTCTTTTTATTGGTTATATATGCAACTTAATTTATCTATAAAATGGTAAAAAAGGTAAAATCTACCAACGTCTCTCAGGTCCGTAGCCAAGGGGGTCGGAACTTTTTAAAAAGTGAAGACCCCCTCCCCCTGGCAAATCCTGGCTATGGACCAGTCTCTTGGTTTTTCACCTAAATTCTTAATCTTGTAACACATTCGCTTCCATTCAAAGATACCTCGCGATATTTGGTTGCAGAGCATCAAAATATACCATAATTCCCGATATTGTTTGACCTGACCATCTTAGATAGACTATATACAGCACATTTCACAATCTTATTTCAATAATTTATGGAAAAGCATATTCATATTGCACATGTATGACATTTGTATATTTCAGATTATTTAGGTTTTTTGTGCCCTCTTGTAATTTATAGAAGTTCAGCCATGTTAATTTTTTTGAAAATACTATGGCAGAGAAGCATCAAAATATAAGAGGCCACACACTTTATTAGCCAACCAAGAAGCAATCCAAGATAAACAAATGTCATTTATGTACAATAAATAGGAATATACTTTTCCATATATTATTGCATATATATAATGATCTTTTGATTTCTTATTTTTGGTTTTACTGACGCAATAAAACAGTGAAACTGGCTGTAGAAGTAGGGCTGTAATTCAGAAACATTACCCTTGCTTCAAAAATGTGTGATATCGCGTGCATTGATAGACAGTGAGTCGTATAGTCTTGCTTACAAGCCCTTGTTACTCAAGTTGTTAGAGTCGTACTATAACACTACAATTACAGAAATAGTCTATGAGAGAAAAAAGCGACAAGATTACGAGTCCGCCGTGACACGTATAGTGTAAGACTGCCACACGGTGCACGATGGGTGTTTTACTCCTTCCAGGAGTTTCATGATTGTCGACGATAATGATAGAATCGTCACAAACAAAGAACAACCGACCCTTTGTCTTGTAACACCAAGCATCCGTGATGATAAGCTATGGCTCCACGTAAAGGGAATGGATGATGTGAACCTGCCTTTATAACAAAGGCTTGGCACAAATAGTATCATCAGAACAATACCGCAAGTATTTGGTTTTAAATACAGGCTGGGTCAAAAATTGTTGCCCATTCTGAACTGGCCAGATTATAATAAGTTAACATTTTTTGACCAACGTTGTAATTGGATCTAGATCTGTCATATAAACACAATAATTGCTCAAATACCAATTGCTCAAATACCAATACAGTAACGCATATAATGGCAAGCTGTGGATGCATGAACAAGGCAATACATGAAAAAGTCTGGATTTCTCTAAAGTAAATCTGGAGCTAATAGTAGATGTTACTGTATATAAACCATTTCTTATAAATGCAAATAATTATTTTTCTGATATTTCATCATATTAGATTTGTAACAAAGACCTCTATTCTACGATTAATGGAAAATATATGTCCTTAGATCTTAGTCTGCCAATTGCCAAAGACCTCTGCAATTTAATTTCGGTCTTTTAACAATGACAGAAAAAATCATCAGCCATAGATAACCCCCCTTGCAATACTATTTACAGAAACTATTGTGTGAACAACAGAGGCATGGATTGTGGAGATACGATAGCGAACTGGTTCAATGATTATCTGAACAAGACCAACTTGCGGGTCATCTACTTTTATGAACAACAGGTGTTTTTTCAACGAGATATGATAGCGTTCGAATCTTATGTTGAACAATACACGAAACCATGGGACATGGTAAAGTTTAATTTTACAAGTTCAAAAATGTTACATTTATCCAATGGACTTTATATCACAATTTATATACAATTTATTACAGTATGTACCTTATATTTTGTTCTTGATAATTTAAGACTACATTCAGTGATGGAGCGCCTATTACTGTAATATCGGAGAAGTCCGTCTATGATTTGAATACAAGGCTGGACGAAGAGGACAAAGTAACAGACGCAAATTTTAGAATGAATCTAATCGTGAAGGGCTGTGCGCCATATACAGAGGACTCTTGGGATGTTTTCTACATAGGAGATCAGACCAAGATACATTTGTGGTCTGCTTGCCCAAGGTCAAGTTCTATATACTGTACATCATAGTTTTACTATACATTTTACTTGTGGTGGCCTTTTTCGAGTCTAAAGTTCAAAAACGGACTATTTATCATTTTTAAAACTATTTAGAACAGAGAAATGAGTTAAAAATAGTCTTTGCACTAATCAAGAAAATATTATATGGATATACAGTAGTACACCTCCATGCCATTGCTTACAGATGCATTGCACCCAATGTGAATCCAGTAACGGGAACTCGCAACAAGAACTATCAACCAAGAAAGAAGTTGCAACAGTATGTATAAAATGGGACTAAAAACAAAGAATAACGCGATTTTCTAATACCATTTTTGTGATTGTGAAATTCATTTTCACCCAAAATATCTGTAACTGGTAACTGGCACTTTCTTTAATTTGTGGAACACCTCTACACATGGGATGCCTCTCTTAATGGTACACTTTTCAGAGACACGAACTGGCTTGGTGTTAAATGAACCTCTATAAGTGAAACACCTCCCAAGTGGAACACTTTTTAGAGGTACCAAAAGTGTTCCACTAAAATAGTTTTTTCCGTAGATACGGCAATTTGCTACAATTTAACTATCACCCTGATTATGTATGACAGAGACATAATGTGTATAAGGATATCATTTTGGCATTTGTAATTTTGTCATTGTAGATATCGACCAGGCACTGAATTTAAGGCAACACTAGATACAAACGCTCGGAAATTTTTAGCAGACTGGCCATTGATGGGAACATTTTGTGGTGTCGATGTGTGTGGTACCATTAAAGTTGGAGACGCTGTCAGAGGATAGATATATTCCACGAGATCTTTAATGCAAATAAGACTAAATGTCTTGAAAAGTTGATGCCTAATTGTATACCGCAGCATCCTTCTTCAAAGGACTTCATTTATCATGTTTATGCTTAAATTCAATTTATATACTTGAAAAATACCCTTGCAGCAAGGATGATAACGCAGGCCATTTTGCAATCTCTTGACCGTGACTGGTTTTTAATTTGTGACTATTGAACTGTGACAGTGCTAAATGATTTCCCAAACATTTTGATAATTTAAAAGAAAGAAATACAAATAAAATAACACTTAAGAGATTTTAATGATAAGAAAAGTTGGAACCTGCCCAAAGATTTGATAATTATAATCAATATAAGTTGTTTGTTTATTTGTTTGATTGATTGTTTGTTTTGGCCTTTTGGGCTTTTGTTTGATTCATTATTAGGCGAGGTCATAGATGATACATGATGCTTAGCCTAATTACATAACAAACTTATATTTAGGATCTCATTTGCCTTCTCTATATAATCTATTGTTTCCTATATGTAAATACTGCAATTCACTCAATCACTATTTGGTTAATAACCTTAGCTTGAACCGCCATAATCCAACCACGCTACCCTCTGTCTCTTTAACGTACCCAGTTCTAAGTTTTGACATCTTCGATTTCCAAGGTATGAAAGTTTTATACTATTATATCCTACTCAGTTCTGAATTTTGATCATGTTGCTAAGACCTTGACTCTAGGTTTTATGTGCTTTCCATATAATGAAGTGAAAACTAATATTATGCAAGAAAATTTTAGACGTCGCGATTTCGAGTCTTTTTTAAATACTTTGGAATACTTTTATTTCACTGAAGAGGTTCATTTGGTAGGTCTAATACATAAAGCTTGTTACACTACCCGAAAAAACTTACATTTTGACGTTTCGGCCAATTTCAAACTTTGTGTATTTTAGAAATACTTATATGCATACGGATTGAATAAACGTGCATTGCTCTTACGTAGAGTGAAGGTGAAATTGAGATATTGTGAAGGGTATTGGTTAATCGATAAAAAGTGTTAACATAATTATTGGAGATATTGTTGGGTCAGAAGCATTGTTCAAGATTTTGATTGATCTTGAATTTTTCCATGCGTTAATTAGACAAGCGGGACGACATTCCTGCAGCCATAGCATCATGATAAAACATATGACATCTCATTTCTTCTCAGCCCTCAGGTGTAACAGAAAGATGCCATTTGTATCAGAATGCTACCATAATAGTTAAAAATAATGATATTAAGTATTTTAGATTAATGACCTTCAAGACTGTCAATAGATAGCGAAAAATTCAGCGGGTGTAATAGCATACTTTAACATGTGAAAATTGCTCCACAAATCTCCCAAGATAAATGTGATTGGAAATATCCAAAACCCTTTGATTTTGAATCTTAAAACATGTTTGTAAATAATAATGAAGGAAAATATGATATTTATTTGATATGTGCAGTGAATTTGAAGTTTTATAACAGCATCATAATTTACGCAAAAACCAATGGGTCAGATGTGAAGAACAACTTACTGAGGTATGAAGTATGTCCTTAACTATATCTGCATATGCTAACACAAAAATAAGTTTGAAAATGGAAGAGGGACATATCATAAAATAAGTTAGGCTAATTTAAAAAAAACATATATGCTGTAATTCCGCGTCATAGCGCAAATATGTCCCAGAGGGCCCAAAAAGTTACCAGTTTCGCCATTAGAATAGATGGCATACTTGAATTATAGATAACAAATTTTAGTCTTACAAAAAAAATCAAACTGGAATAAAAATAAATTCATTCATATTCTTATTTAGCCCTTTTGAGTATACATTATATGTTTGATGCCAAAAATTCAGTCAAATTAAATGAAGTGACTATGCAAATATATGAAAATTATTACTTACGTTTTTGAGATGGCACTTAATTTCATGATAACTATTTTGCCAGATATCATCATCAAGACTCTTCATAGTAAGTTATTTGTCTGTCATGATCAGAATGTCGAGATGAAAACGAGCTTGTCTAATTCATTCCCTCATTTCCAAGAAACTATAGAGTATCTGCATCCTCATTGAGTCATTTATATGTTACCGATTAATCAAAGTTAGCGATCGCATAGCAGTTTTAATAAATAAAAAATAAGGCCTTCAAGGCCCAGTAATGACCAAAAAGGCCCACTGTTTGGGGCCTTAAGGCCTTCCCCCCAGATGGCCAGTGCTTCATGATGTCTTGCCCTGCTGCCCCTACTGTTTTTATGTTTATGTGTTTATTTTCTTTTAGATCCACACAATCCCGATATAGCCTAAAATAGAATAGTCTATATAATTTAACCTAAAACGAAATCTTTGAGATTTCTACTCGAGTTTCAATCCCCGGGTATCAATTCTTGAATATGAAAATAGCCATCATGAGAAATCATGGCCCTCTATTAGCTTCACTCTATAGCCTACTAGTACAGTATCAGTTGAAGACAGAGAGGTGTAATGAATTAGAATAGGGAAATAGCGGAGTAAATACTATTAAAATAGCGAACAAAGAATAGCGAACAAATCTGGCGGTTAGAAAGATGTCGGGTTAATAATAGACTACACCGTTCTACAACTAGGCTTAATTTTGTACTACCAATACCAGCGACGGGGCTGTAGCTCAAGTGGTAGAGCGCTCGCTTAGCATGTGAGAGGTACCGGGATCGATACCCGGCAGCTCCAAGGTTTCCTTTTCTTTTTATTTTATAAAACAGCTCTTGCTTTGAACCCTTTTAACTCCACACATTGTAACTCCCGATTCTGTATTTCCATTGATTGTACTTCGTGGATTCTTACTTCTCAGATCATTATTTGTTCATGAGCAAACTATTTGGTTTATTAATAATGATTACTAGTATATTTTTTGTTTCTATTTATTTTTATTTATCTGTTCTTTATTCATGGTTTTATCGGATGACTGTTAGATGTTATAATAAGGTACTTTCAAAAATACACTTAACAATACAATTAGACAGAATATCTTATGCATTTCTAGGGAGTAGTAGCGTGACATTTCAAGTTAGGAAAAAATGTTATAATTTGTCCTAAAATAGGCCCAAGTCAGAGGACCAAGTTATACCCAAAAGGCCCATTTTTCGAGGTCCTACAATATTTGGGGACCTGAATTTTTTCTGGGCCCACCCAGAGGGGGAGGGGGGATGTATTCTTTGAAGCGACCTCCAGTAATCTGCGACATTCTAGCGATTCTATGTAAATATATTTTTTACATGTTTCAGTAAGGTTGTTCAAATATAAACCTCACTATTTGAATATCAAGTGACTACTATTGTGTCAATACAAAAATGGAACCGTACACAAGACAAGAGCTTGGCAAATATACGACTGTATCAATAATTGTGAATTGTGTTAGGGTGACGGACGGGTGAAAATAAACATGACACAGGTAATCAAGTTAAGATGTTTCTTTTCATTAATACACTTTGCTTGGTATGTCTGTGTAGATTTTACAATTAGGAGGGATGAGGGAGCGATCAAGTTTTACATGCTCGAGGCTCAAATTTACCTCTTAGAATTTTGCCGAAATATTTCCCACTTGGACAATTTTGACCAAACGTTTACCCCTTTGTTGCTACCCATTTGTATGGTTCGATTTATTTAAAAAGTGCTATTTTTACTTTGCTTTGGCATTTCAGGTATCCTTTTGCCAGTTTCAAATTACATAATACCTGTATATTCTTAAAATACAAGAACGGTTGCAAAGGGTATGTTGATCGGCATTTCTCGTGTCAATTTGATATCCGTCATACCGTGTGGAGTCAGACCTGATACGTATTATCGATTTTTACGATCCCGCCACCCCTATATTCCCCCAAATACTTCCACCCCTCAATATCTCCCCTCACAACCATTTGAAGGTCGTACCTATTCGCTTACCGGGGATTAGAGCAAGGTAATCATACAATACGAGTAGACTAATACGATACTTATCACGTATTATTAAACAAAACATAGGAGATCTCTAGAAAATAGTAAATACGCATCGGCCTTGTGGTATTAATAAAATATGAGGTTCTATAGACTACAGTAGCATAGAATAACTAAGACATATTTTTTGTATTGGACAAAGGGCTTGTCGGATTTGAGGAAAAACTGTGTTGAAGAAATACGTGTACCTGAAGGACCTGAAACCGGACCTAAGGATCGAATAGTGTGATTTGACAAGGATTGCTCTCATATTGGATTCATTTTACTATGGTAAGTTAATGATAATTATTTTAATGTTATTGTTTTTTCAAATATTAATCTTATTTTTCTATTCTAAATTTTAAAAGAACAAGAACTCATTTCATGGTCGTCATCCAATCTGCTTTTTGTGTTATTAAAGTGTTTGTGTAAAATCATATGATGAATTTTTGAGACTATTCGTCAGTATTTTAAAATGATGAAAAAAGTTGTCAAAAATGGCGATTATAATAATGTATTAATAATTATGTATACGTTAATAATATTACGTATACACTCTAACTCCCCTCCAAAAGAACTGGCAACCTTAAAATGGCAAATGGATAGACTGTTAAGCCTGTTACATTATAGGTAACTTACGTTTATGTTTCAAATATGATTTTCTCCTTGTACAATAATTAGACCGTGGAAATCGAAAATTTTGATTTCGTAAAAATCGCCAATACAATTTAGGCTTCAACGCTCAACCAAAATTGCCATCCTTTTGAAGGGACGGTTTACCAAACGTGCTAGCTGTTAATCATGTTAATTGTATTAGTATTTGTCCTACATGGAATGTTAATTTGTTGTCGATCCTAATTGTTAATTTAACTCGAAATTTAATTACTAGAACGTCTGATTATGCCACAAATACATGACGTAAGCGCAATCAAACAAAATTAAAGCTTTCCGATATCTTTGTAATTTTACCTAGCACGTAGAAGATATTCATTACTCATACGAGTGTGTTCGTATTCGTATTAGATCTAGGGGTATTCATTTATGTCTTCATATTACATGTATTAAATTATATTCAGATAGTGTGACGTTCGCATTACATCAAAACAAAGGGTTCATAATGACTGAATTCTATTATCAAAAGTTTTTGTTTGACGTAAGAACTGTCTTTAAAAGTAGTTATTTATTGATTGTTTCACTTGGAAATGTTAATATTTGAAATACTTATTTAATTATATTATAGTGTATTCGATAAACAGAGATAATACCGGGGCCGTTATACTGTAACAACGATAATTCAAATAAACCCAAGAAGTGAGAAAGCTAAAGTAGCTAACTGGTGTCCTTGGTTTTATTTATCCGTATACGTTTATATAAGTAGCTTTTGCATTCCTTCAATTCAATTTATGACATTATACACAACTTACAATACCATCTTATAGGATGGAAAATATTTTTCAAAACATTTTCATTGGGAACAAATTATAGTTATAAACATAACACGTTTCACCAAAGATCTATATCTATAAATGTGGAAACAACACCAAAACGCTCATAAACGTATCACGTTTGTAAAGTTGAAATGGAATAAGAGAAGTACAATCCAACTTAAAAACATGCAGGTTTTGATATGTCTATGGGCTTTTAATTAGAGTTGAATGCCCATGATATATCACACTCCCAAATACATATTAGGACACAGTTCAAATATACTTAGTAAGGTCAAATTGTGTCAGATATCAAAACTTTTGTTTTGATCTCTTGAAATATCACTTGAACGAGCATACATTCTCATCTATCATAATTTTCTGTCTCCTTAGAAGGGGGGGGGGGAGTACGTGACTTTATTCACAAGATTTCATTTACTAAACTTTCCATGACATGATTTTCTCTTGGATGAACCTTTCGTAGTTTCAAATTGAGCTAAGGAGAAATTCAAAACCACTCTCAATTTTATTTCACTAAACCATAAATGGTAACATTGTTGTTTGAAGTATGTGGGATTTTTGCCATTTTAAAATTTCTGAAAAAGGTGGAGTATATTGCATATCCTTTTTAAACATGGGATTTTTGCCATTTAAAATTACTAAAAAAGGTGGAGTAAATTGCATATCCTTTTTAAAATCGTCAAAGTCTATACTTTATGTCATCCAATTTTGAAATTCTATATCCATGTTGTCCAATTCCCAATTTGCTATATCTATTAATTATCGTTAGTCTTGCTTAAAAGACCCTGTACCCCCCCCTTTATCCTTCTCTCTGTATATTGCCAGGTAAAGAGAGTGAATGGGGGGGGGGGTGGATAAAGTCTTTGAGCAAGACTAAATTATCGTATCCCCCTTACCGTACAACGGGATGTCAAACTAGTACTACAAAGTTGAATCAAGTTTATTTAATCAATTCAGATCTTATCTATGGCGTACAGTACCATAACCTCTGCAGTGAGAAATCAATGGACCACCCAAAGGAAACAAGCCTATTGCCTTTTCTATTAACATCCTAAATGACGCCCAGATTTATTTTTGTTACTGGAAAACACAGTAACTTGAGCTATGTAAATTGCTAGTCGAGATTGAAATCGATGCGTTATGGTAAAAATGCCTTTGGAGATTTTCTATGACATTTTGTTTGATTGATTTCTTTGTTCTTGTGTTTAAGCGTCGACATTACATCTTGCTGGGCTTTGTTCATGCTCAACTGCTTCAAGTATAATGGGAAAACATGGCTTATTACTTAGAGACCATTTTGAAACTCGGGTAGCATTAGCGAATGCAACTGCCGGCTGACAGATTAAACCACAATTTTATGGCCAACTTATTCATATATAAATTAAATAGAAGTAGGTGCTATTCATATCTATATAAGTTTGTATCATTATTGTCAAAAGTGAACCCCCTGTAATTTTTCAAAAAGTGACCCCCCCCCCCGACCCTTGGTGAGAGCTTGTTACGGGCCTGAGTGACAATTGTGTGAGAAGGTGTTTAGTCGAGTAGGGGGGGGGTCACAGAGGCTTGTAGCTAGACTCTTTATGGGGGATTTAAAGAAGGTCGTTAACTCCGTTGACACGATACTTGAGAGGGTGCAGTCCTCTTAAAATACAAATTCCTTTCACGAATATTGGAATTCTGTTTGTTAACTTTGATATGTTGATACATTCAGTGATATTTGTTTTTTGTATTTTTCTTAGGAAATGTGTCATTGAGATAGATTTCTAAAGCCCTGGCTTTCAGATTTTCAATTATCTTTTTACCCGAGTGAATGTTTAATAAAAAGATCAGTTTCTCATTTTGATTTTTTAGACTTTTTATTTTGATTGAAAGCAAAAAAAAAGTGTAATAATATTGTTTGTTGAAAAAGTGTTGACATTTGAATTCTTTACAATATTGAAACGGAGGGTGTGTCAATCTGAGGATATAAAGCAAACTTATTCCTTAAAGGCCCCAAAGAAAGTTGGAAAATATGTTGTTGTTTTATTTATTCATATATTTTGTTCATTTCTTTGAATGTTATTTTGGAGGTAGGAGTAATGACCAGTTTTAAATAAATTCACGATTTTCCCGAGCAAAAAGTCCTTTAAAAATCACTTTGAAATTACAAAAACGTCTCACATTTTGATAACATTGGGTATGACTACAATATAAACCAAAGTGTTTTAAACTTTATAAGGGGCCTTTATGAGCATTTCTTTACCTGAATTAAAAAAATAAAAGCAGAAATGATACATAATACAATATGACGATATGTTAAGAAAGTTGAAAGTTTTACAAATATACTTTTCCACTTATTTGGACATATCTATCTAAAGAAGCCATAAACGTTATGGATTCATTTTCAGAATAACATTTATCAACATCGATCTTAACAAGACACCCTTGGTCCAAGGGCATTTCAATTTATTCCATGAGCTGGGACAGTGATGTGCAATCTTTAAGCACGCTAACAAGATATCATAAGGTGTTCTAAGAAATAGTATATAGATCTATGCCTTTGTTACGAGATATAGTATCCTTGTACCATTAGTTGACAAGATATCATGAGTAGAGAAACACTTATCTTTTGTTTTATCAAAGGTTTCTATGTCTCGTTGTGCCATTAGTTATTGTAAATATATATTTACAGGGTGGGCCAAAAAACCAAAACCCAACTTCAAATCAGGATAAAAATTAGGATTCTGTGTTTCAGCTCATCAATGCTACTATTGGATGCTTTTGATTGTACCCTTTCCTTGAGATGGCTCCATGTATGGTAATCAACCACATTAGCATCGGGGCTGTTGGGTGACCAAGCATCGAGATCAATCAAATTGACACCTTGTTCGCAAAGGAATGCCGATGTCTCCTTTGATCTATGGTACAAGGCAATGTCTTGTTGAAAAATAAAATTCTCACGACATATACGTTTAATGTCTTTTAGCAGACCCCATTTGTGTATTTATTGATTATAAACAACACTGACATTTATAAACAATAAGTTAGTCACACAAGTATGTAAATATACAAGCATGTATTTACCTAACAAAATGATATTCTATAAATAAAAATTAACATAATTCCGCAGATTTACTATTGTCTCCCTAAAATCTAATATTGATTTCATGACAAAGTGTTATATACCAAATTATTTGAAAATGTATTACCTTTAAAATGATATGATATAAATCAATTCGGTATTGTTTTTTGGCCTACCCTGTATATTAATGCTACGCGGAAACGTGTTGTTAATGAAATACAATTATACAATAGTACTTCAATGTAATGTTCAAAGTACTCTCATAATGTTCAAGAGATTTACAGATCTAAAGAAAAAATCAATCGAGACAATTCTCATCGGGTTAACATGGTGTACAGTCCGCTCCAAAAAAATGGTAATCCTGATTTCCCATAATGTAGTGTGTAGAGTTTCTTTTTCTTTGAATTTCATTTTTCCTCAATTCAATCAGGTCGAAAAAATCAAACTTTGATGACCCACTAGTATTAAACCTGCCAAACATAAGTGCCTTTCACACATTGTCTGTTTAGGGAACTGGGGTTTCCAAATTTTTGTAGGGGAGTGCACATAATTCTTTTACATTAGTGCTAAACTTGAGCACACCTCTATGTCTGTAGTATCACATTTATTAATTCCATTGACATTAATGGGTTCAAAGTTGTCCATCTCTCCAATTGAAATCTCCAAAAAGTAGAAAAAATGTTTGATATCAATTAAGAGTTTGTCCTAAACTAGCCCTAGTTTTGCTGTGCAATCGGGTGCATGAGTTACTTTATTCAAGCAAACGATTTGGTTTTTCGAAGTTTTGTTAATTTTTTTTTTGTTATAGATTTTGTTGAATGATAAAGGCTTTTTGATTTGTGTAGCTCAAAATTAAATGGGTAACTTTTTGGTTTCATTTTCAGGAAACCTGGTGATTGTCTACTCCAGCACAACTCGCTCGAATCATTTAAAACATCAGAACAACTCAAATCAATTACAATTACAACAACAACAATGGCGATCAACATGAAGAACCTAAGTATGATGTCACAAGATGACATAGCATATGTGCGCAGTCGCCAAACTCAGGATTTTCGTCAGAAAAAATTCATAGAATTCCTGTCTCCTGAAGCGCAACAGGCTATGACTGAAACGATTGAAGAAATGTCTGAAACTGGACGCAGAGAAAAGGAATTCAAAGATAGGTCACTAGATGACATCACAGAGGAAACAGAAAGTAGAGCGGGCTCATCTAAATCAAGGAATGAAAACCTGAAAAGTGGCAAACGAAAACGTGGCGAGAGTCAAGAAGGGGTGGTACTTAGTGGAAATGGAAAATTAAAAAGTGACACTAAAAATGATTCAGTTGATATCATCATTGACATAAACCTTAATGAAAAGGATGACGATACAGAAAAAGCCAAATCAACAGAACAAAAGGTTGATGATGATAATGAAGCAAATATTGATGAAAAAGACAAATCCGAGCAAAGCAATCAGGATACAAAAGAGGCCGATAATATTTCATTAAAAACTGAAAACAATGGTGATGACTCTGAAAACATTGTAAGTCAAGTTGAAGGTGAAAAGGGCGAAGTGAAAGACAATACTGGTGATAGTGAAAACAATACTGGCAATGATGAAAACAATACACAAAGCATTGCAAATGTAAAAGACAGTGAAACTATAGTTGAAGAAACAGCAACTGAACCGAATGACCAGATGGAGGAAGATAATAGTGAAGAGAATAAGGAATCACCAACAGGTGAAAATGATGCTGAACCCAAGAATGACAACACTAAAGATACGGTTGCTGAATAATGAAGGATCACCGATGAATGTGATGGCAACACAAAGTCTATTATACATTGTAATAGTAATTATATGATGCATGGTGTAACATTAAACAGTAGAATTTGAAGTACAGTATGTTATAATAAAGCTTTTCTAATGTTTCATTCCCTATGACTTTGCTTATGATGATAAAAAATGCATGCAACAATGAAAGCATGATCTATATCAAACTTTTCAGTTTCTTCTCTTTATTTGCACTTTTTATAAGTCAATAATGACATATGCTGATACAAAATATACTTAATTGATTATAGACCCTCAATAAAAATTGGATATTTTTTGGCTTTATCATTTTACAAAGTAACAGATATGATTCCTTAATAATAATAATGATATATAAACTGAGACTTTATTCAGTGTAGTATTCCCAAGTAGTATGTAGTATGCTCAATTACTTCGCAATATTATAAAATACAATAGGTCATTTAATATAAGATAAATCATTCAATGATTTATCATGAAAATCATCAGTGAAAAATTTGGTCATTGAGATAATTTACTTTGAAAATTCAAACCTGGACAATACGGCTACTGAATATTGTCGCGTTCCAGACTTTTGCTGGTAGTCTGGAAGCGATGAGTAACTTTTTCACCTTACACTTCTCTGTGGGCCCAGTCCTGGTTTGGTGGACTGGATAAAACGACAGTCACAAATGGCTTCCAATTTAATACATATATTTTTAACACAACTATTAATACATGAAAATAACACTTTAATGTTCATAAACTAAAATGTCACTATAATTCTCTTTGTAGGATGGATGTCGGCGGTTGCTGCGTTATTAGCTCTTTGCTTGGCTCCCTGGGCTCTATAGCCTGGCTCCTCTGGCTCCTGAACGTGGCTCCTCTGGCCCTTCGTCCAGCTCTTTGGCTCTTTAGCTTGGCTCCTCTGGCTCCTCGTTCGGCTCTTTAGCCTGGCTCCTCTGGCTCTTAAGCTTGGCTCCTTTAGCTCCTGGACGTGGCTCCTCTGGCTCCTCGTCCAGCTCTTTGGCTCCTTAGCCTGGCTCCTCTGGCTCTTGAGTTTGGCTCCTCGTTCAGCTCTTTAGCCTGGCTCCTCTAGCTCCTAAGCTCGGCTCCTTTAGCTCCTGAACTTGGCTCCTCTGGCTCCTCGTCCAGCTCTTTGGCTCCTCAGCCTGGCTCCTCTGGCTCTTAAGCTTGGCTCCTTTGGCTCTTGAGCTTGGCTCCTTTAGCTCCTGGACTTGGCTCCTCTGGCTCCTCGTCCAGCTCTTTGGCTCCTTAGCCTGGCTCCTCTAGCTCTTGAGCTTGGCTCCTCGTCCAGCTCTTTGGCTCCTCAGCCTGGCTCCTCTGGCTCTTAAGCTTGGCTCCTTGAGCTCCTGAACTTGGCTCCTCTGGCTCCTCGTTCAGCTCTTTAGCCTGGCTCCTCTAGCCCTTAAGCTTGGCTCCTTTAGCTCCTGGACTTGGCTCCTCTGGCTCCTCGTCCAGCTCTTTGGCTCCTTAGCCTGGCTCCTCTGGCCCTTGAGCTTAGTTCCTCTTCTTACTGGGAAGGCTCCTAGCTGCTCGTTGCTCTAGAAGTCTTCCTGGAACTATTTCTGTCAGCGGTGAAACCAACTGACAAAACAGTTCACTGTGACTCTTGACTTGACTCTTCTGGCTCTTTAGCCTTGCTCTGCCTCTATGGCTCTTGAGTTTTCTGGGAAGGCTCCTCACTGCCTGATGCGATGGAAGTCTTCCTGGAACTATTTCTGTCAGCGGTGAAACCAACTGACAAAATTAGCTCACACTGTCTCTTGACTGGACTCTTCTGGCTCTTTAGCCTTGCTCTGCCTCTATGGCTCTTGAGTTTTCTGGGAAGGCTCCTCACTGCCTGATGCGATGGAAGTCTTCCTGGAACTATTTCTGTCAGCGGTGAAACCAACTGACAAAATTAGCTCACACTGTCTCTTGACTGGACTCTTCTGGCTCTTTAGCCTTGCTCTGCCTCTATGGCTCTTGAGTTTTCTGGGAAGGCTCCTCACTGCCCGATGCGATGGAAGTCTTCCTGGAACTATTTCTGTCAGCGGTGAAACCAACTGACAAAATTAGCTCACACTGTCTCTTGACTGGACTCTTCTGGCTCTTTAGCCTTGCTCTGCCTCTATGGCTCTTGAGTTTTCTGGGAAGGCTCCTCACTGCCCGATGCGATGGAAGTCTTTCTGGAACTATTTCTGTCAGCGGTGAAACCAACTGACAAAATTAATTTGCCGTGTTGGGAAGTTTCCCAATTTCACCTAACGATAATGCAAGGCTGCTTGCAGGTTGTTCCTTGCTGCTTCCCCTAGGACAGCACTGAACTGTGAAGAATTCTCGACAACACGTTAGGCAATTAATGACACAGTGTTGCTTTACATTAAATCTGACAAATATCTCACTTAGCAAGTCTGGGACACAAAATGGCGACGCACGATAAATCTCAATACCCGTTGAATTATAACTACAGTCAGTCAGAGGCATCCCAGTAGCATGCTGGCCATAAAGTTACAAATTCTGGTACACATGAAATTAAAAATTATAGTCAGTCAGAGGCACCTAGTAGCATGCTGGCCATAAAATCAAATTACAAAAAGGAAAAACCTCACCCGAATAAATGCTTCTTTCTCTAAGTTGCCAAAAATTCAGGTTTTCTCTGTTGTTTCTCCTTCAAGAACCTCCTGGTGCGTCTTCCCGCTTTATCATTCGTTATTAATCCCGAATCCTTGGCAGATGGCTACTCTAAAGTGTGATAAATGTGGATTTCCTCCCAACCTTTGATTCACGCTGCTTCCTTCAAGATGGCGACCTTCGTTCTCTCTGTCATGTGATGGCATGAGTCATAGGCACAGGTGAACACATTTTGAAATCAGGGGCACTGCATTGCAGCAATTGAGGGGATTCCCCTTCCTGTCTTGGAATACCCACTTGTGAGCAGGGGTTTCCCCATCCCTTGCATAAATGGGCCATTAAACACTGAATTAAACAATAATCTGCACCAGTGGGAAAATTAAAAAGGATAAACACAAAAAATGAAATTTTCCCACATACCCCCCTTCTAGCTTTTATGTGCCCTCACATAAAACAAAATTCCTGCAAATTATCAAAACAAATGTACTGTAACTGATAACTGTCTTCACTCTCTGACTCCTGGTGCCTTCTTTACAGGAAGAGCTCGTCAGCTCTCAGAGGCTCTTGGTCTTTCTGTGTTTGCTCGCTGACTTAGGTATGCTCCATGGAGGGGCACCAATTGGACTTGTTTTCTGATGCATTGAGCTCTTTGGAGGATGCTCCTTGTACGATGAATTCTTAGAAGGATAGTTCCCCTCACAAGGGGAGCTCTTTGCTGGATAGTACCACTGGTGTGAGGAGCTCCTGAGATAACCCTCCCTGTGCAGAATCCTCTTTCTGGCATACTCGTTTGCAGGTTTGTTTCTCTCACAGGTCCTTGGCCTGAATTGTGACCTCGAATGCTTCCCCCTCCTTTTTCTGGGCTTAGTTGACACAGCTGGATTTCTTTCCCCTTGTTCTTCTATCAGTGGACAATCTTTCAACTGTCCTGCCATCGGCTCTTTGTCCACTGGCTCTCTCTTCTCTGAGATTCGATTTACTGCTTCTGGGGGCTCTTCTAAATGAGACACTAGATTCTCCACTGAGCTAAACACACCAAGTATTGTGCCCATCTCCAATCTAACTGGATGCGCAGAACAATTCCTCAGCTTGATAAGAGCAATCCCATCTCGTGCCTCAGTCAGGGAAGTAACCACCTCCACTTCATCAGATTCTAGAGCATCTGGTAACACCGATTCGATGATCCCCATCTGACTTGCCTCCTCTGTAGGAGCAATGTGGACCTTTAACAGCTTACTTGAATAGGGTGGAATGTCCTCGTCTGCCATCAGTTGACAAACCCGAGGGGCAAATGGGTATGGTGGATCAGACCCAGTAGAATTCTCTTCCTTGTGTTGTTCCCTGGCCATAACTCTTGGTTTTTCGGCTTCCTCTTCTTCCAGGTCACTATCCTCAGCATCAACATTCTTATCAAAGGCTGCCTTCTTATTCTGCTTTAGAACCTCGGTAAATGTTACTCTCCTCTCGTTTTTCTTAGATCTTTGCATGGGTAGTGGTAATGATGCTCGGTCAGAGGATGGCTGTTTCTGCTTCTTCAGTGCATTTGATGATGTCGTATTCGTTCTTTGAATCTGCTCATCTTGCACATGGTGTCGCTCTGTCATCTCCCCGTCATCAAAAGACATCTCCAACTTATTGAAGTTTATTACAGCTCCACTGGTGGACATGTATTCTACTCCAAGAATACCAGCTTGAGCAATATCAGCTACCACTGCTGTAGTCAATGTTGTTCTCCCTTCTATCTTTATCTTTCCAGTAATCTCCCCATATGTGGAAAGGGGAGAGCCATCGGCTTGTACAAATACTTGAGACGGAGGCTTCAAACTGGGTCGTCGACAAAGGGGTATCTTCTGGTAGCTTTCTATGCTGATCATGTTCTGCATGGACCCAGAATCAATGAGGAACTGCATGGAAGTTCCACAAAACTTTGCATCTGCAAGAATTTTCTGCACTGCTGGTTTACTACCAGGCTGCAACTCAACATTGTTATTGAACAAAAACCTAATAGGGCTGGTGTTGCTGAATCTTGAATCATTACTGTGTCGCCGAGGCTCGGGACAAGAGGAAGCAATATGACCTAGCCCATCACAGTTGTAACACCTGGTTTGTGAGCAAGAGGTCATTGAATGTCCCCGTTCCCCACAGCTCTTGCAGGGATATCTCGTTCCCGCCTTTCCCTGGGGTTTGGGGCTCTCCTCCTTGTTTTGAAGATTCTTTATTTCCGTCAGCAATTCCCTTTTTAATCCATGTAAGAGCTTGGTAAATTCAGATGAGTCTTCTTCCACTGTCGAGATTCTTTGCTCCTTAGTCCTCCCTTTGAGCCCTTGTCTTATTCTCTCAGACTCTTGATAGCTCTCCTCTCTAAGAGCAATTTCAATGCTCTTGTCTAGTGTGGATGGCTCCTTACTGTGTATGGCCCGCCTAAGCTCCTCATCTGGGATCGCTTGTTCAAAGCTCCTGCGAGCGAGCCTATCTTGAACATCCCGGCTCATTTCCGGGTATGCCATGGAGGTCAGTCGTCGTATGTGTTGCCCTAGACTTTGCAAAGATTCTCGAGGCTTTCTTTTTCGACTGCACAGCTCAGCTTCATACACATCGGCCTTGCCACCTGGGCCGAACCTCTTCTCCAAGGCTTCCAGTAGGTCTTCATAAGAGTAGCCCTTCTCCAACTCCAGGACGATCTGCTGGGCATCTCCTCTTAAGTTGGTGGCCAAATACTGAGCCTTCTCTTTGTCCGTCCAGTTATTATTTGCCACACACGTCTGAAAATATGCTTTGTAATCTGGCCAGGGATTCGACCCATCGAACGTTTGTGTAGGCTTTATCCTTGTATTTCTCCCTGTATTTGACGATTCGACTGCCTTTCCGCAAATTTCGATAGCTTTCTGAGCCATTTGCAGAACAGAATCTAGCGCCGAAGTATCAGAGGCATTTGAAGCTTCTTTATTCCGACTCTTCTTACCTGGAGACACATCAGGCTCACAGTCTTGTTCTTGCCCCGTGGCTCCCGTTGCTGTCTCTTCTGGAGTAACTCGGGCTGTCTCATTATGGGAACTGCGAGATGGTAGTTCCAGGTGTGGGTTCGCCATCATTGTGGCCTGTTTCAACTCAGGTCTGTACCTTGGCTGAGGACTTTCTTTCACCTCTGTTTTCTCTGCTCTTCTACTCGAAGAAGTAAGTTTCGGCACAGCACCACCCGACTCTTTGCTAACCTCAACGTATGACAACATGGGATCTGGATTTCTCTGCATTCCTTTTATAGAGCAATTACTCCCCCCTTCCAGATGCGACCTATCCTCCATCGGATGAGCTTGAAATCTCCTTCCAGGAGGAGGCAGTGATGGTTCTCCATACGTGGTCCTATTCTCCCAAGTGGAGCGTACTGGGTCATCTTGCTGACAGGCAGTTTCCTGTTCCTGCTTTACCCGTCTCTCATGAACCAAATATGGAGGCAGCCAACCTCCCGCCTCCCCGGGGACTGGCTCAAACATCATTGGTGTGTCTTCTCTATGAAAGTTAGCTTCTAACTGTGCTTGCCCACACTCACGGGGACTTATTCCTCTGTAACTTGAATGTGACTTAAGTTGGTGCTCTGTGATGGGATCCTGGTAGATCTGCCACTCCTGTGCCATTGGGTTAACACTACTCCCCCGAATATGTTTCTTCTTTATCTCCTCTGGTGGGGATCTTGACTGCTCCATAGTCTGAGCAATGGATTGTAGGGCTCCATGAACTGAACTCAGCCCAAGGGAAAGATCCTGTTGAAACGTGCCAAGGCCTTGGCTCAAGTCTCCCCTTAACTTCTGTTGCTCCCTCCTCAGTTCATGTACATATTCTCCCTGCTCTTTCACACTGCTCGTCAGCAAAGTAGTTTGGAGCTGCTGTGACACCAGCTCCCTCTGCAGTGTGAACAATTCTTCACTCATCCGGCTGACTGGAACCTCCTCAGTAGAAGTTCTTGGCTGATTAATACCATGGGCTCCTCTTGGTGGAGTCGCGTAGTTTGGTAGCACCCGCTGCTCTGTTCCTGACCAGTATCCGGTACTCTGCAGCGGAAATGCCCTCTTCGGCCTGTTTGGTGACGGCATATCTTCCACAGGAATGGTGTCATCCAATACCATGTCATCACCTCCTGGTTGTCCTCTGAAGAACACCGTCTTTTCACCATCTAATTGGAGGTCCATCTCCATGTCTCTATCTGTTTGGAGCTTGCTCTCCATAGCTCGGCTTGTATCTGCGTCTGACGTTGCCATCTTGTGCTCGTTACTGTCGTTTTACTAATCCCACATCTGACACCAATGTCGCGTTCCAGACTTTTGCTGGTAGTCTGGAAGCGATGAGTAACTTTTTCACCTTACACTTCTCTGTGGGCCCAGTCCTGGTTTGGTGGACTGGATAAAACGACAGTCACAAATGGCTTCCAATTTAATACATATATTTTTAACACAACTATTAATACATGAAAATAACACTTTAATGTTCATAAACTAAAATGTCACTATAATTCTCTTTGTAGGATGGATGTCGGCGGTTGCTGCGTTATTAGCTCTTTGCTTGGCTCCCTGGGCTCTATAGCCTGGCTCCTCTGGCTCCTGAACGTGGCTCCTCTGGCCCTTCGTCCAGCTCTTTGGCTCTTTAGCTTGGCTCCTCTGGCTCCTCGTTCGGCTCTTTAGCCTGGCTCCTCTGGCTCTTAAGCTTGGCTCCTTTAGCTCCTGGACGTGGCTCCTCTGGCTCCTCGTCCAGCTCTTTGGCTCCTTAGCCTGGCTCCTCTGGCTCTTGAGTTTGGCTCCTCGTTCAGCTCTTTAGCCTGGCTCCTCTAGCTCCTAAGCTCGGCTCCTTTAGCTCCTGAACTTGGCTCCTCTGGCTCCTCGTCCAGCTCTTTGGCTCCTCAGCCTGGCTCCTCTGGCTCTTAAGCTTGGCTCCTTTGGCTCTTGAGCTTGGCTCCTTTAGCTCCTGGACTTGGCTCCTCTGGCTCCTCGTCCAGCTCTTTGGCTCCTTAGCCTGGCTCCTCTAGCTCTTGAGCTTGGCTCCTCGTCCAGCTCTTTGGCTCCTCAGCCTGGCTCCTCTGGCTCTTAAGCTTGGCTCCTTGAGCTCCTGAACTTGGCTCCTCTGGCTCCTCGTTCAGCTCTTTAGCCTGGCTCCTCTAGCCCTTAAGCTTGGCTCCTTTAGCTCCTGGACTTGGCTCCTCTGGCTCCTCGTCCAGCTCTTTGGCTCCTTAGCCTGGCTCCTCTGGCCCTTGAGCTTAGTTCCTCTTCTTACTGGGAAGGCTCCTAGCTGCTCGTTGCTCTAGAAGTCTTCCTGGAACTATTTCTGTCAGCGGTGAAACCAACTGACAAAACAGTTCACTGTGACTCTTGACTTGACTCTTCTGGCTCTTTAGCCTTGCTCTGCCTCTATGGCTCTTGAGTTTTCTGGGAAGGCTCCTCACTGCCTGATGCGATGGAAGTCTTCCTGGAACTATTTCTGTCAGCGGTGAAACCAACTGACAAAATTAGCTCACACTGTCTCTTGACTGGACTCTTCTGGCTCTTTAGCCTTGCTCTGCCTCTATGGCTCTTGAGTTTTCTGGGAAGGCTCCTCACTGCCTGATGCGATGGAAGTCTTCCTGGAACTATTTCTGTCAGCGGTGAAACCAACTGACAAAATTAGCTCACACTGTCTCTTGACTGGACTCTTCTGGCTCTTTAGCCTTGCTCTGCCTCTATGGCTCTTGAGTTTTCTGGGAAGGCTCCTCACTGCCCGATGCGATGGAAGTCTTCCTGGAACTATTTCTGTCAGCGGTGAAACCAACTGACAAAATTAGCTCACACTGTCTCTTGACTGGACTCTTCTGGCTCTTTAGCCTTGCTCTGCCTCTATGGCTCTTGAGTTTTCTGGGAAGGCTCCTCACTGCCCGATGCGATGGAAGTCTTTCTGGAACTATTTCTGTCAGCGGTGAAACCAACTGACAAAATTAATTTGCCGTGTTGGGAAGTTTCCCAATTTCACCTAACGATAATGCAAGGCTGCTTGCAGGTTGTTCCTTGCTGCTTCCCCTAGGACAGCACTGAACTGTGAAGAATTCTCGACAACACGTTAGGCAATTAATGACACAGTGTTGCTTTACATTAAATCTGACAAATATCTCACTTAGCAAGTCTGGGACACAAAATGGCGACGCACGATAAATCTCAATACCCGTTGAATTATAACTACAGTCAGTCAGAGGCATCCCAGTAGCATGCTGGCCATAAAGTTACAAATTCTGGTACACATGAAATTAAAAATTATAGTCAGTCAGAGGCACCTAGTAGCATGCTGGCCATAAAATCAAATTACAAAAAGGAAAAACCTCACCCGAATAAATGCTTCTTTCTCTAAGTTGCCAAAAATTCAGGTTTTCTCTGTTGTTTCTCCTTCAAGAACCTCCTGGTGCGTCTTCCCGCTTTATCATTCGTTATTAATCCCGAATCCTTGGCAGATGGCTACTCTAAAGTGTGATAAATGTGGATTTCCTCCCAACCTTTGATTCACGCTGCTTCCTTCAAGATGGCGACCTTCGTTCTCTCTGTCATGTGATGGCATGAGTCATAGGCACAGGTGAACACATTTTGAAATCAGGGGCACTGCATTGCAGCAATTGAGGGGATTCCCCTTCCTGTCTTGGAATACCCACTTGTGAGCAGGGGTTTCCCCATCCCTTGCATAAATGGGCCATTAAACACTGAATTAAACAATAATCTGCACCAGTGGGAAAATTAAAAAGGATAAACACAAAAAATGAAATTTTCCCACAATATATAAGAATTTTGAGGAGGGCATAAATCTTATTTCCAAGTACATGTAAAACTTGACATAGTATTACTAGCGAGACTGTCCTCCCCCTGCCCCCTCCCCACTGACTGCCTCTAATTACAGTATGGGAAGAATCTAGGTTGATACAATTACCGATTAATTAATTCTTTCATTTGTGCATGGTATACATGTATCTTGTGCTGATAGCACCCTCTTTTGCTCAGATGCTCAATTGATTAACAATCTAAATAATGATTTAACTCCCAGTCAGTTAGCACCTGGCTATATTCTCCCCATTCTCTGGTTTTAGTGTCCAAAAACGCATCAACGAGGGGTTCCCCAAATTGTTCAGTGAAGTATACATCCTGTTTCAAAGCTGTCAGAGCTTCCTTTAAATTTGTTGGTAATAATGGAAGGCCGTGGTCCTTTATTTTGGAGTCAAATAGATTGTCGAATCTTGGCGGCCCAGGATCTGAAAAATATAGTCCATGAAAAATTGATTGTTTGTTCCTAAGGTGCAAGACAGGTCAAACAAATCATTTGTTGCTAGTTAAAAATCATTTGTTGCTTGTATGTAAGTTGTTTTGAGGGATTTTGCGCCAGTTTCTATGTTAAATATGGGCCTTGAAGATAAAAGTCCTGAAAGAGACGCTTAGGAGGGGTAGGCCTTAGTGCTAATATCCCTAATGTGATACAGATACTTCATTAAAATTATTTCTTATGATTTTTATAGATTCATAGTAAATCTTCAATTCATTATCAAATCCCAGTTTCATATATATCTCTTCAAATTTTTTTTATTTTTACTTTAAAATGTGTGTGAACACCTCGGCTTACCAATTTGCATATACATGTATCAGTGTCACTACCCAGTGATCTCCCCAGGATTTTATCTCAGGTGGGTGCAAAATTCTTATTTTCACAATTCAGACCAAAATTGGTTAAAATGTGCCAATTTTTCATGATTTTTCCCATTTTCAAGTGGGTGCAAATGGATTTCTGATGGGTGCTACTGCAAGCCTATTTTCAAAATCTTAGGTGGGTGCTGTGCCCACTTGCTTTAATGCTGGGGAGACCACTGCTACCATACACTTACCTATTGCATTCCTAATGCCATCAAGTCCAGATGCTAGTATTGTAGCCTGCAAGAGGTAGGGGTCGGCTGAAGTATCAGGGTGACGGATCTCTATCCTACAATTCATGAAAATCATTGCAATACAATACAAAACATGATATGCTGTTGTGCAATGTAAAACTATAAAAAATATAGTAAAATGAAAAGTTTAAAAAGTAATCCATATAATAATCCAGATTATAAAATTTTCAAACAATAGTTGGGATAGTAGTATTCATGTTATTTCAATTTAGAAAATTCCAATGTATTTCAGTGATCTCCCCAGGATTTTTTCTCAGGCGGGCAAAATTTTCACTTTCTCAATTCAGAGCAAAATTGATCAAAATATGTCTATTTTTCATGATTTTTCTCATTTTCAAGTAGGTTTGGAAGAAGGATCGCTTATCAAGACCTCTGTGTTTGGTAATTTAGAAAGAATCATCAAAGTTATGAATTTCAGAAATATTGTAATAATCTCCAATTACTAAAAAAACTTCCAATTGCTAGACTTATGGAGGGGAGTGTAATGAAAACTTCCAATTGCTAAACTTATGGAGGGGAGTGTAATGAAAAATTCCAATTGCTAAACTTATGGAGGGGAGTGTAATGAAAACTTCCAATTGCTAGACTTATGGAGGGGAGTGTAATGAAAACTTCCAATTGCTAGACTTATGGAGGGGAGTGTAATGAAAACTTCCAATTGCTAAACTTATGGAGGGGAGTGTAATGAAAAATTCCAATTGCTAAACTTATGGAGGGGAGTGTAATGAAAACTTCCAATTGCTAGACTTATGGAGGGGAGTGTAATGAAAACTTCCAATTGCTAAACTTATGGAGGGGAGTGTAATGAAAACTTCCAATTGCTAAACTTATGGAGGGGAGTGTCATAAAAACTTCCAATTGCTAAACTTATGGAGGGGAGTGTAATGAAAACTTCTAATTGCTAAACTTATGGAGGGGAGTGTAATGAAAACTTCCAATTGCTAAACTTATGGAGGGGAGTGTAATGAAAACTTCCAATTGCTAAACTTATGGAGGGGAGTGTGCTAGTTTACCTTTCTTTGTCTGGAATGCGAATCAAGTGACATCTATTGTTCCCCGAGTAAGACACTGTGAACGGACACCATTCTTTACTGTTCACTCTAATAAAAGCAAAAAAATAAACAATGAATTGAATAAATTGCGGAAGTAATATGGTTTTGTTTTAAAGGGACAAAATAATATTTTTGCACTGTATAGTGATTTTTAATTATTGAACAATTTCAACTTTCATTCGAAAATTGGCGGAAAATTTGAATATTTGATAAATAAAAACCATCTGTAAAATAATTTTCAGTCATGAACAATATTACATGAACAATAAAAAATATTTTCAAACTTTGCATGGGGCCTTTATGATGAGTTGACGGTAAGTTTCAAGACAATTATCGCAATTTTACAATAATAGTGCTCTTGTCATTCTATTATGTTATGTTCAGTAGTTATTTCAGGAAACACTTTAGGTTATCTTGCAACAATTCCAAAACTAAGTGTCTTGTATGCTGTATAGCCATTAGGGGCAAGGTAAACTTCTTATTTTTTGAAGAATATTGATACCTTTTATAACTGTTCACAGTGGGTGCTACAAATGCCATTGATGCCTGAGCATGCTTTAGAACGCCACCTATAAACTGATGAGCAATCTCTGAGAGCCCAGTTTCTTTTGGAAACAGATTTTTGTTTGATGAGTCCCATAAAGACACATGCACATGACACCCATTATCTGAAATGCATGACACTCATAATGCATGTTGGGTGCTATTGACATAACTATGACACCCACTATCTGAAATGCATGACACCCATTATCTGAAATACACTCAATGTGCATGTTGGCTGCTATTGACATAAGTATGACACCCATTATTTAAAATGAAAAACACCAGAATTTCAGTTTTCAAAATTTTTGCAGAATTTGATTTTTTCACACAAAATTTGGCGGAAAACATGATTTTTCAAGCCAACCACCTCATTTCAGCTCAACTGGTGAAAATCGCCTGTCGCTTGCTGCTTATGAGACCCGTGACTGTATAGTAACTTACTGCATACCGTGTGTAGAGGTCTGGGCATAAATGTTGCTCTATACCCACATTCTCTTGCTATCTCCTGAAAAAGCAAAAAATCACAAACATTACACATGGTGGTGACATTATCAATTTAAAAAAAAAATTTTATTCTTAAAAAATTCATTTTTTATTTTTTAGCAGTAATTTTCAAGCACAATACAATAAAACATGATCATCTATTATCAAAACACATCTGAACACCTTTGAATGTGAACACCTTTTTGGTCCCATTTTTTAAATCTGCAATTAGCCTTGAAATGTGAACACCTGTCAATCTGAACACTTTTGGTGAATCCAAGTGGTGTTCAGATTAGACAGGTCAGCTTGACATCCTGAATGTGAAGCACCGGCTATAGCTTTTAATAATATTTCACCTCGATATAATATAATAGATGAAGGAGGATTGGCTCCCAGGATCGACTATCGATGTTTTCCGACGACGAAAACGTCGAAATGTCGTTATTTTCTGAAATTTACTGCTATAAATTCAAAATAAACAGTCCAAAAGATTCGAACTAATATCTTGATAATTTCTTGTGAGTTTTGGAATTTTTCCTTGAGGAATAAGATCAAAATTCACGATTCAAATGTTGAAGTGAACAAAATGGCGGATGTTTGAATTCAAATTTTGAATAACGACATTTCCATATGTGGGACAGAATATCGATGTTGCACTCTGGGAGCGAATCCTCCTTGATAACAGATGGTTTCAATTGTGAAGTACAGTAGCAATAAGAAAACTGAAATCAGATTTAAAAAATGTCAGATTTATATTCTACTCTCTTTTCTCATTTTCATTGCATAAATAGATTATACAATCAAAGATCTACATTGTCTTCAAAAGTAGTCTAGAATGCATGTGGGAAAATAACATTAAAGTTTCATGTACAGTAATCAAATGGCATATGATTTTGCAGCTTTCTTTCAACACCAATATATCGATGCAACGTATAAGAACCACAAAATCAGATATAACAAGTTGTAGAAACGTTTTAAAAGATGACGATGATAATCACCGTTTAAGATACTTTAGCGTGATGATGTTTCAATATGTTTCATATGTTGACGTACCTTTACCATAAACTTGAAGAAGAGGTGTCTATCAGCAGTTGTCAATGCATCATAGAATCCATAATTAAGTTCAAACTGGCCATAATTTCCCTCAGCTACAAGCTTCAATACAACAATATAAAGGTGAAAATGAAATAACAGAAGTTTTTTGAATACCATAGTATCCATGGTGTTTAATTGACCATATTGACTCTGAATAGTATGCGGCTGCATATTCTGTGTGTATGTATCTACGCCCATTTTGTATTTCTGTGGGCCTCAATTTTTTCGGGTCCCAACTTAGAGGGGGGGGGGGGGCGGTAAATCAAGTCCCATCTCTAAAAACCATACAAATAATGAAACACCCACATAAAACCATACATATAAAAGGTATTAACATGCAAAACGGCATCACCTGTCACTTGTTACAGACACCGAATGACAAACATCAACTGCCAAACACTGTCCACAGAAAAGTTGGAGACCGAAACAATATGTCACCTCACCACTTGATGGTGACATAATAAAAATGGTAGCGTCATTGCACAGTTACTGGATTAGAAATCCCAGAATGCATCCAGGTATTGACATAATCATATCATTAGTTCAATATTGAGATACGTCTCAAATCATTATAAAATGTATCATGGGATTCTTACCCCATATGGTTCCCAGCCAAGCTCTTCTGTATATTTCAAAATCTTAGTTAGGAACTCTCTCCTTCGGTACAACCTCTGCGCATCATGAAAGGGTAAACCTTGCACAAAATTTTGGTCAGCACATTTCTTTCCCTCTAATTCCATGAGAATAAATTCGACTGAAAATAGAAAAATATACCCTTCATAAGAGTGTTTGATGATGAATGCCTCACACTGACAATCCTTTGAGATAACTGATCCAATCAACACCAGTCGTCACTCAGTTACAAAGGTAATTTCTGTCAAGTTAAATAAGACATTAACAGGCATAATGCCACCACTTGCCATTTGTTACAAATGCTGACCACCAAACCACCGAAAAACATCCACAAAAAGTTGGAGATGATGTCAACACTTCTGCATCTTCCGAACACAGGCCTCCAGAACTCGTACCTTTGTAACTCAGAACTTTGTGGATGATGTCTGGAACCCTGCGTTCGGAGGATGACACTTCTGGTGGTGACATAATTGTAAACCTAAGTGCAACCCTGCAGTGCTATCTGATCTGTTGAGCAATAAATTGTGAAATAATTTGTTGTAAGAGGGTAGGGAACCAGTTGTTGAGCCCAGGGTAACCATGATCAGATACATGTGAAAAATCCTGGGATTGTTTGTCTATGTCGGAAGCTGAGTTTAAAAAGTTACACCATAGCGTCTTAAAAGAAAGCTTCATCTACATATAGTTTACAATGAAACTCTGAACTGTCCGAGCTAATCAGAGTACATTGTCGAAATACCAACAACTTTCTATATATGGTCATTTCCTTAACAATAATTGCATAGTTAATGAGAACACATTTATCACTTGTTCATTCAAGTTCATTGATTGGTTGAGAAAAACTGATGCTCCATAGCAATCATCTTAACATTCATGGTTCATTAATAAAAATAAAGCTTTTGACTACCAAGACTTTCATTCCAAAACGTAGGATACAGGCCTTACAGGGCATGATAGGTAAAAACAAAAATGATACAATCCCATCTAAAAGTTTGGCAACATCCTAACTGGCAGAACCAGAAGCTAGCAAGGGGGAACCACATTTCAAATCAGGACAAAAATTTCCATCCTTGAAACCAAAAATTGGACCCCTATTCATAAAATTGAAGGTCCATATTTTGATAATTTGGCCTAAAAAGGCAGTTATTACAGGGAGTTTATCACTTTCCGAAATCGCCAAACGTAACCAAATTTAACACATGGTCCAATAGCGGAGCTGGTGTTACCAAACTTTTAGAGGGGACTGTATATAATTTTTTTCACATGTTTTTTTATCAAATAAATAAAAGCATATCCCTTTAAATAGTTTGTTTCACCTACACCCTTTGAATAAGAGATAATAGGGAAATTCCAAAAAGGGAAGGGGTGGTAAAAAGGTTTATAGTATAAACGTACCTTCCACTCCACTTTTCATGACATATCCAAGTTCTTTAGCTTTTGCAACTTGGTTCTTCAGTGCCCACCTAGGTGATCTATTCAGGGGCTCCCCATCTACATATAAGTCTCTGGAATTTGATACAAAGGCATAAAAGTTCAGAATTAAACTCAAAGGTATTTAAGTCTCTGGAATTAAGACACAAAGGCATATACGTCTTCTGAATAAGACACAAAGGCATTTAAGTTTCTGTAATTAGATACAAAGGCATATAAGTCTCTGGAATTAGATACAAAGGCATAGAAGTGTCTGGTTTGAGACACAAAGGCATATAAGTGTCTGGTTTGAGACACAAAGGCATATAAGTGTCTGGTTTGAGACACAAAGGCATATAAGTCTCTGTTATAAGACACGAAGGCATATAAGTGTCTGGTCTGAGACACAAAGGCATATAAGTGTCTGGTTTGAGACACAAAGGTATATAAGTGTCTGGTTTGAGACACAAAGGCATATAAGTCTCTGTTAAAAGACACAAAGGCATTTAAGTCTCTGTTATAAGACATGAAGGCATATAAGTGTCTGGTTTGAGACACAAAGGCATATAAGTGTCTGGTTTGAGACACAAAGGCATATAACTGTCTGGTTTGAGACACAAAGGCATATAAGTGTCTGGTATGAGACACAAAGGCATATAAGTGTCTGGTTTGAGACACAAAGGCATATAAGTGTCTGGTATGAGACATAAGGTAATATAAGTCTCTCGATCGAATCAAGTTAAAGAAGGAGCATAAAAGTTTCTGGAATTAAACACAATGGCATGTACAGTAAGTCTCTGGAATCAGTCTCAAAGACCACATAAGTCTCTCATATTAGACACAAAAGGGCATTAAAATAATGCTCAGGCTAGGCCTTGCCTGTCACATGATAACTCCGCCCACCCATGCCAAGCAATAATTATTGACTTACACAGGTGCCCAAACAATAGATGGTTCCCATGGTAACCGTATACACTGTGAAGCATCACTTATTCTTGCAAAGATATCAGAGGATGTAGGTCCAAGGCCAAAAATTTGTGCTACCCCTAAATCGTGACCTTGACCTCCTGTCAGCTGGTCTAGGGCCCGGACTGGAATTAGTTTGCTTCTGTGGACTCCTAACAAGTCTGAAAATAGACACAATAATATTCATAAGGTTTTATTCAATTAATAAATATATTTACACCAATTTGGCAATTGCAGATCTTTTCAAACATCAGTTATTATTAATGTTTCTCTTATAATCCCATTCTTATATCTATAAAACAAATATGGAAGTCAATGAATTCAGTAACGAGTGAGATGCACTTTTTCAAATAAAGATATTATCTATTCAGCCAACTTTAAAGTCATGAATTTATGAGGAATGTTATTAGAAATCTAATCTGTCAACCGGTACTTGAGCTATGGCCCAGACATCTTGTAAAATATAAATGCACTACATGACATGTTTTGTTTAAGGTAACGGTTAAGTAAATCAAAAGTTCAAAAAATGGCAGCCATATTTTTTTGATAAAGACACATGGTTTTGAAACCTTCTTTAGGGACCCATGCACCTCCAATTCATAGTTATGAAAAATACATTTATGTGTGATGTTCACTTTGACATGTCTCTTTAGTAAAGATATACACTTATATACAAGGAAAACATATTTTAAAACCATGTGTCTTTATCAAAAAAATGTGTCTGCCATTTTTTGTACTTTTGATCAACTTAACCATTACCTTAAGAGCAACAGAAGTATACAATCTTTACACATAGATAAATTCACAGATGGACAAACGGAACATTTTCACAAACTTCGTTCAGTTGGATAATAATTACACGAACATAGAAATTGCACTTGCCTGTAAAACTTATCATAAAGTGTTCAATCCCCTGGTTCCTCGCAGTTTCTACACTTTCTAATGAGATTTGATTTGATGCATTTGAGCTTGTCATCTTCCTAGTATACTACCATTAGTCTACCTGAAATATACAAACATACATGTAGTTTTTGTGCCTGTTGTTCAAGTGTCTCTATTCTAAGACGAGGGGTCAATGTATATTCGCTAGTAAATATGGGTCAATGACTCAATATGGGTCAATGACTCAATATGGGTCAATCACTCGATAGACAGAATGCATGTACTTGAAACTTCAAAAAGGGATCATATCAAAAAATGTTTTTGTGAAATTACTTTTGTAAAAGACCAATGGGAAGCTAGCCTTTGTTTAAGGATTTAAGGCGCCCTGGACTCGGTGCTGGCGTGCTCCATTGAAGATGTTGTTTCCAAATTTTTGCATGACCACGCAGCCAGAATGCAAAGTAAAGAAACAACACCTGAGTGGAATGAAGCAGCCACAATGCATTGAGTCTTAATTCTGGTCTTGGACTTTAATTCTTTTCACACATTGCAAAATATTTTCTACAAAATCACCTAAAACATACAAAATCACTAAAAGAACATATTTTCAATGAAACTTTTTGCAAGGGTCAAGTTGGCAAGCATCAATTTCAATCTGTGAGTCCAGTTATCACCTTGTGTTCTGATTGGCTGGAATGGGACATATGATACCTTGCCTAACTACATGTATGTGTGAATAAATTATAAAATTGAAATTAATAATTAATTAAGCGTAAGAATCTATAAATTTGAACACATCTAACCGGTCATTCTCCAATATTTGCTAAATATTTTTAATGATGTTTAAAAATATTTTGACTTAGGTCTCTCAAATGATAAAAATTGAACCTTGACTGATAACAACTAGTTTGCAATAATAAAAATGATGTGTTCAACATTTTAACATAATGTATAGTGTGTTTTTTCAGATAAAAGGTTGACATTAAAACTGAGGATTTTTTTTCTTATCAGATGATACTAATGTTCATTTGCATGTCATAAAGGCCTTCAAATAGGGCACGCTTGAAATCAGTATTAGCAGATAATATCACTTACTATTGCTATTATCGATAATAAGAGATTTGCACTTTTAACCTCTAACATAAACTTTTTTTCTTTTTAATAGAATATTTGAATTCAGTGAAAAGTTTTCCACAATAATAACTTTGATTATTCAGTTATTTCATTTAAATCATTTTCCATGACTTTTTAAAATACTTGGGCCAAATCTCCATTGATGCAATGCTAAGATTCTTTAAAACCTTGCTTTATTCATTTGACAACCAAACAATAGGTACATTGACAGGGTCATCCCATAGTATGCCATTTGAGTTTCAGACAGATTCAACCACTACTTTTCATAAATCATTAAATTGTAATTAAAGTGACTATTGCAAGTTTGATAACATGGATGGCTATGGCAGTCTGACCCAAGCAAAATGAAGAATGACAAGGGTGACAAAAATTATGTCAGCTTTTTTCAGCTATAGAAACTATACAATTTAGCGCTATTAGCAATAATTTCAATATAATCTGAGCAATTACAGACTAAACAAAACATTCCCTCACATATAATTCAAATTTTGGTGTAAAAAATATTAGAAAAGAGTAAGTAAAAATTCCATGCCATAAAGGCTCTTCCGCTAGAGGCGCTGCAATCGCTATGCCATATTGCGGGACAATACAATACATACTAGACCCGAAAGAGAGTGTGCTAAGTTTAGTGCCCATTGTGGGAATCGGGTGCACCCCAGTTGTCCGAAACCCAGTTCTCCGAAACCCAGTTGTCCGAAACCCAGTTTTCCGAAACCCAGTTCTTCGAAACCCAGTTGTCCGAAACCCATTACTCCGAAAAATATAATGATAATTTAGAGAAAGGGGGGACGTTCTTAACCTTAGGCCAGTTTCATGCAATGTATTTGGCCAAATTAATGGCATGAACGCATTCTGATGTTCATAGATCTCTCTCCGTCACTTTGAATTGCATCCATTCATTGCATGGCGTTACCAGAATGGCAGGGGGGGATTTATTTTACATTGTGATTCTAGATAAGGTTATTAAAACAGAATATATATTACTGAACAGTTTATCTTATCTTCTCCAATCTCTTTTATATAGGCAAAATAAAATGACACCTATTTTGAATCAGATAAAATAAGTTAACGCATCGAACTTTAAGAATAAAACAGTATACATATTACGTTGTCAAAATATTTCGTCACTGATTTAATTTCTTATGGTCTCTGTCTCTTATCAAATCGTAAAAGAACAAAACATTCTAAACTTGGGATTTATTTTTCGGCATTCGTTTCCGGCATTTGTTTTTTATGTTCTTCTCCTGAAATGTATTTGCTTGAAAATAATCAGAGAAAGTGCGTATACGTATAAATTTGCGTGGCATATTCTGTCACGCAAACAAACGGGAAACGGGTGTGACTTCAATTTCTTGTCTGTCTGAGGACGTAGGCTTATTGGGAACGAGGTAGAATTAAAGAATTCTTATGAACGGTCATGCAAGATACTAGAACTAGTAAAATAATTTATTGGATAAGTTAATTTCTGATGGATCTAGATAAAATATGTCTCAAAACTTTGTGAACACTAGATAACTACATTTAGGCAGATATAGTATAAAATACGTTCCTAAAACTATAAAGACGTTAGGTGAGAAATATATTGCTATTGTACGTTCGAAAAGTATTTGGTTGTATTTTGTAGTTCTCAAGTTACCCATGAACTTTCGTAGGCTACATATTAAACAATTAACGTAATAGACTTAGCATATTTAGCCTAATTTTTGAATGATGTCAACGTGATTCCAATGTTATGTTGTCGTGATTTGCAGAGATCGGACAAGATTCGTTTTAAGAAATTGTATTTCTTTTAGATAGGATTCCCTAGTTTTCGGACAACTGGGTTTCGGACAACTGGGTTTCGGAAAACTGGGTTTCGGAAAACTGGGTTTCGGAGAATTGGGTTTCGGACAACTGGGTTGACCCCGTGGGAATCGAACCCAAGGCCTTCTGCTCTTGAGGCAGATGCTCTAACGATTCAGCCAAAGGGGCTAGCCACTTCTGCTGAGACTGTTGTAGCGACTAGCTATCAAAGGTCATTACACCAGTAAGTAAAGTTTCCCAGTACGAAAGTTTACACAGTGAGTGAGGGGGGGGGCGTTGAACTTGAACTCTTGTCCCTGGCCTAGGCCTGTGATTTTTTTCAATACAACTTTTAGGCCCCCTTCCTCTTGATTTCTCTGCGCATAACTTATGACTATAGTACCAAGTGTTACTTCTTACCTAATACTTTGCAACATATGCCCTGTAACTAGAGAAAAGGTCATATTTTCACGGTTGTGGGAAGTTTGAGAACTAGAGTCTATCAACTTACCCTGACTTTTTCTAAATATGTAAGCAAACTTCAAATTTTAATTTTATTTTATTGGATTATTTCCATAAAATTACGGTAAAATTAAAGATTTACATAAACCAATAGATATACATAGCTAGATTTTTCTTGTCAATCAGTTACAAGTATTGTTAAGAATACGTTTTAAAACGTCTACTGTGAATTTACATAGTTCGGGTACATCAAATATTTCATTGCGCATGCGTCAAATTTTTATTCTTACTTCCGTTCAAAACTTTTAGAAGTATTTGTTCACATTTTAGCCAAACATGGATGATGATTACAATAAAAAGCAGCGTGTGCCGACAATTAAGGAATTGCTTTACGTAGCAACTGGTGTTGGATTGGCAGCAGTTGTGAATAGAACTCAAGCGAAACCTTTTTTTTCTTGTGAGTAAAAATGAATTGATTTTTTCGAGGTCTCCTCTGCCTTACTGAACACAGCTGGCTCAAAAGCCAGCTGACACACCGTTAGAATATACCGACGTGTGAAGCGTTTTTCCCCAACTTCCAGCTGGTGCGCTGGCATAAGTAACGGTATTTAGGAAGATAATTGAATATTACTTGCCCTTTTTTTGAAGTGTGGTGTCAACAAGTTCTATTTGTTGTGTAATTTGCAGTTAAATTGGAGAAATTTCTGTTCCGGCGCGCACCATTCTTAATTTTTTGCGCATGCGCTCAATTTATTCTCTTCATTGCAATGCCAACGGAAGTTCCCAGAGCTGACTTCTGTCAGCTCGGTAGAGTAACCTCTGCCGAAGGCAGCGCGAAGGGTCGCGAGTAAATCTCAGGCACGACATGGAAATCTGAAATTATAGAGGGCGCATATTCATTTTACACACGGCGAAATGAAATGAGATTTCCCGGGAAATTTTGGACAATACTAGTATATTAAGGTACAGCTGGAAAGTAACATTTTGGTAAAAAATTGCTATACCTGCACATGTTATTTTCTGGTACAAAATAAAGTATGAAGCCATGTGTCAATTTCCTTGCTTTTTTCAGGAAAGTATCATTACATTGTCTTCTTTTAAAATATCTAGTGGGCGTTCAATGGGAACTCCAGGAAATTCTGATATTTCACACTTTCTATTTTTCCAAATTTTCTTTCAAAGTTTCCAGACAACACAGGAGCTACCATTGACCTGTTTCCAGATATTCTAAAAGAAAACAGTGTAATGATACTTTCCTGAAAAAAGCAAGGAAATACACATATGCCTTCATACTTAATTTTGTACCAGAAAATAACATGTGGAGGTATAGCAATTTTTTACCAAAATGTTACTTTCCAGCTGAACCTTAAAGCGGCTCTAAGGTCTGTGGAGAGAAAAATGTAGAAATTTTACCTTTTCTGAGCTATCGGGGTGAAGTTTGGTCCAACATCTTCTTCCTTATTCCTATTTTATAAAAATGTATGCATATGGCAATATTCATTAACCGGTAGAACTGGCAAATCGTTTAGAATCTACAATTCCATACAAGGAGTCCCACTCATAGATTTTTCAAATTCTTTCCAAGTCGACGTCGAAACACCTAGCGGGTGAAATTGAAACTAATTTTTCTGGCTGCTCGAATCGATAAAATCTCTGATAGTGTGAGTCTTTTTATGAAATCTTTCTGATAGAAAACACTTAATTAATATTAGAAAGCATTAAATGTTGAATCCGAAGCATAATCTGAAATAAAAGTGAAAAAACATTGCGTGGACGTCAGAGAACAAACTTCCGGTTTAATAAAAAATGGCGGACGTCGAAGGAGAAATTATGACGAAGAATTAGAGGATTTTCCTTTGCCATTATCGATCGTTATAAGGTATGTGCACAAATTCGAGTTGCATACATGGAAAATAGATACATTTTTAAAGGCAACAACATATTCAAAGCTTTCATTTTACGATAGGCCCAGGATCATTGGATACGACTCGGCAATCGATATTCACACTTTAATAGTCTATTGTACATTGTACAACCACATTTGACCAGCACGATTACAAATCATATAGGGACCAATTAATATGATCTAAAACAATCAACCACGTACTGACCGAGCTTAGTAAAGAAAAAATATCAAGGATCAAGGTAAATCACTTATGATCAGGAACAATCACCTAAACCAGGGACAATCAACTAAGATTAGAACAATTGAGTACAATCACAGTATCAAAACAAAATATTAAGAATCACAACCAAACAATTGCCCAGAAGAGTCAAGAAAAATTTAAAGTAATAAAAACAATCACTTAAGATTAAGAACAATCACCTGTAAAATTGTTTAGGATCGACCCAATCCCTAAGGATCAAGACAGATACCAAAGATCAAGATCATGAGGATATTTCTAAGGATCAAAAACATTATCACTTAAGATCAATAACAATCACCTTGGATCAAGATTAATCACTTAGAATTAAGAACACCAAGGGCTCAGAAGAAATTTTTGGATCGGGAAAAATCACTTAGTGTGCTGTTAATGGGTTCAATAATGTAACTTAAAAGTCCAATATAAGATGAGATATAATGCATTTTTATTTGAGACATAAATACTATAACTTGACAGACATCTAGCAGCCCCTCAGCTATTGGCTAAAACACATCACGTGGTACAAAAGTAGGTCGAATTTGTGTAGTCCCGCCATATTTAGACAGACTTCCGGTACAAGTGCACTTGGATTTGCGCCCTCTATAATTTCAGATTTCCATGTCGTGCCTGAGATTTACTCGCGACCCAGCGCGAAGTAGGAGCGTAGCGACTACTTTGCGGGAGACCTCGAACCATTGATCACGTTTGCTCCTGTAATTATTCACTTCTTCACCTCTTTAAAATGTGATTTCAATCAGTTGATCAAATGTTCGGACTTTGACCTCAAATTCAAATATTAATATTTATAAGAAAAAATACTGACTCATTGATATATTTTTAAAAGTCTTTTAAATAAAGTGAAATGAAGCCAAAATCAGCTAAAATTATGCAATGTCGTAAAATGGCGTGACTGGAATATGATGCAATCACCCGTGACGTCAGACACGTATTGCCACATCAACAACTAAACAAACAATTAATATAGACTTCACTGATTGGTTTAAAGATTCTTCGCATCATTTGTGACGTCATTAACATGTTACCCAACCAACAACTAAACAAATAACAAATAGGCATATATGTTCGTTCAGTGCCACGCTCTTGAATCAGTTATAAACAGGGATAATCAACAGATATGAGAGGGTCGGGCATTTTTTTGACTTGGAGACCTCGACTCGAGGAGTTTGCTGCATTTTCTTGTTAAAGTTTCACCTTCAATCACTGGATTCAGAACAAGGAATTTACTGCAATTTTATTGTTTGTTTTTCAGCAATTCAACGTCACATCATAGGAGGGACCGTAGGGTATGCAGTTTCCCAGGTTGCGGCTAATTTTGAGAAGAAACGTCTCCTCCAGAAAGACATGTTGATACAAGATTACGTTCGCAGACATCCTGAAGATTTCCCAGGTGAGTTGAAAAATCAAAGTTCCAGGGTATTTTTCTTGAAAAACTTGTCCCAAACATGCAGTTCTTGCCCTTGAGAAAATAAAATTGGACAGTTTTATTTCTATGCTCTCTTATTTTATGCATCAGAAATAGTTTTCTTTTATAGATATTCAATTTATTTATTCCTTGATAAAGTGCTATGGAAGTTAACAGGAAATGACAAAACAAAAAATGAAAAAGTCAGAAAAAGTCAAAAGATTCTGTTCAGTGACCTTTCCTGAGCACCTAGAGTCCATTTCACTGCTTCATTTCGTCAGTAGAACGGCAAAAATAAGAAATTGGGAGACCATTGTGGAATAATATATGGAAAAGTATATTCATAATGTACATGAATGACATTTGTATATCTTGGATTGCTTCTAGTTTAGCTTATAAAGTGTGTGGCCTCTTATGTTTGGATGTTTCTCTGCCATGTTATTTTCAATAAGATTAACATGGCTGAAATTCTTCAATTTACAAGACGGCGCAGGCTTATTGCACGAAAAACTAAAAAATCTGAAATATACAAATGTCATTCATGTACATTATGAATATACTTTTCCATATATTATTGCACAATGGTCTCCCAATTTCTTATTTTTGCCATTCTACTGACGAAATGAAGCAGTGAAATGGACTTTACTCATAGCTATTTTTCAGTCACATTTTCAGAGGGCTGAAAAGGTTATTTCATCATGTTTATGGTCATTCTGACCATTTCCATTGTGTTCCCAGTCATGTAAATGATATGTGGAACTAGTTAAACTGACTGAAGGTCCAAAGAGAACTCTGTTATCTTGGTTCAAAATTTTTTCAAAATCCAGCATGGTTTTGACATTTTTTGTTTTGTCATTTCCTGTTAACTTCCATAGCACCATAAGCATAATTATCAAACGTGTCAAGATTGAGTTTTGTTTAAAGAAAATGGAAGGGGTTGCATCATAGATAATAAGCTAACAAAGTTCTCAGTGTTCAGTACCCTGAGTTCTGTAATCTGTACATGTAAAAAATTATAAATCCCAAATGGCTGTTTCACGCTATTGTGCGCAAATGTGTTGCGTAGTGTCACTGTCCGTAGCCCTTGCTAGCAAATATACTCCTACACTGCCAAATAAGGATATTAATGAGCAAGTGTCTGTTTTGTATGTTCATAACAGGAACATGTAACAAACAGGCAAACACTTGTAAATAATGTGTGATTTAGTTCAACTAGGTTACGGACACTACAGGGTAATGGACACTTCATTTCATGTTTCTCACCATGTAAAATTAGAAAGATTGGAGGACAACTGTTTTTATTTTTGCATCAGTGTAGCCCAAGATGAGAGCAATTAAAATGGAGAACCATTGTTTGATACTCCCTTTCAAACCTTTTAAAGCAAGGGGGCTACGGACACAACAGGAAATTTAACACTTTTACCAGCTTTAACAAAATCTACTACTGCTGGAAAATCTTTGCAGTCATCATGCCAGTATGACCAAAACAAAATAATGCAGTTTTTTTCAAGGGATTTTTGGCCAAGTTGTCTAATGTAAACCCCCTCCTCCTGGACTTTTTGAAAAGTGAATCCCTCTTCTACAAAAGCTAGCTACATTGCCCCAGATTGTCATGTAAAGTTATCCTTTTCACATTTCTTACAGGGTTTCACTAGAATTTCTCACAACAGGCTAAATAGGTGAAAACAACAGGCAAAATTAATAGAAATCACAAATTTCACATGGAAGAGTTGAAAAGTCCCTAGAAACAACAGGCAATTTTGTGAGAACAACCGGTGAAAATTGCCTGTTGCCTGCTGCTTATGATACCCGTCTTATGGGTCAAAATATCTTTGATTTCACTTCACTATGACATGCATGTGCAGTAGATCTGTCTTGCCGATATAAATAAAATGTTAAAATAATGAATTTCTTTGTGTATTTTCAGATATTAAAGTTTACTTCAAAGAGGTTCTAGAGCCATGGACCCCGATTCGGTGAACACTGAACCATGCTTAGGGAATTTGTACATAGATGCCAAAAAACTATTTAAAATCAAAAATACCATAATTTGATGTTAAATGATGGAAAAATTGGAACCATGAACACTTCGATTTCAAAGTTTCAAAGATGTTTTAACAAAATATTGCAGATGTATAATTGGACTGATTTTTATTTAGAAGAATTTGAAATTTAAACATTTAAAATATATATCTATGAGTGATGAGTAGATTAGATTGATGGTTTTGTAGTAAACGTAGGAGTATCCATGTAATTGCAAATTAACTGAAACAAATGCCAAGATATCAGAATTTTTGAACTACTTTGGATTGGTGTTGTTGCTACCTACTTTTGTGCAAAAGTTGAAATGTTTACACTCTTGTATCCATAGCAACATATGTTTATTGTGAAAATTGATTGCTTGCCCAAGCAGTATCTGTCATTGGTATACAATAAATATGTAGAATATGAGCTTTGTTAAAACTTAAATTGATGTTCTGTCTTTCGATTGATCACCAAGTCCAGTTTGAGTCTTCTAGTTATGCCACCACCAAAAAGTGGTGACATACTGTTATGGTCTACCTTTTTTTCATGGCGGTTGGCGGTGGGCATCTGTAACAAATTCTTACAACTTCCAATAGTTAAACAATTACTGTATAGACTGACTTTAATTGTTTTCAAAATCATCTACATGTTTTCAGAAGTTCAAATCTGACTTTATATTTAAGATTTGACCTTCAATGACCTTTTCAAGGTAAAAAAAAGGTTAAAAAGTTGTTTTTTCAACTTGCTTCAAATTGACCAATTTTTTTCAAAATTATCTTTAAGTTATCGGATGTTCAGATCTGACTTAAGATTTGAGATTTGATCTTCAATGACCTTCTTAAGGTCAAAAATGATCAAAAATGTATTTTTTTCAACTTGCTTCAAATTGACCAATTTTTTATTTCCAAAATCATCTACAAGTTCTCAACAGTTCTAATCTGACTATAGATTTGACCTTCAATGACATTCTCAAGGTCAAAATAGATTTGACCTTGAACGACCTCTGCAAGGTCAAAAAGGTCTTTTTTCATCTTGCTTCAACTAGGTGGTGACATTTTGTCATGTTAATGCCTTGTTATTTTATTTCTGTATTGCATTGCTTTATCCCAAAATCCCTAAAGTTCATTACTTATTTCTGCAAATTTCTTTCAAAATACAGTGAAACCTGTAAAGTGGAACACATCCTCTGTAAGTGGAACACCTTCATTAGTAGAACACTTCAAAGTCCTGCAGCCTATTGACTTATTACCTCTGTAAGTGGAACATCTCCCAAGTGGAACACTTTTTAGCCATACCAAAGGTGTTCCACTCACACAGGATACCACCATGGTTGAGATAATCGGAGGGAAATTATCAATCAAACGTTATATCAACTCCATTAAATGTTCAAATGTGTATGCAAGTCTTTTTGATTTCAAATTTAACTCTGCGCATGCACAGCACTGAGAGAGCACGTGCTCATGATTGTTCACGTGATCGAATCCTGCAATTTGATTGGAGATGATGCAAGAGATGATGTAATGGGGAATCCCCGAATATGATAGAATATGAAAGAATTATGGGAGCTACTCACTCCTCCTGATAAATCACATTGGAAGAAATTGCCGAGAGTGTTTGACTTGACAGGCATCAAAAGTACATAACATGAAAAGGGCAATATTTTGAGAAAATGTGAAATGGAACATGTGCAATATATAATATACTTTCATTAAATCTAGAAGAGGTCCCCATCGTAATTTAGTATCTCAAACTATATTTTTTAGCATAGTTCTTACAGCTACACAAAATGGTATTTGTTGATTAATTATTTCATATTTACATTTTTTATTCCTTTTGATGTGACTGTATAACCTGCCCCACCCTACCTAAACTCACCAACTTGATTTTATTATAACATCAATATAGTTTTATCAATCAACATGAAAAAATGTAGAATAATCAAAATGTCTCTAAGAAACATTTACTGAAAATTCATGGAAAAATATCAATCATTGATAAAGTTAGAGCATATAGTGCATTACTTATGGGACAACCCTCGTACATAATTATTAAGTGAAGATCTTACTGAACTAAGCTCAAGGTCTAAAATACGCCAAAATATGAAAAAATAACAAAAAATGCATAAATATTTAATACTCTTCTTTATTTATATTTATTATTATTTTACATCTCATATGATCAATTTTACAATTTTCTACACTGCTATCTTTTTAAAACTAGATCACAAAATATTGCTATGATTAATATAATATATAGTAAATAAATATCTGCATGATATCAATATATAAAATACATCTAGAAAAATAGTATTGCACATTTTACAATACAAATCACTAGAATTTGTCATCAATTCTATACAAATGTTCACTGCGTAGACACTGAATTTGATTGATCAATGAACATCAATATTGCGATACAATTTCTGAAATTGACATTCTGTTCATCTTGCCCCCCCCCATCCCTCCATTACCCATTTCCCTTATCTGTTAGGTGAGTGTGTTGAGGTGGGGGGGGGGGAGGTACAAAAAGACAAACATTCTGTGACCTACAACTTGATCAACTGGTTAAATATTAAATGAATATATTATTTATTTATACATTTATAGATGTCACTACATACTCGTACATAATTGTATCTTTTGGGAGGAACATCCTGGGCCCAGGATCCTGAGTGAACACTGAGGTATGGTGTCCAGTATGGAAACCGCTTGGAATCAGAGTTTTTCTATCTGAACCAGTGATCTGTAGATCTTACAAAACAGTTCAATATTGACATTTAGGTGGAGGTTTTTCAAATATTAATTTTATCCAGCAAGGTTATCCTTCACCCAGGAACTTCCGGGGATTTATTAAAAAAAATTGGCGGGGACTTAATTTGGCGGTTGTCAAACTTACAGTATCACTATCGGAGTTTATTTTTGACGATTTTTTGCCAAAATACCCAATTGTATTTCCTAAAAATGTCTTGATTGCAGATTTTGTTCATACCTTTATTTCGATATTGTGTGTGTTATTAGTCTTGACAAATGACATGACAGACTGTCTTGATTTCCCTTGTGGATTTTCCGTCATATTTCCAAGTCTATACTTTGAGGACTTTTCAAATCTACCCTTGGAAGAACTCCGCAGGAATTTTATTTTTCTGATGACCAATCAGAGATCCACAATCCAAAAATAGGTGAGGCAAATCTAAATATATGAGGCAAAATTTAACCCCAAGAGAATATTGAATTCGCCAAAAAATATTTTTTTCTGTAAAATTTGAATTGCCTCTCCTGCCATGGTTTTTCACCTATAAGGGGGGCTGTTGTCAGAGTCTATCTTTGGTAGAACTTTCATAGCTGCTGTTTTGTTTATTGGACCCTTCTTAGGATCAATTATCCTCTGATCTGCTGGGATGTTCCTGGAATCATAAAATCACACTTGCTAGAAATCAATTTCAGTTTTATTCACCATTAAAAGGTTTGCATGAGACCTCCAAAATGGCCAAAATGTGGAGAGGGTGGGGAATCTGGCATGGAGTTTGATTGTCCCAAGGGTGGGATTTCATACTTTATCCTTAGAGTATGGACTTTTGAAATGCATGTTACCAGTAATAGGAATTTTGATATCTTTGACCACATATTATGACTCAAAGGGTGGCGAAATTGACTCAAGAATGTAGATTCTCTCTGGATCGGCCAATTTATATTTTTGAGACCCCTAACACTTAATTGCGTGGGAGACTTTCACAGAAACCTTACAATGGTGTATTATGCAGGAAAAATAAATCAGATAATTTTATTTCACATTTTTTCAAAATGTTGTGAAAAACTTAATCTGCAATAAAAGATAAAAGTACATTTGAATTAATTTTTTGTTTATAAATTGAGACTGTGTACAGTCACTGTGGGAGGGGTTTGTGAATACAATTCACAAATATAGGAATTGTGCAAATCACATCATATTTTCAAACTTCAAACTAAATGGGGTAAATTAATTAACAACCTCCTTTCCTTTTTCAATGATGTGACTGGTAAACAGATATACCTGACATAGCACAACAATAATAGATGACCCATCTGTGTCCAAAACTAAACTGAATGATTTATACCTTGGTGTTTTAGACTTGGTATCAAGTTCACGTTGCGATGTTGCTAGTGCTGCCCTCTGTCTTTGCTGTAGTTTGTCGATTGCTTGCTTTGCACTGTAGATTTCAACTTGGTATTGTTTCCGCTCATCGTGGGCTTTATGGTACGCCTGGAAAATTTATATCCAATCCATTCATAGGATTCATTGTTATAATAAATATGGTAATCTTATTTTGTTGTTCTGAAAGCAAGTGGGTCATCTAATCAGCAGACTTTTATTTTCTAAAACCAAAAAATCAGTGGCTAGTTCATTGCTTCCTATTACATGCATAGAAAGACGCATATCTTTGACAGTAAATATGGCCTCGGCTCTCAAATGAGATATTAAATTAAAAATACTGTCTTTGACATGCACTACATATGCTTCTAGTATTACAGCCAGTGTGCAATCTTCCCAGGATTTTTTTCTCAAGTGTTTGGAAAATTCTCCTTTATATAAACACCAAAATTGGTCAAAATATATCAAATTTTCATTATTTTTCTAATTTTCTCATTTTCAAGTGGGTGCTAATGTGTTTCAAGCTTATTTACAATATCTCAAGTTGGTGCGGCACCCACTTGCTCCAATGCTGGGGAGATCATTGCCGTGTGTTACAGTTACTATGGTAACATTTGTTACATACTTTTGATTCCTGGTCAAGCCTCCATTCCAAATCTCTCAGCTGATTGGCTAGATCGTTTCGCTGTTTTTCTAGGTTCTTAACCATCTGAAGTGTCACATGGTCATCATCAATTTTAGATACATCACGGGGACTCTTATTTACTGAAAATATACAAAAATTATGCAAATTTAACAAAGGACCCACGGTCCTGTGCTCACACAGTGTAGAACCTTCAGAGGAATGTTTATCTTTTTTGACCTTTTTTGACCTTTCGAAAGTCAAATCTCAAAACTAAGGCCAGATTTGAACTCCTGGCAACTTGTAAACGATTTTCCCCCAAAAATTTGGTCAAATTGAAGCAAGTTGAAAAATAACTTATTTTTACTGGTTTTTGACGTCAAATATCTCAAAAACAGTAAAAATTTGATGCTGACATATATTAAGCAATATCTAGGGAATGCTTAAATCTAGTAATGATGTAATTCATTGCAAGTAATGAACAAGTATAGGGACAAACTTTGAGAAATTTGTCAATCACAAAACCTGCCATTGACAATATATATGAGAAAGTTCCCTGAAAATGACTCCCTTTAGCCCTGCTTTTTGTCAAATTTTATAGAGTAAACACCAAAAACTGTAATTCCCAGAGCTTTGAAATCATCAGAGGACATATGTTGCACATACAGCAACAACTACCACTTATTTGAAAGTTCTACTTCAACAAAGTGTCTGATATTTACAGAAAATTTGACTTTTTGACGTCAAAATCAGCAATTTCTCGGAAACTGGGCGAACTTGAGGAATGGCGATGATAGGTCAAACAGGCATTATGGATATGCATAAAATGAATGTGGATATGACTCAATCCGAATAGCAGTTTTAATATGTGCAGCCAATGTTGACGGATGGACGGACCAACGGATGGATGGACGGATGGATGCCTGGTCGATCCCATAGGCTCACCGTGTGAGCCAAAAATGGCTCAATAAATTATGTTCGAGAATATAGATTATCTTTGAGAATAAGCACTTAAAGCTTGGCTTTTACTCTATTTGTCTTATCGGGACACTTGAAAAGACCTCTCCTGCACTGACCAGGTACGAACATTTTCTGTCACGCAAAAATAACAGGCGTGACTTCAAATTCTTCAGCAAATGCGTGACAAATACGCAAATTGCTGGACAGTTGACAGGCCTGCATAGCGAGGGCCTAGGGCGGGGACGCTATATCTCGTATTATATCTCAGTATCTGAAATTCAACAACTTTTTAAAGAAATATAACTTCACTACCTGATTAGCTTATATTATGTAAATGCAAAAATATAATATAAAGTCCCTATACAGGGTGTCCCGAAATATGGGGGCCCCCCTAGGCAGACATATACCAGTGTCCTCATAGTATGTGTCATATATCATCTTAAAGCTTATCCAAAGTTACATTGATTTGCCAAGTAACATGGTTTAACTCCCAAATGAGAAAAAGTTACAGTAATTTTAAAGATGTTAATTTAAGAGCAAAAAAGGCTCCAAAACTTAATGAAATATGTAGTTTGGATGTTCATTTATATCTGTGGATTATATTTTATACCACAAACACTTTATAAATACCTGAAATTTGCAATAAAAGTGCCCAAAAATTGTTGTTTCGAAATTCCCCATTTTTCCTGTATCGCGCTAGTCACGTGACCATTACGCGTAGCAGGCAATGTACAGATATTACAGTACATATAATATGTTCAATATGACAAACATCAGCAATTCTGATTCCCGGGTTCTGGGAAATGGCTATATAAATCGGCGAGAGGGTGTAATTTGAATGAAGACAATTTAAGGAGGGGGAATGTGTGCAAGTATGGCAGTAAGAGAGCAGATATGGGGACTTTAGACAAGAACTATGACGGAGAATCAACTAAAAATGTGAGTTCTGGAATGAAGACCCGTTGCCATTGACTGAAGATTCCAGCGATCCTATTATCATACTCAGTTTGAATCTAGACGCGGAAAACAGATTATGAAAACAGGTTTTCTGCAAAGTTATCAAATTTAGAAAATATGTATCTTGTTTTTGAGTGACTTAACAAGCATTTAGATACAAGACTTGGCGCTATCTCTTGTCAAATACATGCACTGGACTTGCAGTAAATTGGCCATTGCAAATTGCAAAATCAGATCGTCAAATTAATCGCTTCGGTTTTAAACCTACGCTTCATATCTTCTTCCAAAACTTTAGGATTCGATAGAGATAAGTTATAACTTGTACAGGAATAAATGGCAGATCCTACCTAATTTAGAATCGCTGATTTCTCTGGACAAATTCCGAGAAGAAATTGTTCAACATCGCGATCACCTCAGAGTCAGACAACATGTCGCGTGCGTGTCACTCTGAACTCACTCTGAACTCACGTGATAAAATACTGCATCTTGATTGGTTACTACTCATGTTGTCATGACGCGAAAAGCAGTAGTAAACACTGAATATGTTAATGAACTGCCATATATGGAACAATTGTCTTTCTGATTGGTTAACTTTACACGCGTCCTAAATGAATATAGTAGTCGTAGTAAATGATTCATTGATAACTCTGAAAGTGGGCGTGACCAGCTTCATTTTGACACCAAATTCAAGATGTTTCAAATCAAAATGGCCTCGCAAGACGAGGTTGAAATATCAGCAATTTGATACTGATATGGTCTACGATAGATCAAAATTGCCTGCCCCGCGTCACATGTCACGTGAGCCTATATTTGTTGAAAAGTGAAAGAGATAGTGACACTTTTTAATCTTAAGTTTATACCAATATTACAAACAGATATCTATTTTTTTCATTATATATTTATTTCTTCATTATACATACATTTGTTTTATACTACATTGATTTATTTTTGCAAAACCTTTGCTATTAGATCTTTAAAAGTTAGTGTTTTGTCAAAATAAAGTTCAATTTTACACCACATTACTAGTCAATGTGTCCCCCCTTTTCAGATATGACCTCGGAAGCCCTTCAAATAGGGGTGTGAAATTTTATAACCCTCTTAAAACCTGTTAAGGGACTTTAGAAGAGTTTCCTTAGAGTTTCTACCCTCACCGTTCTCTTTTTCCAACTCAATATCCATCCGACCCGAAAGAATTGCTGCTGTTAAGATGGCCCGGGAGGACACATTGACTAGTGTTTTGGTGTAAAATTGAACTTTATTTTGACCAAACACTAAATTTTGTAATGCCTGTAATTTTTTCACATTTGAGAGTTGAACCATGATACTTGGCGAATCAAAGTAACTTTGGATAAGCTTTAAAATGACATATGACACATACTATGACAACACTGGTATATGTCTGCCTAGGGGGGCCCCATACTTTCGGGACACCCTGTACTATGAATCTATGATGTTCATTAAAATATGAGCAAATCATTCAAAGGTTTACCTTGCTTTATGTTCTCTATGTTGTTCTTGGTTTCATCTATTTTAGTCTCCAAGGTGATATTTTGTTTCTCTAGTTGATGGTTCATCTCAGACTGCATCTCAAATCTTGTTTTCCACTCGTTGCCTTAACAACAAAGATAAAATCGAAATCAAATACTGGGCAATCATAAAACAAAAATCAGAAAAACATGTTTATGTACTAACCTATTGTTTTGAGGCAAGTGTGAGAAGTTGGCAGGATGGCAAAGGTGTAGTTGGGTGTTTAAGCTTGCTCGAGAGTTCGTGACCTTCATTAGACCCATTCTAGCTTCAGATATATGTATAATTTCTCAACACTAGCTTTTCTCCACCACTTGTGGTGGTGTGGAATAGACATAGTTTATTTCATGTTGGATTATGGTTTTGGATAGTTGGAGGTTGTTTTCCTACTTAGATGTTTTATTTTCATCATTGGGTTCCTTTACAATATCTGGTCCTTTCCCTTCAGCACTTGTACAAATTTCATTTGTGGATCATAATTCCAACAACCTCCCAAAGCAAAACCTTCTTCTTTCATTTTGTCATCAATATACTTAAATTTACATTCATGAGAAAAAGGAGTCTTGTCACTGGATCATTGTTTTCAAACATTATTCCTGCTAAGGGGAGGCATCAAAAGTTCGATGTTGGATAGAAATCTAAATGAATCTAGTTAGGGGGGGGAGGGGGTTCAAACCCATTTCAGTTTGCTATCCGACAAGTTTCAACATTTCAAATTTTTGGCAATTTCGGCTAAGAATGCCTTTGAATGGTTTAAAAATAAAGATTTTACCTGATGCTTTCTTCGCCAAGATCATTCCAATGGATTCTATTCTATCAATAGTTGTTAAAAGCCGCAAATTACGATAGGAATTAACAAGAACTAGATTGTGTTTAGCAATAATTTTTCAAATTCTCAAACCGGAAGTCAGCGATCAACTTTCATGTTATTTAGTTTTTGGGGGGAGGGGGGGTCAGAGTCAAAACTAGATTTATTTAGTTTCCGATCCGACATAGAACTTTTGATGCCTCCCCTAAACAGACTTCACCTGTTTGGAACTGAACACAAACATACCTTCATTATCGATCTGGTCAAATCTCTTCTCCAGCTCTCCTACTGTCAGTTGTAGCTCTGTCATTGACTGTGATAACATCTCCCTAGAAGTAGAATAGCACATATTATCCTACACTTAGTGTGCTAAATATATAACATTAAAAAATAAATTTGATATTTATTGGCAAAATGAATAACTGGAAGATATCATGATGATATACTCCGGGCGGAGGATATCGTGACAATATACTCCGGAGAACCCAATATGCAGAGGATATTGTGACGATATACTCCGCTTGTTGATTTCCCGCCAAATTGACTCTAAATGGCATGAAATTCATTTTGCAATGATATTATACATTTTGTACACTCCTTGTAAGTGTAGGATAATAAGAACATCCTATAATTTTTTTTCAGAGTATCATTTTAATCTACTTGGTGATATTGATATATGCACTCGTTCGCTTTGCTCTCTTGTGCAGATATCAATATCTCGTAGATAAAAATGATATTCCTCAAAACCATAGGATATCCTATATTAATATATTCTAAATGCATGTAAGCTACGCAGCCGTTGCACGTCCCTCGTAAATCAAATGTGACTGAGGCTTTAGGCCTGTAGGCTTACATGTATTTGCACTTTCATAGAAATTGAAAATTGAAAACTGTTTTGAAACAACAACACTGTTTCTAGGACCTTCAGTCGAGGAAATCCATTATAAATGCATGTAACGAACGCTTATATGAGGAAATTATATTTCCAATAATCGATACCAACCTCATTTGCTTCTCTTGCTCCAATTCCCCTTTTAATTTTTCAATTTCAAAACTTTCGCTCAGATCATCGGCAGCCATTTTGACGCTCTCCCATCTCCATGTGGGAGCGATCATTTTGAGATCATTTTCAAATTGTTTATTTTGGCTTATCTAACTTATAGTTACAATGATATCACTTGCTGAACAAAATAACATAAATCTGAGATAATTTGGAGGTATTTTGTTCTAAATCAAATCCGTTTTTAACTGTAAATAAGTGGAGGAAAATATGTCTAAATGTTTCGCCCCTGAGGGAAGTGGGTGTGTCAGAAACAGTGCCCGGATGTGGGTGTGGCATGTATTCAAAATGGCGACCGGAGGGGTGAGCCAAAGTTCGAAAGAGGAAGACGCATTTCATCGAATATCACCTCATCGAACTGCGGGGATACATTCCAACGAAGGCCAACCTGAACAAAATACAGGCAAGTTTCAAATTTTCTCATCATAGTAAATATAACCCGATTGTTGATCTACGTTTGTTGACATTTCGGTAATATTTGAATGTGATCAGCTGGATCATTTCCTCAATTCAGAGCTAAAATCTATTTTAGGAAATGAAAAGCAGTAACACTTCCATATTTCTGGCTATAACAACATGCAGAATTCAAGGAACATGGAACAGTGCATACATGTAGCTAAAACTTGTTATTATATTTTTTATAAATATATTTTGTATTATAATTTACAGAGCTTCCAGTTTCATCGAAAAGTGAAAGTGAAATCGATCAAAATGAAAAATGGTAAGTTGTAATTTTCATGTTATAGAATTGAACATAATTTCTGAATACGCTATGTGATGTAGTGTGATTTTAACTTGATTTTATCACATATTACTCGAGTCTCTAGCTTACAGCTAGACGAAACTTCATTGATTTCGTATGTACTGTGCTACACGCACCTAGAACTCATTTTTAATAAATTTTATAAATATTTTTAAGAATATTAATCATATTTAGGATGAAGCGTTGCTTGTCTGGATTTAGATATTTCAAAATTTCATTTCGGAGTTTTGACACATGGTGAAATTTTCTCGCTGTAGCTAAAAATGGCTTCCGGTTCTGGACGTGAATAACATTTGAAATTATTCTCGCTTAAAGAAATCAAATATAACAATAGATTCAGACGGGGATGTGAGCTGATGTTCTTCAAATCTATACATAAAGGTATATTTCATATTATTATGCCATATTTACTGTGCGTGTGATACAATGATTTACAATATTTATAATACTAAGGCAGCTCAATATTCCTCCTCAAAGCCGGAATATAGAGAAGGCTTTGGACCGAAGTAAATCACATAGCATCCGATGTATGAAATGTCAATGCATGCAGCAGAAATCATTCACAGGTATTTTTTCATTAACATGAAAGAGAAAGGTTAGGGTGACCTGATCATTTCTATTCACTTAATGCTAAACATGCAGTAATAGGGTCATTTTGCTTATTCATTGCCAGTTTAGCTATCTTGAGCAGTTTTGTACTTCATTATCCATCATAAAAATGTATTTTTATGAACCGCTCATCAGAGCTGGAAAAAGTCTATCATATCTAGGATTCGCCCAAAATCAGATTGATCAGTTATAGCCTTGATGAAGGCAAATAATCTTTAAATATAGGCTCACTTTTTCTGCCTAAGCCAGAAAGGTAAACTAATATGTTAGTAAGCACTTATACATCTGTAGGATAGTGGCTAAATTAATGGAAATCATAAATTTAACATGGAAAAGTTGAAAAGTTCCTATAAACAACAGGCGATTTTTTGAAAACAACCGATGGAAATCGCTTGTTGCCTGCTGCTAATGAAACCCCTGGTAACTGTACTTGCATTTAAGAACCTGGGATATAATCAAGGGAAATACTGATATTAAAATACGATTGAAAGGAATAAAGTTAAATATGAGCTATGACCTACATTTACATGGATCTACACTCTGCAGTAGACATTTTAATCTTAGATTTTATGTTATTTTAAAACACACAAAAAGCTTTTGTGAATTATATACAATTCATGGTTAACAGATTTCATAAAAAACTTAGTAACTTGAATAATTGTTCAAATCTTTTGTGTAAAATGTTTTCATTCTTTAGAACCTTTCACAACTAATATGACAAAATCAATACAAAAACTCAAGATTTTCATTTTTAAATACTGTCTTTTACAAAGTACAAAGTAGTGACATGTTAACACAGTGACACTGAAGGCTTTTTGAGATTTATAAGTTATAATGACCTGCGTTATATGTTTCATGCATGAGCGTTATTCATACCCTTAAAGTTCCAAGGTAGCTAAATCAACATGTTTTACATATATGTCATTGAATTATAAGGGTATTTAAATTTTGATACATGTATCTACCAAAATAAAAGGACATATCATTATATAAATGTAGTCAGCTGAATGATGTATGCCAACATTAAATTAAAGATAAATAGATATGAAAAAGAAATGAATCCCAAACAAGGTCAGTAACTAGACCTTTTTTTATTTCATGTTAATTTCTCAATCGAATCACTCTAGTTTAGTACATAGATTGTAAAATACCATTTTGTAACCTAAACATTGTATTTAGTTCCATTTTTTCACAAAAATCTTCCAAAATACAGTACGTTCTTAAGATTTGAAATCCTGATTAACATGTAGAATTTAGTGCAAAACTTAGTGCAACTTGGAGAGCATCGCATTTCTGAGGTTACATTGTGAATCAATTTTAATTTTAATCATAATTTATTCAATTATTAACATTGATGAAGCTTTAATTAACTTAATGACATAGTTGATAATGAGTGATGAAGAGTTTTTCAAACGTTGATTGGGATTTGTAATTCTAATAGAATCACAGTTCATTTCAATGGTAGATTATTTATAAGTTTAGTCACCATTTAGTAAGCATCTAAACAAACAACAGAAATTGAAGAAAGAAATGACTTAAAAATCCTAGAAATCCACAAAAGTCAAGAGGCAATTAAAGACTATTTTGTAAAAAATGAAATCACCTAAAGTCATATAAAATCAAGTCAAGAGGGGGGGGGGTGGGATCAAGTTAGATACTGCTAAACAGATTTTTAGTTTGAACTAGCCTTGCTTTGTCACAAGGTCATCTTGGTATGGTCCTTGGATTATCCTCAATTTGGCAAGTTTTCTGCTAAAACCTAATAAATTATGATAATATGTACACATGTAATAACCCTTTTCAAGAGGTTTTGCATTTTAAAAGAGAGCTTCATTTGCACTCTTTGAATAAGATAACTCCTTTGATCTTGTCTTAACCAATCAGATTGGATCAAACAAAATAAGCTACCGAATCAGAATTGCTTGCAACTGAGATCAGCATCAGATCAGCATTGCTGGCAACTGAGATCAGCATCCAAACTATTCATATACATTTGTTTGTCTTACTCAGAGGCTGGAATTACCCCTAATCACTGCACTTCAGGGTAGTAACAGGTTACTGGCACGTCCTCAATTTGGCAAATTTTTACTCTGAAAGATTACTGTGGGTCCTTCATTATAAGATCATTCTGAAGGAAATTGCTAAAATTATTCAATAGAAAATATATACAGTAAAACCTGTATATATCGAACATTTTTTTATTGAGAAAAAATATAGTGTTGGTAGGACGGAATGATACAGAAGTCAGTATAGTATCTTAATGCGAAGGATGGGTGTCTACTAGAAACAGGTTTTCACTAGAAAGATATTCAGTAAGACTTTAGAAATTATAAATACTTACTTACATATATCTCAGTAACATATATTAAAAAAAGAGAGAAAATGATTGTTGGAATTAGTTTCAAATAGTGCAGTTTGGAAAGGATTAAGGAATCTGTAAGTGTTTAAATAATTAGGTTTGTAGCTTCCACTGTACAAACTTGTTGACTGATCCAGGGGTAGACTGGATGAATTATATACCTCTGTTTTATTGTTGGTAACAGAATTTTAAGAAAAATACATGGATACTCAGCAACATTTATTTTCTAAACCAAATCAACATTTTTTTTCCAAAACTAATTTTGCAAACGAATTGAATACCTCATATTGACCAATCAGAATTGAGAATTTTAATTGATGGACTAACAGTTTAAATTGAATAAGAATGTATAGAATCAGACAGAGTAGAGAAAACTTGAGATTGAGAATAGACAAAACTTCAAAGGTATGTTTTGCGTAGGTAGACAAAGTTGCAAAACCAGATCTAAGGGCAGCTAAGGTCAAGCTGAATTTTCAAACTTAGAGGCAGTTGCTAATATACTTTCCAACTTTATCTAGGCATGGAAAGGGTCTAAGTTTTATTTTTTCATTTCCAGGAATACATTTAATTATGTCGTTGTCACATCACATTTACTGCACCACTATACAGTTATATGAGTGGATTCTGCATTTTGTATTGAAGGTTTTCAGTTTGGTTTCTTTTGACATGTCAATAGGCCAAGTTAAAGAGTGGGTGTGGTCATTTTATATATTCATCACCAGAGACACATTCAGAAATAGTTGTACATGTACTTTATAGTCAAGTTGATGTATGCATTATTAAATTGTTAAATTGGAGCATTGCTTTTTGGCTAGAAATAAGTTATCTTTATAGTGAATATATAAGTAATTTTTGGCTCACACAGTGAGCCTATGGGATTGACCAGGCGTCCGTCCTTCCGTTGGTCCGTCCGTCCGTTGGTCCGTCCGTTGGTCCGTCCGTCAACATTGGCCGCACAAATTAAAACTGCTATTCGGATTGAGTCATATCCACATTCATTTTATGCATATCCATAATGCCTATTTGACCTTTCATCGCCATTTCCCAAGTTCGCCCGGTTTCCGAGAAATTGCGGATTTTGACGTCAAAAAGTCAAATTTTCTGTAAATACTAGACACTTTGTTGAAGTAGAACTTTCAAATAACTTTTAGTAGTTGGTGTATATGCAACTTATGTCCTCTGAAGATTTCAAAGCTCTTGGAATTACAGTTTTTGGTGTTTACTCTATAAAATTTAAAAAAAGTAGGACTTAGTCATTTTCAGGAAACTTTCTCATGTATAAAGTCAATGGCAGGTTTTGTGATTGACAAGATTCTTAAAGTTTGCCTTATACTTGATCATTTCCTGCAATAATACATCATTAATAGATTTAAGCAGTCCCTACATATTTCTCAATATATGTCAGCATCAAATTTTTACCGTTTTTGAGATATTTGACGTCAAAAAACAGTAAAAATAAGTTATTTTTCAACTTGCTTCAATTTGACCCAATTTTTTTTTGAAAATCATCTACAAGTTGCCAGGAGTTCAAATCTGACATTAGTTTTAGGATTTGACCTTTACTTGACCTTCAGTGACCTTCGAAAGGTCAAAAAAGTTGATTTTTCAAATTGATTTTTGGATGTAAATTTTGGTCAGCTTAATCACAAAAGACCTTACCGATTCAAGGCCAAAGGTCATCAAACTAGGTCACACAACTATGCTATCTAAGTTTCTCAAAGTTCGAGACTACAAATCATAATCAATATTTTTGTTTGAAAGTCAGGATATAAATTCCTCTGAAGGTTCCAAACTGTGTGAGCATAGGACCGTGGGTCCTTCATTTAAAATATATTTAATTACCGTATTATCGCCTATTGGCGCACAGTACGCTTGTGAAATTGAGGTGAAATACCATGGAATTGGAGAGAAATCAATCCAATAAAGTCGCAATAAGCGCACATATAAGTTATCATTTTGATTGGGTGATAATATGTGAAAATCAGAATTCGAAGCCTGGTTTGAAATGAATATTATCTTACTTACTGTTTTTTCACGCCAAATCATGTCTTGTGTCGTTTATTTACCATAATATTACGTTTTTAAAGGACCAACTATTGGTAAAATAAAGAAATATTGCGATATTTATCAGGTAAAAGTTTTGACTTTTATTTTATTGTCATAATAACTACCACGCATCAAAGTTTGAGTAGACCGGAAGTTGGATTTTCCTACCCTGAAATGAAATTTGGTGAATTAAAAAATCGTTGTGCGCTTATAGGGGAGTGTGCGCCAATAGGCGATAATACTGTATGTCCTGAAGGCAAATAGTGGGTGTGGCAATTTAAATCATTGCCAGAAGAGCATTCAATTATATACAGTTTGCAAATTCTGTTTGTTGTACTTATATATTTAAGTGATGTCTGCATTGTTTTATTGGAGAGCTACTGCTTGGTTGGAAACACGTTATCTGTAAAGTAAGTTTTTTTAATAGATTGCATGTCCTAAGGTTAAAAGTGGGTGTGGTAATTTTATATGTTCATTGCCAGAAACATTTTCATTTTTATGCAGGTCACGCAACATGTCATCAAGTCTGATTTATAATATTAGAGGCAGAAAACAACAGTATAAAAGTATAAAAATATAAGATAAAATTACATATGCTATAGGTTTCTGAAAAGTAGAAATGTGTTCAGTTGTATGTAGTTTGCACATGGTATCATCAATCTGAGGCTATAGTGTTTTAGAAGAGGTCCTGGCTGATTTTCAAAACTACAACTTTTCTAGTATAAAGTGTTAGCAAATGAAATTACATATACCCGGACTATAATCAATGTAAAGTAGGCAATTGTCCCAAAGGCGTGTAAGGGGTGGTGTTTTATATAAGTAGATTGTCATTGTATGCATACAATTATATGCAGTTTGAATAGAGTTGTATATGCACAGTACAGTACATGTATGTTGTAAGGTGAAGTTGCATTATAATTTATTGGAACAGTTTGGCTGAAAACAGTTTAGTTACTGGTACTAGAAATACTCTGGACTTGCAGGATTTCATTAGAATTCATGACAATAGGCAAAATGAATGAAATCAGCAGCTAAAACAAGTGAAAACACAACAGGCGATTTCATTGGAAATTATAAGTTTACGATGGAAACATTAAAAAACTGCAGGGTGATTTTGATAAAAACACCTGAGAAAATGGAAAAAATGACTTGTTTCCTGACAACCAATGGAACTCCTTACTGTACATTTATATGATCAGTGCAAAGTCTAGGCCTGTAGGCGGCAAGGACATGAGTAGGTGTGTTAATTTTTTATATGTTGATCGCCAGAAAGCTATTCATTTATATGCAAAATGTTTACAGTCTGTGATTAAGTTCAGTAAGTTCAGTTTGTATTTGATTTTCGATTTGCTGGAGTCTTGGATACAACTGGCTACAATACATTTTATTTAAAAAGGTTACATGGTATGGCTCCTTTATATTGTTCTGATAATGTGTTTGAGCACTCAGTATGTTAATATGGTAGGTGTTGAGCCGTGGATCCAACTTGTGATAATATATTTATTACTCAGAGCTTATGCTTTTGTTTACACAAATAGATTATGATTATGAATTGGATTTAATACAAATTACAATAGGTAATTAGTGAGTTAATCAGAAACATTAATTGATGTAATTAAATTAATAGTAGGCTGTATCCGATGAGTCCAAGGGAATATGTTGTGATGTTCATGTTAGAAAACTGAAAATACAAGAAAATATCCTGAAAATATTTGAAGAGTGGAAGAATTAATCCAGGACTATTGTAAAATCATTATACAGAAATTCAGGAAAATATGGTTTTATGGAGAAAATTGGAAATTAGAATGAATTTAGTGATATATTTTTTTATTTTTTGGTTTTAGTGGATTCATGGTATTTGCTGATTTGTAAGTTATATATTTTAATTGTCCAGACAGTTATTAGAATGTTGAAACAGATTGTATATGTTCAATTTTTGTTCATTTAGTACATTGGTACATGAACAGAGTAGGGATCTGTTTGTTCAGGATAATATACAGGGTGGGCCAAAAAAAGCCACTTTTTTTCAAGACACTATAACTTTTTTATTTTCCAACCTACATACCCCAAACTTTGCAGTTATATAGGGCCAGGGGTTCTTAGTAATAATATAATATAATGTAACAAGGCCATTAACTTGGATAATATTTGATCTAAAAGAGAAGTTCAATTGGTCCGCCACCCTATTTGGTGATAGATTTTAGTTTTAGTCGCTTTGCTGATATGGCAGTATCAATGGAGTGTTAGCTCAATTTTTTCAACATGTGTTAATTGTCAGCTTTAGTTGAGCAATGTTTTAGATTGAGTGCCTTCATACAATCTCCTGGGAACCTTCCCACACCCTATACTCACTGGGGTTTGCATCAGGGCTATTAGCGTGGCGGTCATCAGGCCATATCAGTTCAGGAACATTTTGCAAATTATGCCTATTTCTCATGGCACACCACATGTTTAAGTGAGACAGTGGTGACATATTTTATTCAAGTAAAAGTGTACAGTTCATGATCCATGGCTAGATAACAACTTCAAGTTTCATTTGGTATGCACATTATGATTTTATACCAAAAATTAAAAAAGTTATAGCATTTTGAAAAAAAGTGGCGTTTTTTTTGGCCCACCCTGTACATAGTTTATCAGTGGGAGAGAAAAAGAATCTTTCTACTTTTATATAACATGACTTTGACAAATGATAACTCCCTTAACAAATTAATCTTCTGTTTAGTGGGACATATTCTGGAAAAAAACGATACAGATGACCAATCTTTCTTTATTTATCTTACTCTAAATTGCAAGATGACTTGTCAAAGTGAGAGAAATGGCTTAACATGTAAGAAGTAATACTAAGTTTGACCAGTGAGGTTATTTGGGAAGATGTAAAACTGACATCATATTTGTAAGGGCCTAACTTATACTTGCCAAGCCAGTATATTCAAGGAGTGGCAGGGTGTGTTTTAACTCAAATAACCTTACAAAAATAGATTATAAAACAGTCAAAGTTTGCATGAAAGTCAAAAATTTCCTCTATTTTCTAATGCAAAAGTGAGCAGTAGATTTATGTAAAATACATTCATAAGAAATAAATATCCTATCTCAAAAAAGAAATGTTTGAAAGAAATTAATTTTGTGTCCTCATTTCACTCAGATAGCATAAATGTAACTACTGCAGTTGAAAGACAAAAAAGTACCCTGGATCTGTCATCAGTCAGCCACACTAAGATTTCATAGTTTTAACAGTGATCAAACCATAAGAATCTTGAAATTCACTTTCAGTCTAGCCAAAGCCCTCGAGAGCCCCCCCCCCCTCCTACTACAAATCTCCCCACAAGGTTGTTAGTGTTAAAATGGAAGGATTAAGAGATTTGAAGCAAGACTATTTTGTGGCTTTGTGAAATGAATGTACTCATGATAGGTTAAATCAAGGTAGAGGTTAAATTATCACTCATCTTAAGAGCGGAAGTGAAGTTATGTTTTGTCAAAGGGAAGGTATTTCCAGGCACTGTTAAATAACTTAACACATATTTAAGAGAATCTAGCAATTTGCCAAAATATTTAACAGAATTGGAACAAAGATAGTTCATGTTCAAAGCATGAGTTACCAAAGCAAGATATAACATTTAACCAGTAGTTAAAAGGTGAATGCAAATATGACTTAACATTTTGAATCTGTGAAAATCTTAACATCTACAAATCAGGAAATCAAATGCATTTTAGCAAGAATTTTTGAAGGAGCCAGGGCATGAGGGGTATGTTTTTTGGAAAATATGTAACTTTTTGTACGTGAGATTTTGGTCGCAAGTCATTGTTCATCAAAAAGTAGACAATGGGTTTCCTCGGAATCTTAAGTTACGAGCGATGGTACCAACAATGAACCCAAGAATAATAATTTACATTTGCAATCCTGGCTATTATCATTCTTATGTAGACAAATAGACAGCCTTGAACTCTGTTGAGTTTCAACTCAAGATGCTGAGAAAAGAGATATACAATACAGAGTACAATATCTTAGCAAAACTGGGAAATTGGTTAAATTCTAGGACTCTAATGCTAACAGTAAGATGTAAGATAAAGTGGCTATTTTTATATCACCACCAAACATAGTGACATACATGGATATGTTATGATTTCTAACTTTTTGTAAATGGTGTTTGGTGGTTGGTGTTCGGCAGTTAGTGTCTGTAACAAATGGCAGGTCACATTTTGCATGTTAATGCCTTGTTTTAAATGCAAAGTTAACATTTTGTGAGTTCAGTTTAAATTTGAATAGTACACTCCCAAAGGAGACACTGGGAGAAGCAAGAAGCTTCTCCTTTTTTGACAATTAAAAATTGAAGCAAGTGATTTTGAGATATGAATGAGTATTAAACTATTATGTCACAACTGATAGACTCATTCTTATATTCACCATTTTTATGTTATTACCACAAGTGGTGACATATTGTTACAGTCCCAAACTTTTTTTGTGGAAAGGGGTCAATGTTTGGTGGTTGGTATTAGGCATCTGTAACAAATGGCAAGAGGTGACATGTTAATACTGACGTTATCATTCAGCGCTCGATTGTTACATTCTGGATAATAATAGTTACAGTTTTCCAAGTATACTTGTATATACGAGATTTGAGTAATATGTATGTATTAACAATTTCTTGTTCTGTTTTCAGTACCACAGAGATCAATGAAAACAGTATTAAGATGACAACATGTCTTCAACCCAACAGTCCACCTAACAGTATTATATTACATAAGGTACGTTTATAAAAGGGGGGGGTTGGTAGTCAAATGGGGGAGGGGGTTCAAAACCCTGGAATAAATGATTTGAAGAGGATTTAAGATGAAAAGGACAATTCTCGGTTTGGAGAACAGTCTCCTGGGCTTATAATTTTCTTCATGAAAAATACAGAAATATTACCCAAATTAAACTATGAATATTCAAAAGAGGACATTTAAATCTACAAGATGTAAAAATAACAAATTGGTTTGAAGCAGGGATAACGCTCAATTAGACCGATTCAATAAAATACAAGTCTCGATTTGGGGAAAGAAGTTCATCAGTGCACTCTTCCTTGCATGTATGCAGCACTTAAAATATGTCTGAACATTTCCTGTAATTTTATGAATGACAATAATTTGGCCAAATTCCCAATAAGCTATTCGAGATATTTCCAGCAGATATAGATTGCTACTTTTCAACAATTTGTCATTACTTACTATTGTAATTATAATCAATGATAAAAGATTATGTAACACCATGATTTTTGATGAAAGCATATTCAAACTACAGTAAAACCTGTGAATACCTATGGACCCACAAAAAGTGTTCACTTCAGAGTGGCAATTTTATACAGAATTCAATGTGCTGATAAAATGTGTTCATTAGACACAGGTGTTCACAAGAGCAATATGTTCACCAAGACAGGTTTTACTGTATTTGAAATGTGTGTGACATTTTGCATGTTAATGCCTTCTTTATTCTGGCAGAGATATCTCATTTAAAAAAAACTCAAAGCGTGAACACCTGCCAATCCGAACACTTTTGACCAGTTCCAGTGGTGTTCAGATTAGACAGGTTTTACTGTTATTATTCATTGCCTCTGAGCAATCTCCGAGTATATGAACACACCCAAATACCCTGAAGAAAAATATAATTTTGAATTAATGAGTACATTAATGCATTAATTGGATTGCACTAAAGGAAAATATAGGAGTGGTCATTTGCTGTGTGCTGTTAATTGAAAGCCTATCCGAGAGCTATATTTACTCATCATTAATGATATACTGTCCTAGTTAACCCTTTTCAAAATAAACTGTATTCTATGTTTTTTGATTGCTAATTTTATGAAAACAAGATGCATAAGTCCATGCAAACTAACAAGTTTTGACGATAATGGGAAACTAAAACTAACAAGTTTTGACGATAATGGGAAACTAAAACTAACAAATAAGACCTTTACGTATATACAGAATAGAATTTTGCTAAGGGCTGGTGTGATAAAAAGTCAGTCCACCATAGAAGAGATCAAGCCCATCACCCCTTGCTTCTCTTATAATCTTACCTCCAGGTGGTGTAAAGGACCCTACCCTCTTTGACATTCAGATTTTTATTCAAGTGATGGAGTGACTACAGCCCCCCCCCCAACAAAGACAGCATCAGTCAGTATAATGAATATGGAAATCTAAGAATAATATCTGAGATATCCCTCTTCCTAGTTTAATCAACATATAACCTCATGTTAGTACTAGAGCGAACAACTGTGTAAGCACAGGTATATAGCACAAAGCAATAAACAAGGCAATTTTTGCTGTTTTTACGCTTTATTTACAATTCTATTTTATAATATCACTGGATCGTGCTTGAGCAAAGTATTTTATCCAGTTCCTTTTCCTAATTACAATTAGTGTTCTAAATTCAGAATTATGGAAAATGTTATTCAAATATTTCAACCAAGTTAAAAGTTAAGATACTGGATTTTTAACAAATCCCAAAACACACAAGTAAAGCCTGTCTGAGATATCATGAATCCATGTGAAAACCATTCCTGTACTTTGCACTCAGTGAAAATTTGTTTTGGTTTAATCATAAGCCCATATACACCTATTAGTCGGCTAAAACATACACCTACATATACTGGAGCTTAAGTACTTTCACTAATGGGGGCCATTTGGGCTTTTAACCTAAATGTGAGTTTAGTTGGGATAGGCTGAGGAAATACTACATAATGGGTATTTTATGTAATTTTCATGATTTTGAATTACCTATACTTAACGATATAGGTAATATTTTTATGACAAGTGGTGATGTATAGTCTTTAACTTTTTTGTGGCTGCGGTTGGCATTTAGCGTTCGGATTTGGTGTCTGTAACAAATGGCAGGTGGTGACATTTGATTTTGCATGTCGATTTTTTATTCGGACATTTAGATATTAATACATAATACATTGTTCGAAATTAAAGAATTTTGTTGAAATTATGTTGAAATGATATTTCCTCAAATTACTTTTACAGTTTTTTCTGAAGTGCATAATTAATGTATGAAGTTTGTAATTCAGGTCGTAAATCCCAATTGTCGTTAGTTTTTTAATTTTTGCCGATCTGATGAACCATTTTAAAATTCAAAAATGGCAATCAGATTATATTACATTTGCAGAAAATGGCAATTTGAACAAATACAACTGCCAAATATATGACGAGGTTTTTTATTAACATTTCATATTGACCTAATAAATGGCCAACAAAACAGCTTGCCAATTTTAAGATTAAAAAATTACCAAATTCTGCATGACTAGACTTTGGACCCAGTATGAATGTACATATGTAATTTTTGATATTCAGTACGGTCTGAATTTATCTATTTAGTTGAGTGGAATGAAATACATTGAGTACGAGTGACATTTCCATGTATATTGCTGAAGTTTCATCCGATATAGACTTAATTCAAGATGTTAACTGATATACATGTTCAAAATATTATGATATTTCAACTGAGATGCTACAAAGGTTACATTTTTATAATTTCAGGATCTTCCAAACAGTACAAATTACAACGATACAACTAGTACAACAGAAATTGATTGCTATAGCAACAAGAGGACTACTATAGCAACCAGCACCATAGTGACTCACAACGAATCAACTCATGCAGTAGATACTGTAACTAAGAGTAACCAGAGTGCTTCCATAGCAACTGAATATTCTTCCTCAGACTTGCCAAACAAGACACTTTCAGGTGGAAATCAAAGCCCTATAAGTGGCAAACAAAGCCCTATTGGTGGGAAGCAAAGCCCTATTGGTGGAAATCAAAGTCCTATTGGTGGCAAACAAACCCCTATTGGTGGAAATCAAAGTCCTATTGGTGGAAAACAAAGCCCTATTGGTGGGAAACAAAGCCCTATTGGTGGAAAACAAAGCCCTATAGGGATTAACTCAAGAGAGACTGTGATAAAAGAGGTTAAAGGACAACATAAAAAGATAGACCTTATAGCTGACAGGATTAAACTAAACAAAGAAAAAAATAAATCTGAAATGCCGATTATGGCTACAGATGGCGCTAGTATTGGTATAGGTGGTGCTGAAAGTCCACACAGATATATGATATCCCAGCATGCAACTGACTCCATTAAAAGTGATTATTCTTCTAGTCTTCCATATAGCGTGTCACCGTCACATACAGTCACCTCAGAGATTATCTCGTCACATGTGACGAGCAGTGGATATTTTGTACCAGTGAAAGCAAGTCCAGGGAGAGATTACCCCGCAGAAACGTATTCCCTACCAGGAGGCGTTGTCGTACCTCGGATACACAACACGCACAATACTGGGAGGGACTCCCCAGGGTCTCGTTGTCATGTATACACAGGATTAAAAGACCCAAGGAGGTCACCAAGTGATTCTGAGGAATATTCCCCAGACAGAAAAAGGATAAAGTTTGAAGATGACGGTGAAAATGGAACAGGGTACCCCTCGACAGTTAGTCCCAGTCAATTTGCAACTTATAATGCAAAAGAGGTAAGTAGTCTAAAGGTATTTTTATCAAATTTAAAAAGTGCAGTATTCATAAAATAAACATATTTGTATCTAATTTGTTTTGGCATCTTGGATTGTAATTGTGTTTTAGTCAATTAAAGGAAAAAAGTCAGATTTTTTCATTTCCTTTAAAAATATGCCAAACCGAGATACATGTTGAAAATCTATTTATGGCGATTGCCCCTAAGCAATGTATGCATCACATTAAACTATCTCTTGCAATTTTTGACTCAGTTGCTTCCTGACAAAAAATTCTTTTTTAATTACCATTTATATTATTTTTCAGAATGATGTCTTTAAAAAATGGATCAGAACAGAATTATTTTCCATCTAAAATAGATGTTCTCAAAAAATGAATAAAGTGAAATGAATAAGTGATTTTATAATGAATATTCTCTGGCGAATCTCAAAATGTGTAAGTGGAACGCCTTTGGGACCACAAAAAGTGTTCCACTTACAGAGATTCATGGAGTCAATAGGGACCAGAACTTTAAAAACTTGTTCCACTTGTGAGGTATTCTACTTACAGAGGTGTTCCTCTTTGCAGTTTCTACTGTATAATCTTCTCAAGTTTAATTTAACTGCTATGTGCAATTTTTCAGTGTGAGAAATGTGGAGCGTTTCTGACAGCCTCCGACAGAGAAAGCAGTGCAAGTCCATCGGCATTGTGTACGCATTGTCAGTCTTCCCCCACCCCAAATGTACAGCATGAGACAAATACAGCCTGGGTAAGTAGTTATCTTCCCATCTCACCCTTGGCTGTTAAATAATGATCAGTTTGCTAGGTGGATGAGAAGTTTTAAGAAGTCACATTAAACCTTTTTGAAAAATCGTTTGATGGGATATAATACTGATATGCTTGACAAGATAGATATATGAAGTTGACAATATCTCCCAAATGTGTACCGATTTTAAAGTAACCTTCGACGCATGGTTGACTGAATAAATTATGATTTTTATTATTTCGAGGTTACAGTAGAATATGTACATGTTTAATGTCTCTCTTTGAGGTGAACACTAGAACATTTATTTAAGGTTATTGGGAAATTCAGATTTTGGTCTCTAAAAACCTCCAAAATTAAAAAAAATATCAACTACGGAAATCCCTACTGAACTACCTAGTTTTGACCTCATTTAAAACATTCTCAACAAGGTTGTTACTCAGAGTCCTCTAAACAAGCTTTCGAATGGTACTCTTGATTTGAAAATCCCATATATCAATTGCGAAAAGGGGCTCTCAAAATATATTTTTTCTGTGTTTTCCAGAATGAACAAGCATTTATTGTAAGTGAGTGTGGAGGAAAGCAAATTATCAGACCTGTCAATCAGGAACAGGTGAATATTTATCATATCCTATGATGTTATAGAGGATATTGTTTTGTCCCCTGGTTCAAATATCTTTTTGGCTCATTACTTTTTCAAATGAATTTGAAATTAAATCCATGTAGAGTAGAATAAATCAAACAGATATATATTTTCTGTTACATTTGAAAAAATGATCTTGAAAAATATGATTTATAATTGCAATTTTAATAGCATTACCTTGAATAACTCTATTTTATTCACGAGGGATATCATTTTTATCCACTATTATATATTAAAAATGTTCTTCAAAGAAAATGCTGGAGTTTTAAAATTTCAAATAAGAAACTTAAAAACAAGGAAGGAAGGACTGAAAATAGAAAAATGTTATTCTCCAATTTTACCCTTGTCAAGAATTATTCTATTGTTTCAGTTTGTGCAGTCAGAGCCTATTGACTTATCTTCTACTACGGGTCACACCTCTCCCCAGGGTAGTCGACAGAATGGTACGTAACTTTATAACAACCTTGTCACCCACTTGCAGGGGAGTTCATGTGAACAACATAAACAGCAAAACAATATACATGTACATAAGCAACAATTTTTGAGAAATTTTTACTTTTCTCAAAAAATGTCTAGATTAGTTCGGAAATTTTAGAATTTTGCCGTGACCAATTTCAGGCAAAAACCAGGGAATCTAATTTAGTGGAGTTCTGTGAAAAGTTGAAAATTGGACCACAAACTGAAAATATACAATAAATCCAGTCAGTAGACGTTTAATTTGTTGTTTAACTTGATTTTTTACCAATAGAACCAATAATTTGATGAGGATGTTTTACGCTTGAAATGGGGAAAAATCTGGAAACTGAATAACAATATGTTTTGATTTTTAGGCTCACCAAGTCCCAGGAACTCCAGAAACTTACTGTCTTTACAGAGAATAAGGTAGGATAGATGTCAGCACTGTACATCTTGAAAATAAGTTGTGTGAAAGACTAATGTGAAATTCATCTCTGTCAATGAATTTAATGAATTAATTTATACAGCTTGTTGGAATGTAACAATATCTGCTAAATGTATCGATAGATGTCAGCACCATATATCTTGACAATAAGTTATGTGAAAGACTAATGTGAAATTCTTCTCAATGAATTTAATGAATTAATTTATACAGCTTGTTGGAAAGTAACAATTTCTGCTAAATGTATCAGTTTATCTCCATATATGTGCTGCAGTCAGACTTTATCAAACATAAACCTGAACTACAGTCTGTTACACTGCTTCAAAGGCAAGCAGTTAAACCTGAAATATAAGAAATCTAAATAATATTGTGCAATCATATATAGAAAAATATATTCATATTGCACACTAATGACATTTGTATATGTTGGGTTTCTTGGTGGACAGACCTCAAATTACAAGAGGGCAGAGGCTAATTGCACTAAACACTAAATAATCTGAAATATACAAATGTCATTCATGTGCAATATGAATATATTTTTCTATATATTATGGCACAATGGTCTATAGATTTCTTATTTTTCAGGTTTAACTGCTTGCCTTTGAAGCAGTGCAACAGACTGTAACAATTGGCTAAATACAAACTTGGAACAATATAAAATATACATGAAGAAATGAAATTATCAACCCACACCCTTTAATCTTTTAATTTACCATTGCTGATTTATATACACAATTCTTTCAGTCAATTCCAACAAAAAAGGACAACCCGTAATCGAGACACCGATAGTCCCACCACTCACCATAGCAACATGCTGATACAAGATCCCATGTTTCATAATTCACATGAGGTGATGTCCCACAATTCCCAGCCACAGGAGGTTAACACCCATGTATCCCATGATGACCAAGTGGTTTGGAATCCCACCAATCAAGTGTCAAATACAGGGAGGCGGATTCACAAATGTGATTTCATGAACTGCAATAAAGTTTACACAAAAAGTTCTCATTTAAAGGCTCATAGGAGGACACATACAGGTAAGTGGGTGGGTCATGTCTTAGTGCTTTAAGAGGCCCATATTTTTTGTTTCTTAATTTATAGACCATATGTGTCAGAAAAGAGTAGGAAAAAAGTTAAATTAAAGATTTCAATTGTTCACTCACATTTTGTTGACGATCCATGCTCAGCATCTGTAACAAGTGGCAGGTGGTGACATTTTGCATATTATTGTCTTGTCTATTAATGTGGTACGGAAGTACAATTTTTTTAGCGAAGTTCTTATTTTCATTAATAACCAGAATACATGCTATCTACTACCAATTGCCTAATAGGCAGTTATATACTGTAAAAGTGCAAAATTATGAACACAGCATTTAACAGTAATTAAATAAATGCACATTAATTAAATAAATGCTCATTTCTTTCAGGAGAGAAACCATATGAATGCTCATGGAAGGATTGCACTTGGAAGTTTGCACGATCAGACGAACTTACACGTCATTACAGAAAACACACTGGAGACAAGCCATTCAAATGTTTAAAATGCAATCGTGCTTTCTCCCGCTCAGATCACCTATCGTTACATATGAGGCGACATTAGCGTTACAAATGATGTAACAATCGTGTTACATATTAGGCAACATTGGTGTTACATAATATGAAACAACATTGTGTTACATATGAGGCGACATTGGTGTTACAAATGAGGCAACATTGGTGTTACATATGAGGCAACGTTGGTGTTACAAATGAGGCAACATTGGTGTTACATATGAGGCAACATTGGTGTTACATATGAGGCAACATTGTTGTTACATATGAGGCAACTGGTGTTACAAATGAGGCAACATTGGTGTTACATATGAGGCAACATTGGTGTTACATATGAGGCAGCATTGGTGTGACATATGAGGCAACATTGGTGTAACATATGAGGCAACATTGGTGTGACAAATGAGGCAACATTGGTGTTACAAATGAGGCAACATTGGTGTTACATATGAGGCAACATTGGTGTTACATATGAGGCAGCATTGGTGTTACATATGAGGCAACATTGGTGTTACATATGAGGCAACTGGTGTTACAAATGAGGCAACATTGGTGTTACAAATGAGGCAACATTGGTGTTACATATGAGGCAACATTGGTGTTACATATGAGGCAGCATTGGTGTTACATATGAGGCAACATTGGTGTTACATATGAGGCACTGTAAGTGTATATGGTGCAGCATTAGTGTCACTATCATTTCATATGAGGCGACAATAGTGTGACAAAAGAGGTGCATGTAAGTGTGACTTTTGTTAAAGTGTGACTGTCATTATGACATTAAATTTGACTCATACTTGAATTGATTGTCCCTTTTATATGTTGATGTCTTATTGTAAATATTAATATGTAGTATATCTCCATATTTTTGAGCTCTTCATTCTTCAATATGACTCGAAGTAGAGCATCCAGAATGATGATGGTTGACCAAGAATTGGTATCTATAAAGGCTCTTTATATTTTCAGTTCTCTCTGATTCTGTGATTTCAAAAAATCAAAATGCGCTTTCTTTATAGACTTGTGATATGTAAAATCCTGTTTTAGGTTGTATTATAGCAAGGCTCTACTAATAAATACAAGCTTAGGGAGAATAGCTGGGGTCTGTTATTGATCTCTAAATGTCATATAGACACACAGGTGATGTCTTAAACACCTTTATTACCATGGTAGCTTTGTATTGATGATGTCACAAAGGTGTAACTAAACTGGATCCTAGCAATTCAATGTTGCCATGGTAATAAGTGTAAGGCTAGTGGGCCTGTAAAGCTAAGCTCCTTTTCTATTGTCCTCACTTTGCAACTGTACTGTAAATTGCACTGCACTGTAGTGTAGTGTAGTGTAGTGTACTATACTGTACTGTACTTTACTGTACTGTTCTGTACTTCTGCATGTTTTGGGGTTATTAATTTCTGTACAGTGACAACCCACTGGTGGCAATTTGTGAACTGCCATCTATATGGGTATATCTTATTGGTTTTGCTTAGAAACCATTTGGTAACACATGGATCGATCATTTTGTGACTTTGTAGTGCAGTATTTTATAGAAGGAACAAGATGTCACATTGAAAATGATAAATCCCTATGTTACCATGAAGTTCAGTGAAATAAATGTGTATTTATTACCCATTGTGTTACTAAGCAACAATTCAAATAATAAATAAATAAAGTATAAGATGTATCTTGTCACATGTCACTAAATTCCTGTTTAAAATTTAGAAAAAACTAATTTTTAGCATTTTTGTACAATTGAATGTTTTAACGTCATGCCTGTGTTCTCGATTCCTTACATAGTTCACGCTTTGATGTATGACTATATGATTATATACTATATGACTATCATGACATAGTCATGGTTTGAGTAGTGATGTAGTTGGACAATCATGCCAGCTGGGACTGGCTATTGTACATAACAGTAACATATAATATATACTAAAAGATAGCAATGTGCAAATATTAAACTAAAGTTAACATGAGTTATAATATTTCTACTCACTTTGAGCAGTGAGATACACCCCCCTCCATAAATACGGTAATTGAAAGTTCCTGTTGAAATGCATATTAAAGTCAGTTTATGTATGTTTGTTCCTTGGAAGATAGGAATATGACATTTTGTTGAATTTGTTCAAATTGTGAACTTAAAAAACAAACTTTAATACATGACACTAAAGGTAAAGAGATGGGTGCCCGGGTGCACATAAGGCTATAGTATAATCTGGAAAAGTTAAAACCTTTTATGTGTGAAGAAGAGTCAATGCAGAATGAATTATAATTAAACAAAGGTTCAAATTAAATAATTGTGTTATTAAGTATAAAAGATTACATGTAAACAAAATTACATGTTAAAGGAAAGTTGCACACATGTTAATATAAAATCACATGTAAACGTAAGATTATTTGTTCAGAAATAACATGTTTATGTTTATCATGTTTATAGATTTAGATTTCATTGTCAATTTAATGATTTTGTATATTATTGTCTTCCAGTGATATTCAAAAAATGTAAAATATAAAAAGTTAAGTTTTTTGTACAAAAATGTGATGTACTTTACACTAGAGACATCTATTGATGGATATTTGCAATAAGTTATTTGTTAAAGATAAAGTTTAAAGTTATTATGAGTTGATTTTGTTTTTTATGCAGAAATTGAATTAAATATATGATACTGAGTCCAAATATGTTTTTCCTAAAATTGTCACTAGTCTATATACAGGGTGGCCCCAAAAGTACCCCTCTTGCTTTGGCATTGCTGCTTTTTGTGTCACCCTGTATCTGCAGTAAAATGAAATATAACATGAAAATAAAATCTCACTTCGTTTCATGTAAAACAGAATGCATGTAATGTAAGCATTAAAATTTGAATGTATTTTGATATTGTACACTATTATATACTAAATCAAGTTTTGATATTTTACTGATGGGAAATGTTATTTAACGGTACATTACAGGACAGGTTCATAATGTCTTTTACATTTTTATGTCACCACCAAAAAGTGGTGACATATTGTTATGGTCTCCGTTTTTTTTGCGACGGCGGTTGGTGGTTGGCGTCCGGCGTCCGGCGTCTGTAACAATTTCTTACAACTTCCTATAACTTAACAAATACTGTTTAGACTGACTTCAATTTTTTTCTAAATCATCTACATCTTCTCAGAAGTTCAAATCTGACTTTAGATTTGACATTTGACCTTCAATGACCTTCTCAAGGTCAAAAAGGTCTTTTTTCAACTTGCTTCACATTGACTAAATTTTTTTTCAAAATCATCTACATGTTCTCAGAAATTCAAATCTGACTTTAGATTTGACATTTGACCTTCAAATCTTTATTAGATTTGACATTTGACCTTCAATGACCTTCTCAAGGTCAAAAAGGTCTTTTTTCAACTTGCTTCACATTGACTAAATTTTTTTTCAAAATCATCTACATGTTCTCAGAAATTCAAATCTGACTTTAGATTTGACATTTGACCTTCAAATCTGACTTTAGATTTGACATTTGACCTTCAATGACCTTCTCAAGGTCAAAAAAGGTCAAAAAGGTCTGTTTTCAACTTGCTTCAAATTGACTAAATTTTTTTTTCAAAATCATCTACGTGTTCTCAGAAATTCAAATCTGACTTAAGATTTGACATTTGACCTTCAAATCTGATCTTCTCAAGGTCAAAAAAGGTCAAAAAGGTCTGTTTTCAACTTGCTTTAAATTGACTAAAAAAAATTTTCAAAATCATCTACGTGTTCTCAGAAATTCAAATCTGACTTTAGATTTGACTTAAGATTTGACATTTGACCTTCAATGACCTTCTCAAAGTCAAAAAAGGTCAAAAAGGTCTTTTTTCAACTTGCTTCAAATTGACTAAATTTTTTTTTCAAAATCATCTAGTCAAAAAAGGTCAAAAAGGTCTTTTTTCAACTTGCTTCAAATTGACTAAATTTTTTTTTCAGAATCATCTACATGTCTCAGAAATTCAAATCTGACTTTAGATTTAACATTTGACCTTCAATGACCTTCTCAATGTCAAAAAAGGTCAAAAAGGTATTTTTTCATCTTGCTTCAAATTGACTAATTTTTTTTTCAAAATCATCTACGTGTTCTCAGAAATTCAAATCTGACTTAAGATTTGACTTAAGATTTGACATTTGACCTTCAATGACCTTCTCAAAGTCAAAAAAGGTCAAAAAGGTCTTTTTTCAACTTGCTTCAAATTGACTAAATTTTTTTTTCAAAATCATCTACATGTTCTCAGAAATTCAAATCTGAATTTAGATTTGACATTTGACCTTCAATGACCTTCTCAATGTCAAAAAAGGTCAAAAAGGTATTTTTTCATCTTGCTTCAAATTGACTAAATTTTTTTTTCAAAATCATCTACATGTTCTCAGAAATTTAAATATGACTTTAGATTTGACTTTAGATTTGACATTTGACCTTCTCAAGGTCAAAAAAGGTCAAAAAGGTCTTTTTTCAACTTGCTTCAAATTGACTAATTTTTTTTTCAAAATCATCTACATGTTCTCAGAAATTCAAATCTGACTTTAGATTTGACCTTTAATGACCTTCTCAAGGTCAAAAAAGGTCAAAAAGGTCTGTTTTCAACTTGCTTCAAATTGACCAAATTTTTTTTTCAAAATCATCTACATCTTTTCAGAAGTTCAAATTTGACTTTACAAGTTCTCAGAAGTTCAAATCTGACTTTAGATTTGACCTTTGACCTTCAATGACCTTCTCAAGGTCAAAAAGGTCTTTTTTCAACTTGCTTCAAATTGACTAATTTTTTTTCAAAATCATCTACATGTTCTCAGAAGTTCTTTTTAAGGTCAAAAGGTATTTTCCAACTTGCTTTAAATTGACCAAATTGTTTTAGGTGGTGACATTTTGTCATGTTAATGCCTTGTTTCAATTCTTCCAAAATCAAGATCCTACAGATTGATTGTTGAGTGTTTAGTGAAAATATTTTCAGATAAGACCAGTTAGCCGTGTGGTCATTAACAGAAACTATGTAAAGTTAGGAATTTCTCATTGTCCACATCATAATAGCTTTGGTTACTAGGCAACAATCAATCCGGGAATTCTTAGTTTTATAAACTTTCTGTTAATGGCCCTCTCATTTTTACTTTATTAAATTTCTATATAAGATACATCTATTGCAAAAATAGATGTCAAATTTTGAAAGAAAATTGAAATGTTTTGACATTGAAGGTTTTTGGATGACCAGGTTCACTTCACTTAACACTAAAATTTTCAGTTGATTTGTAGGGGTTTTAACATTTTTAATACCCAAAGTCACAACTTGTCACATTATTCCCACTAAAAGTACTCTTCAATGTCATACAACAAATAATGTTTTAGAATGCAAATAGTGAATTTTGTTTATTAAGCCGTGAGCATTCCCTTGAAAGCCTGCGATTGAGCTTATCATATGTAACATCATAAATTGTATATTTATAGATTTAATTAAGAGGGGAAATTGAGATATCCAGGTGTTTAATGCAAATAACTTTCATTTATTTCACAAATTGAACTTCCAACCTGCTTTTGCTTATATAAACATTTACAATAATCTTCCAAATGTTTACAAAATCAAAATAAAGATTAAAATATCAAAAATAAAAATAAATGTTGAGTTATTATGTGCATGTTGTGTACGAAGTTCATCTTAGAGGGGTTTGATTTTAGTACGATTGAAACTTACTGAGAAAAGCGTTGTCTATTTAATAACAAACAATAACTTGTGACCATACTATGTCAGAAAACTTTGTATTGATTATGCAAGATGAACTTCAGTTCGAGGGATCTTTCAATTGAAATCCCATATGGCCAATAGAGAATTTATAAGTGTGACTGCTGGTGAAACAAATATTTGGACACTTTTGATTGGTTTTGTGATGATCTTCACAGCCATGACACACCACAAAGTAACAGAACAGAAAAATAAGCATTTGCTTCCAAGGTGTGTCATAACCCCTTAGAAGTCGAAGATAGGATTTTCTATATGGATGGCTTTTATTCAAAGAGTCTAGAAAATGGAACTGCCTCAGCTTTTAGGATGCAAATTCAAAGTTTAAAAAGGGTAACTTCTGCAGCTATTAAAGGAAAATTATAAGTTATACTAGCTTGTTGATACTAGGCAGTGGCGGATCTGGGGGAATCAGGCTTTTGGGTGGACCCAAAAAAAAATTGTGCGAAAAAGGCTTAAAGGCCCCAAAAAGTGGGTCATTTTGGTCATTACTGGGCCTTTTAAGGCCTTATTTTTTAATTTCAGGCCAAATTTTGACGAAAATAGGCCTCAAATTTCGGAAGTTTATTTCGCTGACCTGAAATTTGCCCCCCCCTTTTGGTTCCCAGATCCGCCTCTGCTAGGTCCATCCTTCACTAAAGAATAATTTATCACCGTTTCTTGTCTTGATGCCAATAGAAAGATGGCAGTAAAGCCGGAGAATTGCAGCAAAAAATAAGTTGCATCATCAAATGTTTTGCAATATTTCCTTGAACCAAACAAGCATATCATTGCTTTGAATATATATAATAGGAATTTATTGGTACTGATGCCCTTCTGTGACAATACTGTCCACGCACGGGATAAATCCTCAGATCATAATTTGAATTTCGCGGGGCTAACATACACACCTCTTTCAATGTCACGTGACTGTAATTGGTCACGTGATGTTGTTTATTTCCGGTGCAAATCAATATTAAATTTTCCAGATAAAACTCGTTCGAACTGGAAACTGAGTTTACATTCATATACTGAACCTCAGTAGTCACAATTTAAGTTTGTACTCAAGGGCAAATATTGGAGCGAAGTTTAAAAAGCAGCTGAGCGATAAAATCATTCATTTATCCGATAGTTGAGAAGAAAATAGGCAAAGAAAACAACGTCGTAATTTAATTTTCTTTGTCGTCATTGAATCGATATCGTCTGCACTTTCGATAGGCCTATTAGACGAGTGAATATCAACGATAACAGATTGAAGAAATGGCCAAGCACCTTGCTAGGGTGGCTAAAACGGCGAATGGAGCTGGTGAGTATATTTTTGGAGACACATCTACAGCTTGGCACACACCTTACTTGTACAATAACAGCCAGTGATATGATATCAATATGACATTCCGTTGTGCTAGATCTAGTGTTAGGCCTATAACATGATAACATAAATTCATTTATTGGCTACATTGGCTATCATGCGACTGATTTCAGTGGCGTAACCAGGATTTTGATAGCAGGTACGCGAGGCCAAAGGCCGAGCAAAACTAGGGGTTGCGGGGACATCCCCCTCGGAATATTTTTGATTTTAGACCTTAATAAATGGTGCATTCTAAGCGATATCAGAATGTATAATGGGGTACTTCTACATCATTTAGGGTACGCGTAGAATATAGGGAGGGGATGGCGTGAATGGCCAGCTTAGAATATAAGAGGGAGACGTGAACAGTGGGCAACCTACAATAAGTGGGAGCGGTGACTTACTCCCCATGCCTACATAAATTATATAATACTTTTAGATGCTTCTGTTCAAGTTCAAGATTATACATCTGAATTGCAGATTGCGGCAAATATGTCTCATACTCTGCCATTGAATGATTCATTGTGTAAAACAAGAGTAATTTACTAAGATCCTGTTCGTGTTTTGAATAACAGATATGTGATATTTGATGTAAACCTTTGTTTCTTGTAAAGAGAGATTTATCTCACTTACATGTAAGGCTCTGGCCCTTGATCATGTCAATAAAACAAGCTATATTTTACAAAAATTGGAAGACTAGATAAATAAAAATCAATGAGTTAAGTGAAACAGTATAATTTACACATATGGGCAAAAATGGTAAAAAATAGATCATGATGCATGTTCAAGAATGAGTACTGGTATATTTAAGAAAAAATGACCAGACTAGATAAATAAAAATCAATGAGTTAAGTGAAACAGTATAATTTACATGTATGGGCAAAAATAGCAAAAATAGACCATGATGCATGTTCAAGATTGAGTACTGGTATAACATTTAAGAAAAAATGGCCAGCTTAAATGGCCAGCCTTGAATCGGTCAATAATAAATGTTCTAGTACTGTATTGTAAATAATTGATTCAATGCTACCCTGGACTTATATAGAGATTCATCACAATGCAAAATACTTATTCAGAATTCATGAAAAGATTTGCAGTATTGATATTGCTAGTGAAAAAACACCTATTATTCTGTTGATATAGCAACAACATGTTTTTATCATCAGGAGTCCCCAGGTACATTTTTTCATGAAATTCTATCCAGAACAACAAACATCTATAAAAGGAATATATACGTTTTTTTCAATACAACACCCTAGTATTGCTCATTTTGAGGGAATATGTTTTTTGAAATACCCAAGCCAGTGATATGTTCCTCAAATTATTTAAGATTGAGATTTTGATAGGTTATATGCGAATATCAAAAATACTTAAAAAGTAACATTTTTATCATTGTTCAGTATTTAACTTTGCCTTAACATGACCTGTTATGAAAGTATAGATTTCAAAACAAGCTATTAATGTAAGCATTTAAAAATCAGCTGATGTTTGTTTACAAAACCAGTTATAGCATGTTTTGATCATGTAACCTTTACAAATATTTACCTACAACTGTTACACTGATAAGATATGAATCAGTTTGAGTGATTTACACTTCTAAAAGTGGATGAGAGACACACCTTTGAAAGTTTGCGTAACCTTCAAAATCATAAATAAGTGTTTTGAGTGTCGTAATACCTTAACCATCAAAACAAATATCACATTACTAAGTTGCTATTTTCATATATTGAGTTCATTGCTCTTACTTTTCCTGTAGTACACTATTAGGGAAATGTCAGGAAGACAACATTTTACAAAGTGTACGACTTCATCTGATTGTCCTTTTCAATAGCCTGATTTCTTAAACAAGAAACTGAAGAGACTTTCGTCTGGTAGTTACTTTAGCCCCTTGGCTACAGGGATCTAATAGATCATACCATTCACAAATATAATTTATTCCAAGGACATCTAAGAGGTAGCCTGGACATCCTTGTTTATTTTTATCTAATGTTAAAAACACATAAATCTAATGTTAAAACATGGGATTTAAACAACCAATCCAATGGTAGATCATATAAGGCATAGACATTGGCCTTCATGTTTTCAGAGCAAATTGAAATCTCATCTCCTTTGATGGTGTTATCTGCAAAACATATCTTCAAGGAAATCACTCATTATTGAACCCGTTAGATTAGATTAGGACCAGCTGGCATTTTCATTAGATAGGATGAAGGAATAGGAAATTGCAACGAATCAATAAAGTCATTTTAACTCGGAGTTGATCTCAATATCTAATGTGAGATCTAAATATGTAGTCCATATATTACAAGAGGCTCATGCTTCCATCATAGATACAGTAAAACCTATCTGAATGGAACTGTCCTCAATACCTAATGCCAGAGCCTTTGTCTATATGTCTGAATGTGTAGTCCTTATATTACTAGAGGCTGTTCATCTGCTGCTTCTATCATAGATACAGTAAAACTTATCTGAGTGGAACTGTCCTTTGGTACATGTACCTCTAAAATATTCCACTTAGTGACTTAGGAGGTGTTCCACATTTCAATGTTTATTCAACAATTTGCCATTTGGTCTTGTATTGGGACTCTGAAAAGTACAAACAAAGGTAATTCCAATCTATACCAAATTTTATACTATTGCTGCAGAGAGCCATAATTTTTTTTCAAAATCATGCAGATTGTTCAGTTTTTCTCTCACTCGAATATATTTTCAAGTGGTTTTGGGCCAAAGTTGTCAACTGTGAACCCCCTGTAATGTTTTGGAAAGTGAACTCCCTTGTCTCCCTATATAAGTTCATTACAGCTGGAGGGGGCAGATAATTTTCCAAATTACTGTTAATGAATTGTATCACACTGGTTTCATCATTGACTTATGAGAAATTATTAATTAGTTAAATAATGCCCAGTATATATCAAGCCAGGTATTTGACAGCAGATGTAGTTTTTTCTATGTTATTAGGGTCATTTATGTAAGTGAAAGCATGTGTTTTAACCATTGACAATCAATTAAAATTATACCATTTAGGGAAAAATATAAAAGAACCTAGAGGAAAATGGGAGTGACTCACTATGATGCCTGCTAAATTGATTACAGACAAACAAATGAAAATAGATCCTTTTCTGGTTTATCAGATTTGAACTTTTAACCTAGACTCCTTATAATAAGTTATAACCACTCATATCCACTAGAGCTCACTAGGATTTTATTCAACAATCAACATGTTGCCAAAGACCCTAGGATTTTATTCAACATGTTGCCAAAGACCCTAATTGCTTCACAGATTCTCTCTTTTAACAGTGATCACAAAAACCATTAATCATATATTATATATTTTAAATCATAGAATCTTAATTTTTGTTACGATTTAGCTATGATAAACAAACTAGAAAAACAGCTATTTTAACTTTAAAGGAATATTCCTGGCCAGACCATTTCTCTCCTAATATGGTAGCTATAACCATATATATACTTTCCATATTCAGCAAAACGGGGAAAAATGTTTTGATATGGTCAATATTGATCACTTGAAAATGTAGTGCCGAATTCCAGTAGGCTGCCATCTTTTAATATTTCACTCAGGAAGTGATGTCATCGACTCTCAACTTTGCATATAACACTATAAGGAGCTATCAAGAATTACAAAACCAGCTGAATATTCCTTTTTCAATTTTGTCTATGATTTAATCCTTCTAAAAGTCTCTTCTTTCATTCTAAGCTGACAAGCTCTGAACATATTTTTGCGCATAAAGTAAGGATCACTCGTCTAGTGATATTGCGCTATTTTCCTATACTGCTATATGCAAGGTCATGAAAGTTGAGAGTCGATGACATCACTTCCTGAGTAAAATCTTAACAGATGGCAGCTTACTGGAAATGAGCACTACATTTTTAAATTATCAATATTGACTATATTAAAACATTTCCCCATGTTTTGCTAAATATGGAAAGTATATATATGATTATAGCTATCACATCAGGATAGAAAAGGATTGGCCAGGAATGTTCCTTTAAATCTATTATAATTGATTTAAAAAGAGTCGTGATTATTATCACAAAATAAACTAATAAATTAACTGTATATGACATGATATGTCTATATTTGTAAAAGTGCAACTTCAGGCTATGTTTACAATAATCACCACCTCAGTACACACTTGAAGATATAATCATTTTAAGGATTGGGGGGGTAGGTACGAAAATTTCCAATGAACATGCGTGACATATAAGGGATTCGCGTGACAAATCCGAACAAATTGCGTTCGTTTTTTTCCGACGTTCGTATTTTTACCGTATCATAAACATATTTTGAAAAATTTTTTACAGAAACATATTTGCGTGACAATTACCAGGTAAAATGCGTATTTGCACTTGGTGCCAATATAGGAGAAGAATCAATACAATACACATGTGTGAAATATCAATTCAGTTTAAGGATATTTTAAAAGTTTTAGTAAGGGATATCCACAATTGAATTTTTGGCCCCTCATAGGTACATATATTCTTTCAGGTTTGTCAAGATGGATCCGGAATCTCAGTTCTGTAGCGTCACCATCGGCCAAAACCATGGACTCTACATCTTCCATTGACTTAGAAGGGGAATACACAATGCCCAAGATGCTCACAGAAGTCCCAGGCCCCAGATCTCGACAACTTTTCCTCGAGCTATCCGATATTCAGGTGAGTAGAGTATGGGTATTAGGCTGTCCTTTATGAGGCCTTGTCTTGATTTTAAGATGAGGCCTACATGAGGTATTTTCTTTATTTTGATTTATAGTAATTAAGATTATGGAAGGTCTTATTTGCTTGGGTGTTATGTAGAATTAGAATTATTTTTTGTATTATAATCCATCTGTTGTTTTTTGTTTTTATTATTTTTTATTTAGGTCATAGGGTCACAGATTGTTAATTATAAAATACAGTAGTTTCGGTTCCCTGCTGGCAGCATATTTCAAAAATGATCAATGAATATAGAGCGGTCCCAATTTTCTCTCCATGCTATTCAATTTGTAAGACAGAGTTTAAGTTCAATATCGAGGGGGGTCAGATAGAGTTCCACAAACAAAATGTTGTAAATATCCAATCGCAAAACATTTGTGGACTACTAATTACAATCAATTGAAAACATTTCCATTGGTCAAAAGTGTCAAAGTATAAATGAAATCACCACTCCGACATAAGTTGCACCACCAAGAAAAGATTTGCACAACTAGCCACTTTGAATCATTAATGTGGTAAATGGGTGTTTTTTCTTTGATCTCGAGACTAGCACTAATCACATATTTTGATCAACATTTCCTACCACTCATTTTGAAAAGATTGTGGGGAAAACTGATCAATAAATAACACTTTTAATAACACTTTAATGGGTCACATCGTGATATTTCAATGGGTTCTTTTTTCCCCCATTAATCTAGTTTTTATCTTTCAGGATATTGGCCGAGGCTCTTGAATGGTTGATGGTTACCAAACTAGAGGCGATTCCTTCTTCCTGACTTTTCTAACCTTGTCAATTCTCTCCGAAGCACCTGTTTCCATAGCAACTGAGCTGTTACCATGGCAACTGACATAGCAATGGAGTGTAGTTCACCCGAAAGACATCTCCGATTTGCAACAAACGTTTAACTTTTACATGTATTCACATATTTCTTGTGTTATTGCATTTTATAATGCACCTGCTTTTTGGCTGCTTTAGGAAAATGGTACAGCTTTATTTGCTAGCAATTTTTATTTGGCCATCTCAATGAGTTAAAATGTCTGATTTTTTGACATTTCGATACTATCCATAGCAATTTCATCACATGCATATTTGTCAAAAACGAAATGCATTTTAGCCAAAAAACTAAATGCATTTTTGTCAAAAACAAGGTGCATATTAAAATGTAAACATGTATTAATATAAATGTTGCATTAATGAAAAAAAACTAATGGAGTGGCCGAATTGGTATTATACAGTTGGTAGGTATACCTATGGTAGGTATACTGTCTGTCTGATTTGTGTTTATAACATCGGAAGCAAAAATCTATAATTACATAGCGTGGTTTGGGAATACATACACTTCACAGATATTAAAAAATGCCAGCATGAAAAACGAGACACTAGAATTACAATTAATGATGGATGCATTATTCATTATGATATAGATTCTGTGTTTTTGACATACGGCCAACCTAACATTTCTGTTAATGACATATTCGATTTAACCCTGTGCGCTTTGACACGCTAATTGACTAATCCTTGTTTTTCTGTGAATTCCACAACCCAAACCTTACTTATAACAGTTAAAGGATTTGGGATCCCCTACAGAAACCAGGGAAGGGAATTCTAGTTGAGGGATTTTTTAAAGTTTATTTTTCCTTTGTAGAATTGTGGATCTGTTAACTTCTTTGGTGACTATAAACTTAGTAAGGGGAACTACATCGTGGATGTTGACGGGAATATCATTCTGGATTTCTTTATGCAGATAGCTTCAATATCACTAGGTAAGAATTCTGTTAAACTGGCAGGTGCATTTTGTGACATGTTACTGTGCCTTGTTTTTATGCCACCACCACCACAAGTTGTGACACTTTGTTGAGGTGTTTGGCACTTGGCATTTGTAGTGACATTTTGTATGTTAATTCCTTGCAAGTTCTATTGCATGTTGACCCCTGACCCCAATTGGACTCAACATTCACTGCAGAAATTTTGTTCATGTTGTTTCCAAAGCTACGGATACATTTCATCCCATTTGATATTAGATTTTAGCTAGTATCCTGTATTCCTTACTCTTAAACAACATGAGGAATATTGGAAAATAGAGTGCCTAAGACCTGATTTGGTGAATGATGGCTATTGTATTTTGTTGGAAGTAAAAAATTCTAATATTGTAATGTCAAAATGACTAGCACTATTGATTCACTGTTCTATAATGGGGTATGTGTAACTGCTATAACTTAACTAGACCTCATAGATGAAGTTACCAGTTATGCAGGGGCGGATCTGGGAACCAAAAAAGGGAGAGGGGCTCGAATTTCAGATCTGAAAAAAGCCCCTTACCAAAAAGTGGGCCCAAATTTTGAAATTTTAAAGCCCATTTTCTTCAAAATTTGGCCTCAAATTAAAAAATAGCCCCCAAGATCCACCAATGTTATGTATTGTACCTTATATCCTAGAATGTAGGCTTTATTGCTTAAAGTAATTATTTGTCAGCTTATTTGTTTTTTTTATTTCAGGATATAACCATCCTGCACTCCTTGAAGTTCTGAGAAACAAAGAGAATGCGGTAAGTTGATACTTATACTTTGTAAACAATACATATTTAAGGCCCCTACTAGTAAAATGTATGTTCAGCTAAATCTAATTTGAGCAAATAACCAAGTGACTAGGTTTTCTTGTAATTCAATAAAATTGCAGGAATGCATGTCATAATTCCAAAAAAGGGACAATGAAAATGTTTGATTCTATGTCAATTTTAGGATGAAAGTGTATGTGGCTAAACAGGGATTTATTTGTAATAATCCTGTTGAATTGACATTTCAACAGGATTTCAATATGACAGTTTTGTAATTGGTTCCAGGTTTAAGATACTAATATATCCCATGATTTGTATTCACAGTTGTGTGTTTCATAAACACGATGGCCCATAAGTTGGAAATGATGTAAATTTTTGGGCTCAAGGTATCTATCATCAATTTTATGAGATATGGAAGTCACTATTCAGTATTCCTCTGGACCAATGCTCATCCAATTTAGATATATTCTTGCTGGTTAATTTTACACATTTGGCCCTGCTCCAACTTCTATTTGAGAAACTTGCTTTTTTGCCACGTGAGCATTTGAGAATTATATATTTCTTAAACCTTACAAAAATATGAGGTTTCATTAACCATCCACCTTCAGAAGGAGCATTTAACCATAGCCTATTTCAAAAGACACAATTTCAGCCTAATTATTTTGATCAAAAAGGACTCAATACTTAAAAAGTTTCATAATTCTTCATACAATAGATTACCCTTTTAATATAATGAAAGTTATTATATATTGATCATGGGAAGCTTAATAGCTTTTGTATTTACATTTGTTATGTCCTGATGTGACCTTTCACCTGACTTACTTAACTCATGCCATGGTTAACCCTTATTCATCTGGATTGTTGCCTGAGAATGTTTTATTTACTTCATGAGTTCAACAGTTCTGTATCTAGGGCATATTTATTTTAATTTATTTAAGCATTCAAAAATGTTTAGAAAAAACCATACCAATATTAGTTGGACATGGGTTAGATCTGATAACAGGGCTGTCAACTTGGGACCACCTAATATGAGTGACTTCAAAATGTTGGACACCTAAGTCCAAATCTGAACACTTTTGTCCAAATTTTGAACACCTTTGGCCAACTTTTAAACACCTTTGGCCAAAGTTTGTGCACCTTTGCCAAACTTTGAACACCTCAAATTTTTCGCGCTCGCTACGCTCGCGATGTCGTCAACGGGGGGGGGGGGGGGGGGGAGGTACGAAAAATTTCCAATGGACATGCGTGACACATACGGGATTCGCGTGACAAATCCGAACAAATTGCGTTCGGTTTTTTCCGGCGTTCGTATTTTTACCGTATCGTAAACATATTTCGAAAAAATTTCTACAGAAATATTTTTGCTTGACAATTACCAGGTAAAATGCGTATTTTGCGTGACATTTTCTGTCACGCAAAAAAAACTGGCGTGACTTCAAATTCTTCAGCAAATGCGTGACAAATACGCAAATTGCGGGACAGTTGACAGGCCTGTGATAAGGTCAGGGTGCATGGTTCTCACCAGGAAATATTTAGGGTGTGGTGCTAACATCTTCAGAATAACCGTTCAATCATGATAAATCATATTTATGTAATGTTTTATCCTTTTTACATGCTATTATTGTATATTCAGTCAATTTTAGACTGTGGAAACAGTCATGATTTGCCAATAGGGTGTGGAGGGAGCTAAATAGAGTGTGGTGCTGCGCCACAGTCTAAAAGCCTGGTGAGAGCCCTGGGGTGCATGATGGGAAATTTTCTGCATTCCTCAATTGAGTCACATGTTATTCTTCAAACAAGAATCACTCCTTCCCTTCATTGTCTATATCTTCCAGTTTGCACAAAGAGTGCACTTATGTGCCTAGAAAAGACTTGTGAGAAGAATGTTTTGATAAAGTAGGCTATATAAAAAACAAGAAAATTCAGAATTTTTTTTTTCAAGGCTTTTCTAGGCACATAAGTGCACTCTTAGTGAAAACTTGGAAGATGTAGACAATGTGGGGAAGTGTTCACTTAGAGGGATGTTCACTTGTGAGAGATGTTCAGTTTAGCGAAGTGTTCACTTAGAGGGATGTTAACTTGTGAGAGCACTTAGAGGGATGTTCACTTGTGAGAGATGTTCAATTTAGAGAAGTGTTCACTTAGAGGGATGTTCACTTGTGAGAGATGTTCAATTTAGAGAAGTGTTCACTTATAGGGATGTTCACTTGTGAGAGATGTTCAGTTTAGAGAAGTGTGCACTTAGAGGGATGTAAACTTTGGAGAAGTGTTCAGTTTAGAGAGATGCTTTCACTGGAGAGGTGTTCATAAACATTGGTTTAATATACATTTTATTTATAGACTATAGTAGCAGTAGTAAGTTAGTACTATATGTAGATCAGTTTGTTATGTTTCTGTTCACCTTAACTTAAACTTAGGTAAATATGGTATGTTGACCTCATAATAGCTGACCTGAAAACCTGATGTTGACTTTTACTATTATAGCTACAATTACTTTGTTGGAACATGGAATGTTATCCAAAGTTCAGTTGGCAGCTTCCTATAGCAGGAGTTTGATTTATTTTCATTTGTTAGCTTAAAGATTGGAGTATTAACTTAATTCTCTATTGAATTTATCAAGGTTTGTGGGTTCGTTGGCTTTGCCCACTGGGGTGGACTGACTTTTTCACTTCAGCTCAGGATTTCATTCTGTGTTTTCATTACTTTCTATTTTTTGTACACTATTTATGCTCCAAACCTTCAGAGAAGTTAACTCAAAAATCTCATCCTTGCTTGCTACTGAGATATGCCATCAGTATTATTGGGACCAAATGGGCTTTCTCTTTAAAGTTCATTGCTCTGACTATATTTGCATGGGAACCAATATACAGCCAAAAAGGAAAGTAATTGTTGAAAAATAAAATAAGTTATCTAAATATAAATATGTTATCACAGTAATAACAAATAAAAATATTTTGTTGGGTATAATATCAGTCTATCTATAGGGGGAGATTGAGTTCTTGTTGATATTAAGGCAATTTGCAAGCTATTTTGTAGACTAATTTATTGTAATGATGACATTTATCCCTTATTGATTATCTGTAAAAAAATTAAATCATTTTCCGTCTGTATTGCATATCACAGAAGCAATTTAATAATTACATGTATATGTTTTTTCAGGAAGTATTTGTTAACCGTCCTGCCCTTGGAATGTTTCCACCAGGGGATTACCCACAGCGGCTTAGACAAGCTTTACTATCAGTAAGTCTATTTGTTCTTAGCCTATAGGCCCTCCACATTACAACACATTGTATTTTTGAAACCCTCCAAAAACAGTATATTGTATTTTAGGCCCTCTACAATTCAAGATATTGCAACCTATTGAAACCCTCCAAAATACAAGACATTGTATTTTAGGCCATCTATTGTTATCTATTTTGGGGTCTACACAATACACAATGTATTGTATTTTAAAACCCTCAAAAACAGTATATTGTATTTTATGTCCTTCCACAATACAAGACATTGTATTTTAGGCCCTCCATGATACAATTTCCATAGACTTTGTCAATTTTTTATAAAAGAATTTATTCCATAAATTAACAAAAATATATATACAACAGATTACCATTTTATAAAACGCATTAGCGACAATTTGTCTTGTCAACTTGTATTTGTCGAATAAAGGATATGCTAGCTCAAAAACAACATTTTCTGACAAACATGTTATATTGAATCCTAGGCTAAACTTTTCATTTACAGTATAATGTTTTAGTTGGTTGTCCACATGGTTAATGTGATTTGTAAGCTTTGTTTGTTTTGAACCTTTGTTTGGTTTGAACAGCTCCTGTTTTTGAAGTGAAGACAGGAAATTTTGTTGACATACTCTCAATAGGACTAAAAAAAACACAAATGCAACATTAAAAAAACATGAATTTACCCATAGACAGCACTTAGAAAATATTCGATAAACATGTCATTGTGACTCAATTTACTTCATTTGTAACAAGCTTGAGATGCGATCAATGGGTGCATTGTGTGCAAAAACTGGTTTGATCTGGTATTTGATTTTATCATGTGAATATAAAGAGTTGATGCCTGGAAAATCATGAATGAAAATCATGAAACTAACTTCAAGGTCAAACTGGTTTGAAATGTGCACATTGCATGATAAGACAGAAAAAATGACATGATCGATCTTGAAATCCAGTGCACTCTACACATTTTTTATTCGTGAGGAGAATTGTTTTTATCAGTTATTTATTTTACGAGTTGGTTAGTCCACACATCAATGCGATTTGTAAGCTATCTTGTAGTGTTAAGGGCTGTCAAGCTAATTTAAGTGAATGAATGTTACCTTTGAGTGTGTTTGAACATTTAACATGTGTTCCCTTTATAGTCAGATTGAGACCTTTTTTGGGGTTATCAAGTTGGCCAAAAGTGAACATGCTAAACTAGGTGCTGTTGCCATAACCATGAGGTCATGAATTTGAGATGCATGATCTCCTAGAGTTGTTTCCTTGTAGACTAATTTAATGATGACGTCATGAGTTGATTATCCAGGGGTTTCACATGAATTTCTCACAACAGACTAAATAAATGAAAACAATAGACAAAATCAATGGAAATCATGAATTTAAAATGGAAAAGTTAAAAAGGCCTTAAAAACAACAGGCGATTTTGTGAAAACAGCCAGTGAAAATTGCCTATATATTGCTTGCTGCTAATGAAACCCATGTTATCTGTTTCTGTTTATTATTTTCAGATTGCCCCCCAAGAGATGACACAGGTGTACACAATGGGATGCGGTAGCTGTGGCAACGAGTTTGCATTCAAATTGATCTGGGCCTGGTATATGGTAAGTGAACACCGAAAATAACATTTATATAACACTTGGAGGCATCCTTGGTCCAAGGGTATTTCACTCCTCTCCATTGAAGAATAAATGAAGCCCTTTTGAATGAAGGATGGCTTAAAGGGCAAGAAAATGCTTTTTTCATTGTTGTCTTACCAGGGAAAAGTCATATTATATGACTTCCCTGGCCTTTAAAGTTGGAGAGAAATTAGGATTTCCTCGAAAATTGTTGGAGAATTTCAGAATCGGGGAAAAATCTGAAATGTTTTAATTTGAAATTGTAAAACACATTTTGATTAATTTTGGGTGTGATGGTTCTAGGAGGTTGAGCAATACAACTTTTTTTATTTAGAATGGCAAATTACTCTTTACTCAAGTATTTTTCTCAGGTTAAAACATTACTGGCCCATGAGATTTGTTTGGTCAGAAATATGGCCTAAATAACCAACCCATCCTCTGAACACCGATCTCCAGAACTCCTTCTTCTTGGAAGAAGGGAGGAAGGTAGTGGATGATGTCTACGGCCCTGCAGGCGGAGGATGTAACCAACCATGACGTGTTTTTGTGAAATCCTTAAAACAGTTCCTTATATATTTTTTTTGTATTTCAGTCAGTAAAAAGACATGGAAATCCACCCACTGTACAGGAGTTAGAATCTTGCATTAACAACCAGGCACCTGGAAGTCCACCTCTCTCTGTTCTCTCCTTCAAAGGCTCCATGCATGGACGTACAATGGGTAGGTAGTCTTATATCTTATATATAAGGGCTCTATGTATGGACGTACAAGTCAATGGATAGGTAAAAGGAGCAATCAAACTTTAAAGATGCTGCAAGTAACAAATTCCAGCTTTGACAACCCAATTCTAGACCAGAAGATGAGTTAAGTAATACTGAAGTTAAATCTATATCATGTGTTTTAGAATTTTGTTTATATTTCAGCTGCCATGAATTGCACTCATTCCCGATGGCAGGTCAAGTTGGACAACCCAGGTCTTGACTGGCCCATAGCTAAGTGGCCAGAACTGAAGTATCCATTAGAGGAGTTTGTGGCAGAAAATCAAGCTGAAGAGGAAGCCTGTCTTGCAACAGTGAGTTCAGTTATCATTTTTGGCTTGTATGGTGAGCTTATGGACTTTGGAGTCATCTGAACCAATGGTCACAGGCTTGTAGCCAGCTTTTGTCTGTTTGGGTTCACTTTTCGAAAATTATAGTGGGCTTCACAATTGACAATCTTAGCCTAAAATCACTGGAAAGGTGCTCGGAATGGTTAAAACTTCATGATTTTGGAAGAACTTTTTGCCTTGCCTGAACCCCCCTGGCCCCTTGCTTAATGGATTTGGGTCATATCAATTTTCTTAGGTTCCAGGCTGGTAATTTACATTAATGGTTCTGGCTCCTGTGTTTGCTTTGTTTTGAAGAAATGTGATTTTGTCATGATCATTGGGTCCAAAAAATGGTTCCTCTTTTACCAATAAGAGACTTATTAATAAATTTTATGGTAAATCTTGTTTTGAAATCAGCACTGGACTCCTTAATATAATGGGAAAGATGTCAAATAAGTATTTACAAAGCTTCTCCTAGCCCTATTTAAATATTTTAAAAAAATTTCGTTTAACGTAATTCATTTATATTAAGGTTGAAGAGTTGATCGCTGACCACACAAAGTCTGGGCGTAATGTCGCAGCTATCTTAGTAGAACCAGTCCAAGCAGAGGGAGGAGACCATCATGCCTCTCCAGCATTCTTCAGAGGGCTACAGCAAATAACAGAAAAGGTAATAAATAACTGAAAAGGTAATAACAAATAACTGAAAAGGTAATAACAAATAACAGAAAATGTAATAACAAATAACTGAAAAGGTAATAACAAATAACAGAAAATGTAATAACAAATAATTGAAAGGGTTATAACAAATAACAGAAAAGGTAATAACAAATAACTGAAAAGGTAATAACAAATAACTGAAAAGGTAATAATAAATAACAGAAAAGGTAATAACAAATAACATAAAAGATAATAACAAATAACAGAAAAGGTAATAACAAATAATAGAAAGGGTAGTAGCAAATAGAAGAAAAGGTAATAACAAATAATAGAAAAGCTAATAACAAATAACAGAAATGCTAATATCCAAAATAGATTAAAGCATCTGTAACCTGTTTGGTTGTAAAATAAAATTAATAGGAAATCTGATTGAATCTTCCAAATTGCTTAGAAGGGGTTGGGATAGTAGGTCTGAATTTTATAAATCGAGCTGTCTTTAGAAAAGCTTTTCCATTTTGGTATGATATCACAAATGACCAAACTGTTATGTGAATATGCTTGAGAGCTTGCATTGTCAGATGTGGTCCCAATGTGATGTAAAATATAACCTTGGGATTTAACAACTATGGAGTCACAATAACTGGGACTTTCATGGCATACATATACAGTACTCTTATCATTTCAGTATGGAATGGCATTAATATAATCTAGGATTTAACAACTATGGTGTCATGATTACTGGGAATTACATGGCATTAATATAATCTTATGATTTCAGTATGGAATGGCATTTATGGTGGATGAAGTACAGACTGGACTAGGGGCCACTGGGAAACTATGGTGTCACGAACACTGGGACTTACCAACCCCTCCTGATGTGGTCTCATTTGGCAAGAAAATGGGACTTGGAGGTTTCTTCTACAAAGATAAACTGAGAATCAAAGAGGTAAGATTTAGCCCTTACAGAAAGTTACAGTAAAGGGTAATTGTTTGGCAAAACCCTTTTGGAAGGGTAGGCTTAACTTATGTTAAAATTACAAAATTGCCTTTTCAGATTTAAAAAATCCTGAAAAAGTTTGACCAATGAGGTTTTTTGGATAGTATTGGGGCTTAAGGCCAAAAAGTCATCTTATACAGAATGAAACATAGAAAGATCATCAACTCCTCATAAGCAGAGTCTCTCCATTAAAAGACAATGGCAATTTAATTCAATTTCAAAGTTATTTTATTTTATTTTTCATACAGTAATAATACATAGAATATACAGACTTCGACATCCCTTTATGATGTTCTTTTATATTTTTCATGTTTTCAGGCGGGCCGAATCTTCAACACATGGGTAGGAGACCCTGCTAAGGTATTGCTCCTAGAGACAGTTGTTAAAGTCATCCAAGAACAGAATCTTATTGAACACTGCAGAAATACTGGGGAAGTCCTTCAGGAAGGAATCAAAGATCTCGAGGTATGTATCAAAAATGAAAAAAAATGTGCTGAAACAATAATTTTTCAGTCTAGTAAGTTATTCATTATGTTATTTTTCAATATTTTAAGATTTTCATTGATTTCATTAATATTTTTTATCTACTGTATCTGCCAGTTTAGATTTCCAATTAAATTTTCTACACAAAAGTTTATTGTTTTAATGTTTCTATGAGCAAAACCATGGCAACTGATCTAAAGTGATCTCATCCAGTACTAGCGCAAGCTCAAAATGTTCACGTGTAAAGTGTTTACATTAAAAGTTCTTAAATGACTACATTTTGATGTTCAAAAATTGAAAATGAAAATGTATTCTCTGCTCAATGAAATTATGTTGTGTTTGCTAACTAAGTAATCAGAATATGTTCCGTGTAATTTCAAGTATTGTGTTCAATTTCAGGAACAATTCTCCTGTCAATCAAAATATGTTGTGTACGATTTCAGAAACGATTCCCAGGGCAGATATGCAATGCAAGAGGTCTCGCAACATTCGCAGCAGCTGATATGAAAGACACAGAAACCAGAGATGGAACAATTAGGGAGCTTAGAAACAGAGGTATATGTGCCAGATTTGTTCATTTTTTTCATTCAATAAATAATGTCAAATGATTCAATATTGAAAAATTCAGTGTTTTTATTGTAAATCAGTATTTTATTTTATACTATGAGGGAGGGGGAGTACAACAATAACTGTAATCATATATCTGTCAATAAACTGACACTTTCCCTAAAAAATAAAATGAATTGACAAAAAAGATTTGCTTGGAGCAGACCAACTTGAAATTGTTGCTTTTATTACGCTCTCCTCTAAAAGTTGGGAAACAACAACTTCAACCATAAACAGGCTTAAACATCTTAAACAATCAACTTTTGAAGGGGATTGTAGATTCTACCAAAAATATTTCAGAGTAAAAATTAAACACAACACATTTTTTATTTTCCAGGTATTCAAATTGGACATTGTGGCCCCACTAGCCTCCGTTTCAGGCCCAGTCTGATTGCACAGCCAAAACATATCCACATCTTCCTTGATGGATTAGAGAGACTACTCACAGAGCAGCGACAATAGACTCTTTGACATCTCTATCTAAAGATCTAGACTAAGAGACCAACTGACCAGTAACAATATAACATATACTGCATTCTCTCATAATAAGGCCCTGGGCTCTTAAATGAAAGTGAAGCCTAAATTATTTAAGCCAACATTTAATGAGTCCAGATTTTGACAAAATGTCTTGTAGAAAATACTTGACATAAAAATTAATAATTTTCCTCAAAATAAAACCCTGTGGTACTCTCAATAAGAGACCCATGGGCCATATAATGAATTGGTCTTATTAATAGGGAATATAGTATGATGTAATAATCAACTGGTCCATATCAAAAATATTCACACAAGGACAGTGCTTGCTCTTACCCAGAACCTTGTCTGTATCAGACACAGAACTAAGGTGTATATAGATAAAAGTGACTGAAACGTCACACGTAGAACCTCCACCATTGGATATTGAAACACTGGGAATTTTGGAACAAAATAAATGGTAGTCCTTTCCGATTAATCTCGTCTTATTTTGGCACACTAAAAAAGCTGTTATTAGGTGCCAATGGTTGCGGGTGACATTGATGATATATAGTACAACGGACAGGTTCGTTCACCCCCTCCTTTCTGTTCTATAGGAGCAAAAATATCAGAATTGAGACCTGATATTTTGCAGATGCTAACACAAAACAATTTCTGACATGAATTTTTATTTATTCAGAATCAGTAGGTGGTATTATTAACATAAAAATTAACAGTATCACTTGGATTCAGTTCCAATGTTGTGTCACAATTATTTAGGGTTAACAAATGAGAAGACTTTAGCCATGATGCTTTATGTTCAGATGGAAATATTGGTCATTGCCAAAGGGCATATTTGGTCTTTGGTCACAGCTCAGTTTTAAAAACTGAAAATTACTTTGAACTAACAGAAATGATCATAGATCATAGAAATGATGATAGAAAGTACTGAGTATATAATGTAACCTCTTTTGTGTCATATTGATGTGCCATCTGAAATGACTACCTGGGAGCACAATGTGCCATCTGAAATGACTACCTGGGAGCACAATGTGCCATCTGAAATGACTACCTGGGAGCACAATGTGCCATCTGAAATGACTACCTGGGAGCACAATGTGCCATCTAAAATAACTACCTGGGAGCATAATGTGCCATCTGAAATGACTACCTGAGAGCACAATGTGCCATCTGAAATGACTACATGGGAGCACAATGTGCCATCTGAAATGACCATCTGGGAGCACAATGTTGTCATAGTAACACAATTATGTATCCAAGAATATTACATGGAGAATGTTGTATCCATGACAACAGTGTAAATTGGTTAAATCTATGTTGGGATTTATCTGAGATAAATTATACAGAGCTAAAGATATAGGCCTAATAGTTGGTAGTTTCTTCGTAGCTGAGCAGTCTATTAATTGTGTGAACAGTGCAACCCTGAAGTAACAGATTAATTTATGAATTGAAAAAAAAGTTGAGGTTTTTAATTCAGAATCAAAGGAAAAGAGAACAGTCATTGAATCTCTGTTATCTTCACAGAATGTAAAACATAATATCCCATGTCAGGAAAAGTTATGTAAATATTTGTATGCAGATTGCCATACACAATTATTGTAAATAAACTTCATTAATATATTAATTGTGTCTTATTTTGTTGTTCATGTGTATTGTCCAAAATCATGTCTCTGGTCAACTGCCCCCACCCCCCTCCCCTCCCGTCAAGAGTCTATCTTCAATGTTGAGGAAATATGATTAGAGGGGGTCACAGTACAAGCCTTCTTGACCCCCCCCCCCCATGTCACACACACAAGGTCTTGTATGCTATGTACCTATGAACTAGTTGGGGGTGGGTCAAGGGACTTGAAGGCAATTCTGTCACGGGGCTCAATGTAAAACTAGAAGCAGTTTCAAATTACTTCACCATGTCAACGTTAGTATAGCTTATGAAACAGACAAAATTGCCAATGAGTTTTTGGCTCAGCCCTTGTAAACTTTGTAAGATTGAAAAGATTGAAAGAAAGATGGCAGTATAGAAGATATAGACAGACCACAACTGCCATCTTTATGTTAACTAATGCCTATGACTGGTATACAGGTATATAGCACCATTTGACTTTCGACGTCCTCCAAAAAAGTGTACATAGGAGTTCCTAGAGTTAGGCGTTCCTTCAGAAGATGTTTGACTTGAAAAGTGTAAGCTGATTCATAAGCATACCCTTGTTAGAACCCACCCACCTCTAGGTCACCCCTCAATAACATCAAATACTATTCTGCCTCTCTGGAGTATTCATCAATATAAGACATTGTAATGGAAGCAGTAGTATTGCAATTTTAGTGATTCTCAAAAACTTTTAGAGAAGTATTGAAATCACCACTGTGATCTCCCCATCATTAAAGCAAGTGGGCGCAGCACCCAGCTGAGATTTTGAAAACAGGCTTGCAATTGCACCCACCTGAAAATCGATTCCCACCCATTTGAAAGTGAGAAAAATCATGAAAGTTGGCATATTTTGACCAATTTTGGTCTGAATTGTGAAAATGACTATTTTGCACCCACCTGAGAAAAAATCCTGAGGAGATCACTGCACCAATTGGCAATGGTCTGTTCATTCTTTCAAAGTTCTGAACTTTCAAATTTCCCGCCGTATCACTTTTACAGATGCGACATCTGCCGAGCAAAGATCTAGACTAAACTCTATCCAGGGACCTGTCATCCTGAAAAGTTATTTTTCCAGCAATAACCTCAAACCTCATGTCTCGTATTATCTCTATTGATGTACTTGTAATCAAATTAACGTATTAAAACGATATAGACCTATATAGTCTTGAATTTCAAAGCTGAAACGTGTCTACTGAAAAAACATTATAAATTACAGAGCTCTCCAAAATAGAGGGGAGAAAATTAGGCAATAAAAGAAAATACCCTCGGAATATTTTGACTGATTTAGAGGTAAATATGCAGTTATCTTACACTATGATGATGTTATAGTTATCTCCTAGTGGTAACTGAAATACGATATATGAAATTTTGTTACATTTAGGCATGCTATTTTATAAAATGTGGCTTCAATTTTCAGGGCATTTTACAGATCCTGTTCTGTCCTCTCAAAATAATTAGAGTCTGTCTGTTTCTCGTTTCGTACTCTAAGGCTACAGGCTAGTCTTTACTTTCTGCGAAAGCTATTTGGATTTTGATATAATAGCTTTCCCACGGCGCATTTGGACAGCTGAATGATAGTGACCTTTAAAACGTGAATAAAGATTTCAGCGGCTTACTTTTGGTCTCTAACTGTGTCTTACATCAGTATCATCAATCCGTGTAAGTATTGGAGTGCTGAAATACTTCTTTTTCGATCAAGAGTTGTAAATTGTTCATCGAGTTAATGTTTTTTAGACCTAATTCCAATATGGCGGTTTGCTAGGAGCGAGATACGCAACGAACGAAATGAATTTTGAGAATGAGTTATGTTCGGACAACCTCCGGAGATTTACGAAAATGTCCAAGCAGAAAACACCATATTGGATTTTGCAGTAAAAACATTCACTCGACTAACAATTACAAGTCTTGATCGAAAAGGAAGTACTTCAGCGCTCCAATACTTGCACGGAAGGATGGTAATGATGTATAACATAGTTAGAGAACAAAAGTAGGCCGCTGATCGACTTAATTCGATTTCAAAGGTCACTATTAATCAGCTGTCCACTTCCCCGTTTGAGAGCCATAAGTTTCAAAATCTAACATGGCTCTCGAAGTGAGTAAGCTATATAGTCTTACTCTCAGTTTCAGCATGGAGCATGGTCTGAGTTGGATAAGCAATGTGAGCTTTTATTACGGTGCTGCGATTAGTATAAATCAGTAAACATCATGGTAAATGATTGTATCATGTAACCTGATGATCGCAGGCATCGGAACAGATAGAGACATCTTTGAAATTAGCCTCCATACTCTAATATTGTTAACTTGGTGCATAGAGTGTTTGGGGGCAATTTCATTATGGGATGTTTTTATCCCAGGTTTTATTATTTACTTGATACATAGTGTTGGAGGGTAATTTCATTATAGGATGTTTTTATCCCGGGTTTTATTATTTACCTTTATACATAGTGTTGGGGGCAATTTCTTTTCAGGATATTCTATTATTTAATTGTCAGGATGTCTCTGTTTAGGTTCGGATGCCATTTGCTGCTGCTGATGATATAAAGGAACCAGTCTCCATGAATGTTAGTGTAATGACCTTCGATAGCAAGTCGCTACTACAGTCTCAGCTGTAGTGGCTACCCCTTATGGCTCAGGGGTAGAGCATCTGACTCTAGAGCGGGAGGTCCTGGGTTCCACTCCCGTATGGGACGTTGAATTTAGCACATTCTCTTTCGAGTCTAGTATCTGGCTCGGTACACTACAGCTCCCCGACGTTACATTAGTATTGTCGTGATTAATAGATTTTTGCACACCATAACCAGTAGTGCTACTTTGTTCGCGAAATCATGACGTTTGGCTTTTATGATGAACTTGTATTTCTTGATGTACATTGTGATGTACATTACTCTGGATGCAGAGTCTAGTTATAAACTACCCTCTACCTAGTAAAGACTTTATTACGGTTTAGTAGCCCTGCCCCTTTAATCTGTGACAGCCCGGGTAATTAATCAATTCAAACCTACTTCGCTGATCTTTTCTCAACCAATCAACGGTGTGCAACACATGCTAAATGTGTGTTCATTAACTATGCGAAGACGTCCAAGGAAATTACTGTATATATAGAGTTTTCCATATTTCTACGACGAACTTTGAATGGCTTGATGAGTTCAGAGATTTTTTGTAAACACTGAAAGGGTGAAGACGAAGATCTCTCTTAAGAAGCGAAGTCGAACGAATTTAAAGGGTACAAAAAAGATATTTCACTTTGTATGATTTGATTAAATTACCCAGCATGCACAGTCTAGCTTTCAAGTAATTCAACTTTTACCTTCGATTTCATTTCAAAAAATGTTATCAGTTTGAATTATCTAATCATCAAATTGAAACGATTAAAGTATTGGCATGTACATACGTATGTAGTTTATTTGACAGATTTTTGTAAAAATCAATTCAAAAACCTGAAGTTAGCTGTTTATGGACTGGATATGTAAATTGATCAATTGATCGATTCTCCATCTTGGTTGAACCTTTCTTGGCCTTATTCTTAATGTTAGAGGTCTATGTGCATTATCTACCCCACTTTAAAGGCTAAGTGGCCAATTACAGTTATTTGATTATCTTTATCACTTTATGGATGTCAGAATGTCCCAACAGTTCAATACATGTTAATGGATTCAATTTGGGTTAAACTAGGCTATGGTAAGTGTGCTTAAAATGTGATCAAGTCCATGTATGGCATTGTGAGAGACCGTTGCTTTCTATTGAGTCTATTGGTCTCTTCTGGCATCGTGGTAAGCCACACCCTCTCCATCTCTATCCTTCTGCGATGCAACAGAGAGATATGCAATGAGTATCAGAATGTCTTTCTGCTTTCTGGTGATACTTTATAAGGGAGATGGCTGTGCATTAGAATCATTATGATAAACCATGACATCTTATTTCTTCTCAGCATTTGTCTGAAACAGCAAGATGCGATGAGTATCAGAATGCAAAATTAGAATCAGTGGCAGACCCCTGGGGAGGGGTGGGGGCAGACCTGAAAATCAAGAGAGGGAGGGAAAAATATTTTGGGGCCCCAATTTCAACGGTCCCAACTTCTTAAAATAGGCCCAAAATAAAAATTGCACAGTTTATTTGGGAGATAAATAAGTCTTGCTTCAACCAAATGTGATCCCTTTGCACACCCCCCCCCCCGCCTACCCTTTGGCTATAGCTTGAAGTCAAATCATCTAATTTACTAAGCACTGACATTCAAGCATTGAAATAAATGGGGGAAGGCCATTGTGCGATTCACAGACTGTATGTTGTTTTTTGCAATACTCTAAAGCATTCGATAAAGAGGGAATCTCTGATCAGTCAAAAGTCAGAAGGGATGGATCCAGGGACAGATGCTATGCTATATTCGGTTCACCTGAATTGAGACCTCATAAAAATACTAACTTGGTTAACCATGAACACAAACTTTTATGGGATTGTGACAAGCTTTAATACAAGTCTTTTTTCAAATAAGATATTCTATTATCTTCTGTTTGGTATGGTGAAAATTATGTAAGGGTTTGATGCTAATGATGATGATTATTTGTCTGCATAAGACCTGGCAGAAAAAGCCACGCAGGTCATGTTTTGAAATGTAAAATAGAGTGGAAAAGTGTGAAATCGGTAAGAAATTAAATATACACACTTGTAGCCAACACTCTAAATTGTACAAAATGCTAGAAACACGCATACTTTATTCAAATTTTAAAGAGAAATGTCGTGAAATAGACAATATTGCGAGAAAATAGTTTGATTGGATGATGGTACTTATCACTAGTTGGAGGTAATAATCTCAATGATTATGCCAAAGTAGAATAATTTACACTTTATGGGATTTTCAGAAAGGCTAAAGAAATTTAATTCTACATTTGAATTATATTTCCTTTTTCTAGATTTAGTCTATTAACAAAATTGATGTCACCACCAGAAGAAGTGACATCTTGTTATGGTCTCCAACTTTGTTGTAGACAGTGTTTGGCGGTCGGCATCTGTAACAAATGGCAGGTAGTGACATACACATATTTTGCCAACAAAGATGAAGTCAGAATCAGAATCTAAAAGGAAATATGGGTACCCATTCCAATACATGAAGTCTCTTTTTTTTATTTTATTTAAGAAGAGTTCGGTCTGCATTTACTGGGCTTTAACTCTCGGGGTAAAAAAGGCACGAGAGAATGTTTAACTCAAGATCACCATGTGTTGTAAACCAAAGTTGGATAACTGACTATCCTAAATCCAAAAGTCCTTTTTGCATCTTGAAAAGGGAGATTTCTCTACATTTTCTGAGCTCTAACAACACTCATTGTAAAATAAGGCACAAAATTTATATACCTTAGCCTTCTAGTACATTACTATATAAGTAATAGCATACAGCTCTCATTACAAAATGCTTTGGATTTAATATGTGTTTATTATGTATTATGAGTCATTTATGCAATGCATGTTGTGACATCTTGGTTTCAAGGTATTACATATGTATGCCTGAAGGAATATGCTGGTTTAACAGTATGTCTTGTGAAGGAACTTGAACAAAACAGCCTACTATATTACCTTTTTCAACAATTTGATGTCATATCTTTCAAGAGGGTAGTAGTACCACGTTGCATTGGATCTTAGGGTACTCCATTTTGTCTTGTGTTATGATATGGGGTGTTATTTACCCTTTTCAGTAATTTGATGTCATATCTTTATAGAGGGTTACTATGCATTATATCTCTCAAGGTCCAACCATTCTATATGGCATTGTGTTACCACCACAACATATTTTTACCATTTTGAAATAGTAACTTAGTTTGGTTTCAGGTCTTTAAAAGAGAGCTTCATCTACAGTCTTTGAACAAGAGTTTTTACATAACAATTTAACACATAACACTTTTAACACATCCCAAATAACACTTTTAACACAGACCACATAACACCTTTAACACATAAAACTTATTTCACACATACCACATAACACCTTTAACACATAAAACTTATTTCACACGTACCACATAACACTTTTAACACATAAAACTTATTTCACATGTACCACATAACACTTTTAACACATAAAACTTATTTCACACATACCACATAACACTTTTAACATATAAACACCACATATCATATTTAATGCATACCACATTTAACGCATATATGGATATCTTGATTGCTTTAATCGATCATTGTCTCATAACTCACATGCTATAATGATGAATATAAAAGAAGAACATTGTTAAGAGAAATTACGTTAATTGCCCTGACATCGTTAGTTGCCATGGCAACCATTATACCACACAAACCACCTGATCTTGGATGGGATGATTAAGAAGGTAGCAGCTTACCTTTTTGCATTCATTCGACTTCTCTTCTTAAAAGAGAGCTTCGTTTCACTCTTTCAGTACAATAGATCTATGAACTCATCAAGCCATTCAGAGTTAGGTTTGAAATGATTTATGACCTGGGCTGACATGGGCACAGGTCGTGGCGGCGAGGCTAACTAAACTGTGATATAGTCTATACTTAAGGCAGAGGGTAGTTCGAAAGAATTGAAATACCCTTTGACTAAGGATGCCGTTCACTTTTGTTTGACTCACGCCAAAGTGTAAAAGTGTCTCAACTGTTTAGAGTTTAAAGTTTTAACTAGCTTCTCAGGGTATCTCCCATCAAGCCATTCAATCAGCAAATGATGTCAATACCTTTGCATTGGTCCTTTGATACCTCATACCCTTTATCCCCTCCTGGGATGCTTCAATTATAAACCCTACTTAATGATAATTATGATGACTAATGATACACACTAATAATGATGAACATTATTGATTAATTAATAAAAATTCTAATCTGAATTTACTAATGAGGTTTTTAACAAAACCTGATTGCCGAACCCTTGCCTTAACAACCGAAATCAACATAGAGATCTTATTAACAATTCCAGTTCAAAAATAAAATAATGGTTTAATATTAGTACATGTCTCCAATACATGTATTAAGTTGTAAGTGATTATAGTAAAACCAATTGGCATATAAACCAGTGTAATATGATTGAGAAAGAAATTGCATATGGCTCAGCTTTACCATAAGCCTCTGCAGGTTTATGAAATATTACCTGCATTAATACATCAGCCAGGCCTAATTGCACCCCTAATGGGGTAAATTGTAGGGTTAATTATGTTAAATTACATACAGAATAGCAATTATGCATGAGCTGGACTGGTAATAGGGGGTTAATACTTAATAGATACTGCTCTATACAAGTATACTGAGCCTATGCCAACTCATTGTGAAGCCAACTTGCTTACATGTTAAGACACTCAAAGGAATGAAACCACAAAATAGGAGATTTTAAGCCAATGATTGCATTGTTTCCTGTTGTATTTTTCAATATTGGAAGTTTAATGACATTTGTCAAGGATCTTAAATGTGAGTATGCGCAATGAATGATAATGGATACTTTAATAAATTTGGAATATCGCTACAGTTTGGAAGGAGTGAGCTCAAAGGATTAGAACATTTACAGGGGGAGGGGTATAATGGATAGAACAAGGATAGGAATGTCTTCAGTTACCTTATATTTTGTCAATTTTAATCTTCGTAAAATAAATAACTCTAAACAGTTACTGTGATAACATTTCTAAAATAGATAATATTTGGTAAACTAAGCAACAGTTACCTTGGCAACATATTCTAAAATTTGAATAATTCAGTACACCCAGCTCCTTAATAACAACTTAATTTCTGGGAACCTGACCTCTTTCAACAATGAGTTGAATCATTAACTATGCTTTAATTTCTAGCTATTTTTGTATCTTAGCCTTATCTAGTATTTTATTATATTTCCAGTGAACTGATGTACTCTGCTTAGAAACAGTTGCCATGGCGACAGATACAGCATTACTCACAAAGCTGATTCAGGATGCGGTTCAAAAACTCTGCATGCAACATGTGCATTCATCCACCATGGTTGAAATAGATGGTATTATATGCGTCTCGCCTATAAACGAGCGAGACATCGTCATCAAAATGCATAAAACATTGGAAAAGTCGGCAGAGGCAACAGTGTCAAATATCCAAAATGTGCTGGCGGAAAAGCTAAAACAGCAAAGTATGGACCGTGCTAGTCAGGATTTTATGAACAATATTGAATCAAATTGCCAGTTAGCCAAATCCCCAGAAGATATGTACAGTTCTGCAATGACATGGCTTAAGACGCAACCGTTAATGTCCCCATTTCAGCACATTTCTGCACATCAGTTATTAGCGCAGCAAGCAGCTCTTGCCCATAATGCAACACAAGAATCAACACAGGAGGTTAAACAAGGTAAGGTAATACCATCAACCCATATAAATCATAGTTCTCTAACATTCCTCTGACTGTTACCAGAAGTAGTCACCAGAAGTAGTGATCTGTGGTATTGCCGGAAGTACCGTTATGGTGGCATTCTGAATTTAGACCCAAAATTGCGGTATTCGGTGACGGTAAGGTATTGAATTGCGGTAATACCGGCACCAGTTTTCACTACAATTTGGAACACTAACCAGAAGTGACACATTGTCATAATCTCCAACTTTTGTGGATGTTGTTCGGTGGTTGGTGTTTGGTGGTTGGAGTTCGATATCTGTAACAAATATCAGGTGCTAACATTTTGTATGCCGATACCTTTTTTGTTTTCTTATTAAAATAAACAATAAACAGATGGGGGTGCCCCAGACTTTCAGCTGAAATGAAGATCACATAAGTTCTAATAAATCTGATATTGCGATTCTTCAAATAACACCTCATCCCTCAAGGAGGTAAAATAGATGGGGGGGGGGGTGCTAGAGACTTGATGCAAGACATTGTGTAGGTGAGGATTGTATTGGGGAGGAGAAGGGGGAATGGGGATGTCACAAAGGATGTCACTACCATGTAAGCCAAAGGAAAAGTAGTACCAGAAATCTCAATCTAGAAAGTCATACTTTTTGCTGGATCTTCAATCAATGAAATTCTGTAACTCATACAAGGGGAAGTAAACAAGGGGGGGAAGTTTATGAATCGATGTAAGACTACAAAATGGAAAGATTTCAGGTGCTCTCTCACAATACAGAGAACACCTCTCTAAGCTGAACACATCTTAATATGAACACTTTTTCCATTTTAATCTTTTTATCTCTCATAGACTCACATATTAAGAAATATTGGCCTGGCCCAGTGGCTTTCAGATTGGACTGGTTTTACACTGTACAGTTATCATTTTGAGGTCATCTTTGAACTCTGGGATTTACAGTACTTGAACTCTGGGATTTACCCCCCCCCCCTTGGTGTTACAGTACAGTTATCATTTTGAGGTCATCTTTGAACTCTGGGATTTACCCCCTCTTGGTGTTACAGTACAGTTGTCATTTTGAGGTCATCTTTGAACTCTGGGTTTTACCCCCTCTTGGTGTTACAGTGCAGTTGTCATTTTGAGGTCATCTTTGAACTCTGGGATTCACCCCCTCTTGGTGTTACAGTACAGTTGTTATTTGAGGTCATCTTTGAACTCTGGGATTCACCTCCTCTTGGTGTTACAGTACAGTTGTCATTTTGAGGTCATCTTTGAACTCTGTGATTTACCCCATCTTGGTGTTACAGTACAGTTGTCATTTTGAGGTCATCTTTGAACTCTGGGATTTACCCTCTCTTGGTGTTACAGTACAGTTGTCATTTTGAGGTCATCTTTGAACTCTGGGATTTACCCCCCTCTTGGTGTTACAGTACAGTTGTCTATTTGAGCTCATCTTTGAACTCTGGGATTTACTCCCTCTTGGTTTTACAGTACAGTTGTCATTTTTAGGTCATCTTTGAACTCTGGGATTTACCCCCTCTTGGTGTTACAACAGTGCAGTTGTCATTTTGAGGTCATCTTTGAACTCTGGGATTTACCCCCTCTTGGTGTTACAGTACAGTTATCATTTTTAGGTCATCTTTGAACTCTGGGATTTACCCCCTCTTGGTGTTACAGTACAGTTGTCATTTTGACATGTCATTTTGATGATAACAACAGGTAATTAGTATACATTCTGCTAATGACCACTCCACATGTAGAAAGGTGATAATGAATCGTATGGCAGATGATTTTATTACCTGTAAATTGTAATATATAATAAAGACTTGCTGAAATTATGATGGGTTTATGCCAGGTGATAATGCTGATTGCAATAGATTAGGGGCTGTATCAAATTTTGCGAAAATAATTTTACAAATTTACAATTTTTTTTAAAAATCCCTAAACAGTTTCTGTAATAAATAATAAATAATTTAATTTATATATTTTTTAATGTCCCTTTTTGCCATTGATCATGGTAGGATCTTGGATGAAAAGTTTTGAAACAACTAGAATTAATCAGTTCCAGGTATCTTGATTCACAAGGTTTTAGTTGCTCCTTGGAAGTCGAAGATGATGGATTAGGGGCTGTATCAAATTATGTGAAAATTTACAAATTTAGCAAAAAAATGTTGGATCTCTCAAAAAACTCTGCACCCTGCAGAAAATGTAAAATTTTGAGATATTTCTAACAAAATATGAGGACTCAGCACCAAGACTAGAAAAGGTCGAGGATAGATCATTGTTATTTAATGTTTTTATTAAGCATGTCATTTTACCATTATACATCCATGAATATGAGATATTTAGAAAGCATGATAACCTAGGAGGAATAATTGCATATTACCACTTATATATACAAGTATTATTGGGGTCTACCATACAATGTATATGTTCAATGTCATTTAAATGTAATGGTTCATCCAACAAGAATGTAAGTTCATAAACATATGGTATTCAATTGAACACACAGGCCCGTAGCCCCCCATGCAGTTTTTCACCATTTTGAGCACTTCTCAAGTGATTTTAGCCATATATGAGCCAAAATTGTCAAATGTGACCCCCCTGGAAATTTTTGAAAACTGAACCCCCCCCCCCCTTTGGCAAATCCTGGTTACGGGCCTGACACATTTTTTAATCAGTTTGTAAGATTGATACCCTTTGCATTCGTTTGACTTCACTTCTTAAAATAGAGCTTCGTGTAGTTTAACTAGACTCTGCGCGCAGGGTATAAGATTGACAAAGAGTTTTGCATCTCTGAACTACCTCCCCCTTCCCCCATTTACTTTGGTGCATGTAGAGCCGACTGGTGAATGAAGAGTTTAGAAACTTTAGAATTTATTGGGGGGGAAGTCAAGGTCTCTGATGATTAAGAGAGCTATTGAATTAGAGAGGAGGGTCATTTGAGTGAAGCTACTAAAATTTAGTGAGAGTTTGTCAAATTGAGAGCTTTATTTTATGAGCTTTGGTATGTAAAATTAAGCCGTTTTGGCCTGATCTCATTTTTTTAATTTATGTTGATCTGGTTTTCATGGCAACACAGCAATTACTTGTGAAATGTTACCAAAATACAAAATATAAAACCTTTTTAGAATTAGACTCAAGCCTGGTGTCTCATTACCATCTTTGCATGAGGTAATTTGTCATATTTATAATACATGTGATTATTAGATGCACTTCGTCATATTATAAAGCCTAAAATGATATTAATATTTTGTTATTATGATTTTGATCTGGGTATTTGATATAAGTGAAATATTAGACTGTAATTACTTTTTGAATTTTATTAGAGCTGAGGCCATGCTGTTGTTCGACATTTTATGGATGGGTCTAAAACACATTAACCTAATATGTAATAGCCCTTGCATAAAGTTTCAGATCATATTTGTTTCTCCCCAGTCCATTTCTGAGTTTTGAAATGATTATCTGATGTTTCTGGATAATTTAGATTATTGACTGCATGCTTTATTCCTTGCTGAGATCATTCATTTTTAAACAGTCTTGGCATTTTACATGACCAGTGCCATTGTCTTTTCTGAGTAGAATTAAGGTGCCCTGGCAAAAATTACGACAATTTTTCAATCATTTTTTTATGAAGGTGATGTCTTCTATTTTTGTCAATTTTTAATTGTATTTTCTATCACCATGAGAACTATTCATGAAACTTTATGACTGAAAGATACAAACAATTATCTGCTTGCTGTTTTTCCGTGTAAGCTAAATGCAAGGTGCTTATAATGGGATTCTATATACTGCTAATGGTACATTTTGACAAATTACCCTCAATTTGGTAAGCAAAAATGTACTTATCAACATGAAGTTGCATTTTGAAGTAGATGATTACCTAACTCAATATTCACCTCATATTTCACTGTAATACTTCTTAGAAAAGCGTCTCATGACAAACTGTTGCAGGACTACATGAAAAGCCAGATTTTGCCAAGGGGGGTTCACTTTTCAGAAAATTCAAGGGGGTTCACATTTGACAACTTTGCTCAGAATTGTGGAAAACTGCATGATTTTGAAAAAAAATTGTGCCAGGACCTGAGCCTCCCTTGATTATGTTGACTACAGTAAAAAAAACTTTAAAACTTTAAAAATAAGGACCAAAAATCTTTACATTTCAAAGTGTCAACCTTAAAAAGATGGGCACATTACAGGTTTTAGTATGATTCATTAGGTGAAGTTAAATCTCTTAAATTCTTTTTGATCAAGATAATCTTGTATGCCGTACTTACTTGAAATTGCTATGCAACTCTTACCTTAATGAGGTTTAATCCACTTAGGCTCATGCACATAAATTGTCAATTTAGCAGGAAGTTTTTGAAAAATATTAGATGATCTGAGGCATTTTTCTTTATTATCAACCACCCAGGGGATGAAGTATTGTTACATTCTCCTACTTTTTGTGGGTTGTTATTGGTGGTTGGCATTTGGTGTCCAGTGTTTGCGCTAGCCATTTAAATTTCTGAGTCCCAGGGACGCAACACATTTGAAAAATGTGAGTCCCGTCTAATTTTTTTTGCGTCCCTCATATTTTGTTATTAAAGTGAAAGTAATGTGGGCGATAATAGGGTGCTTCCGCTAAAACGAGATAAAAATGACATGTATTGTAATTCTATGCATTCTCCCGATAAATATCCATCATTTGGTCCTTTTCACACAATTCTTTACTAATGCTATACCAAAATTCTCCGAAATGAATGAAAGAAATATTCAAAGAGTTGTTTTCACATTTTACCAACCAGCGATCTTCAAGGTCGTGAACTTTTTGTTTCTTTTTATAACATTTCTCCTTACTCCAGTGTACATTTACTCTGACGACTTTTAGATGAAAAACGTTGATCTATCATTAAATAATTATATTGATATAACATTAGATCGATATCTAACGGTTCCTTGTGGAAGTAATTAAGGTTATCGTGAAAAACAAGTCTCAATTCTCAATTTTGAAAGTAATGTTTGCATACAACAGATTATCCAGCTTTGGTATACTCCGGAATGACTCGGAGTGCACCATAGCCAATCAAATGCTGCGTTTCAGACTAGAAACCCTGCGAATATACTGAGACACTTCGGTAGCCAATCAGATTTGCCGACATAAACATTATCGAGATCAAGGAAGTAGACAATTTGAAAATTCTTCAGAAAATCATGTTTTATCACTTCTACGCTGCAGTAAAAGTTACCTGATGGTGGTGTAGAATCTTTGCGTCCCAAGGACGTAAGTTATTTCTGATTTTTCCGTCCGACCTCTTGAAATTTCCGTAAAAACGAGAAAAAACTGCGTCAACGCAAACACTGGGTGTCTGTAACAAATGGCATGTGGTGACATTTTGCATCTTAATGCCTTGTTACTAATAGTAAAATACAATGTCAAAATGAGGTGAAATTACCAGATAAAGGGTCTTACTAGGGAGGATTTGGGTCTTGGGATATCTGTGTATGCCATACTTTAGAAGTTAAATCCATTTAAGATGCATGATAGCACTGTTAAACAGATTTTTCATTCACAAGGGTCTTAATGATATAATGCTACTGAACTGCCTATTTAAAAGGCCATTATAAGAAAAGCCACAACTTGGTGAATGTGCTACTTAAATTACTCATTACATCATTTTCTAAGCAGGATTTATTGATTGTACTTTCACTAATGATAGACTGGTAATACACAAAATAAGAGGTTAAGCTGATTTAATTATTTCATCTTGAATTACAAAGGCAGGGGGGGGGGGGGTGATGGGGTTGAGCCCTCCCTGGCCAAATATTCTTTCAATATCATGCAGTTTTCCACCATTCTGTGCATTTTTCAAGTGAGAACTATCCCTGGCCAAATATTCTTTCAAAATCATGCAGTTTTTCACCATTCTGAGAATTTTTCATGTGCGAACCCTCTCTGGCCAAAGATTCTTTCTCAATATCATGCAGTTTTCTACCATTATGTGCATTTTTCATGTGAGAACCCTCTCTGGCCAAATATTCTTTCAAAATCATGCAGTTTTCCACCATTCTCAGTATTTTTCAAGTTGTTTTGGACCAAAGTGGTCAAATGTGAACCCCCTGTAGAATGTTTTGAAAAGTGAACCCTACCCCCTTGGCAAAAGCTGGTCATGGGGCCTGCAAGACATGAAAAACTACATGAATATGTCATGTGATTGATAATCAAAACATTCAAAAATGTAATTTTCATATTTTGGGTTTTATTGATTGTTTTCATGCATTTTAGAATGTTCTATCTACCTAATTTTTGAATAACTTTGTCAATACTTGTGAATTGTTTCACTATTAGTAAATATTGACCCTTAGTCAGATTTTCAAACTTGCATGATTGATTTGGCATTCGCAAATATCATATTGTACATTGTACATGTTTTGCAGTTTGATTTGTTTCATAACTGTATAGTTTTAAAGGTTCAAATATGGCTCTCACAAATGTACTGAAATTGCTCATTTGAATGAAGGTATTTTTAAAACATTTTATATGAGAATTACAAAACTGAACTTAAACTTTCAAAGAAAAGAGAAAAATCAAACGAGAAAAATGAAATATCAAAGTATTACATTAAATTGAACAATTGAAAAAGATGCAAAAGTCCCATCGTATGTGTATAAACCCATTTCTAAATTCACAAAATATTCTAGTTGATATTCTATTACTCTACTTCCAGCTGACCAACCTGTCAATTTGACGCTAAAAAGGAAATCAACTGAAGCCCATGAAAAGGTGGAGCCACCATACAGTGCTAAGCGGTCACGTCAGGCAAGTGAGAGAAATGACAGAGTTGACGAGGATGACTGTGTTACAGTTGACGACAGAGATGATATTAAAGAAGAGGTTTTCAATGATACTAATGGTGAGTTGGGCCTTTGTATACCAGGAGGGTATTTGGGATACCAAGAGGGCATTTTGAATACCAGGAGGGCATTTTGAATACCAGGGAGGCATTTTGGATACCAGGAGGGTGTTTGTGGACATACTAATGGTGAGTTGGGCCTTTGGATACCAGGAGGGTATTTGAGGGTACCAAGAGGGCATTTTGAATACCAGGAGGGCATTTTGAATACCAGGGAGGCATTTTAGATACCAGGAAGGCATTTTGGATCCCAAGGGGGCTTTATGATACCAGGAGGGCATTTTAGACACCAAGAAGGCTTTTTTGATACCAGAAGGGCATTTTGGACTCCTGGAAGATTCTCAAAAACTGAGAGTTTGAGAACTCCTGGGGAGATTTTTGGGCACACTGAGTGTCAGATTCTAGTAAATTGGGCTCTGAATACAATTTTGATGATTAATATTAATGATCCATTAAATAGATGTTGTAGCTTTGTAATGTATAAGTAAGGTAAGTAAAATTTGATTTTAAACATAACTATCCAAAAGATAAACCAAAATATTCATGTAGCAACAGAAAATGTCCTTTACACATGCACACATATCATTAAGGGTTCAATTTCTACATTATGTGTAGAACTTAACCACTCTAATGTAAAAGTATTTCATCTTCCTTTAACATACAGTTCTATTATAATCTAACAATTGAGGTTAATTCCCGATGTTTACAATTGTTATTAACTTATTTGCACTTCAAAATTCTTTGAATTTCAAATAGTAATTAGCGCCTGGAGAGCAAAGTTCAAGTTTTCTACTCAAATTTGGAATTTTATGGCGAGATCTAAGAATTCAATTATCAGAGTACAAATGCAGTTTTAACCACTTTTGTTAAGATGTGATAATGTTAATTATTTGATACCCTTTTGCTCCTTAAAAGAGAGATTCATCTACTCTCTTTGATTAAGAGATCAGCTCTTATTCAATCAGATCGGTCACTCGAGTCAATATACAGCTACCGAATCAGAGGCATACCATTTATATTGATCCCCTGATATGCTTATGAACTTTGAGATTGAATTTTCTCTGTCCCACATTATCTGGAAGTCGAAGATGGGATGATTTCTTGGGATAATCTTTGGGATTTGTATTCATTTTGACTGGTGTATTATTAGATCTTTTTCATCCTGTGTTCTGTGTGTTCTGTAACCATTTTGGTACTGTCCAGTTGGCACTTACACTTACATATTCCCAAAAACATTTATGAGTCAGGCCAACTACTTCGAGAGCCATTTAACCTCTTGAATCCCAGGCTCTAAAATCTGTTGAAACCAGAGATTTTTTTCATTTTTGCAACCTTTTGACATTATGCTGCATACATACAATTTCAGATACTCAACTTAGTAAAATTAGACGGCAGAGATCATTTCTACACCTTTTAAAACAAATTTTGTGTAAATTTGATGAAAATTGCTCAAATAAGAGCAATTTTAGCGAAAAATTTTTGTGACGGATTTTCTCATCACTCTGGGTTTCAAGGTCATTTCTTAGGTGACGAGAAATCTCGTCACTCCAGGTAGTCAAGAGGTTAAAGATCTTTTCAGCTGTAAAATGACCTATCTTAGCTAGAGTGTAGTAATTACTACTACAGGCTCAGGACTTCAGGGTCATTCTTCTAGAGCTGTTGTTGCTATTTTAGACTCCATCCCTAATTCTCAAACTTTAAAGTATAACAACCTGTAACAAACTGTATCGGCACGCTTTAATATAAACCCTGAGCAATTTTATGACACATTTTATTTTGGAGTTCTTCTCAGAAAATATGGTATTTTTATTGTTCATTTCCAGTCTTAAACCCTTAAACACAATTTTCTCTATGGCATTCTTCCTAAGTCAGGCCTGTAGCCAGGGGGGGGGGTTCGATGGGTTTGACCCCTCCCCTACCCAGCCTTTCAAAATCATGCAGTTTTTTCACCATTCTGAGCACTTTTTTAATTGATGTTGGCCATTTTTTGACCAAAATTGTCACAAGTGACCCCCCCTGAAATTTTTAAAAAGTGAACTCCCCCTTGGCAAATCCTGGCTGCGGGCCTGTAAGTTGACCATAAATCATCATTTCAAAGGCCACAGGCAAGCTACAAATAGAATCACTGAACCCACGTATCCATGATATCTGAACTGTTTACATAATTTCTATCATTTTCCAGATATTACACAGGAAGACCCGCAACCCCCTAGACCACTTTACCCCCATACTCGAGCTGTTCTTCACAATGGACTGACAACCCATAAGCCACCAGCAGATGTTGGCTGGCCCGGGACACCCTCTATATATGGCTTATATGGTAACCATAGCAACAACAACAGTGCTAATGTTGCCAGTGGCAACAACTTTAACAATTTCAATGCTGACTCAGGTAAGTGTAAGCTTGCAATTGTATTTGCACAGCATTACACCTCAAGACAATCATTGCACCCTAAAGCACATCATTGTGCCCCTAGCCGTAGCCATGTCAGTGTGCCCCTAGCCGTAGCCATTTCATTGTGCCCCTAGCCGTAGCCAGGTCATTGTGCCCCTAGACAATTATTTCACTCCTAGGTATATTGTTGCACTCTAAAGCACATCATTGTACCCCTAAACACATCATTGCATCCTTAGGAACAACATTGCCCCCTTGCGAGAACTTTGCATCCTACAACCTTCAACCCATGTTCATAATCTTGCATCCCTAGCCATGCCCTTCCTCCTATATGCACCTCTGTATTATGCATCTGGGGGTAAACCTTAACAGTGAAACAGTGAACAGTGAAATCACGATGTAAAGTTGACATAAATAGTCACTAATCACACCTTTGCAATGGCTATAAATTGTTTTAGTATTTAAATTCAATGCGTTGAAGTGTCAAGGGCATTTTTTGTTAAGACTACTTGTAAATAGAAATCTGCACAAGATATCCCTATAATATGAACAAATTTAAATGTAAATTAAAAAAAAAATTTAAAAAATGAATAACTGAAAAAATGCAGGCATGATTTTATTTTCCAGATTCATTGCCGAGGATTGGCAAAAGTCGCAATCGGACAGCCTACAGTAATGCTCAAATTTACCAACTCGAACAGGAATTTTTAATAAATCGTTACATAAATCGGCCGAGGAGACACGAACTTGCTTTATTGCTCGGGCTCAATGAGCTTCAGATTAAAATTTGGTTCCAAAATCGTCGAATGAAAGAAAAAAAAGAAAAAGGTGGATCCGTCTCTGGAACCTGGAATACAAGAGACAGTTTAGACGATTCCATGCTTAGTTCTGAAAATGACCACCAGGGGTCCCCACCAGTTTCTCCATATAAGGATGATAGTCCGACAAGAGGGACGGTTAATGATGCGGATGACATGAAACAGGAAAATATTCAAGGCAATGTGAATAAGGAGTTCACTAAACAAGAGATTAAAACGGAATGAATGGAATAAAATTCAATGTTACTGTCAAATACTCTTACGCATTTATAATTCTGCACATATGAAGTCCCTGCCTTGCTTATGAAATCAAATCATCATGTGTTATGTCCAATAATATCAGGATTTAAAAATATAGCTCCTCACCATAGCTGTCAAATATTATATCGATCCTCATATAAGCAGCACTTGTGAAATGTCTCAATAAGATCATACTGAAAAGTAGGAATGATCGAGAAATTGTAAATACAATGAAATTGGATAATGTGACTGATAGACATAAAACTGGATCAGGAGAATGCTATTTATCTCCTTAAAGAGAAAATGGGATCTATATTCAGAAGATTCAATCAACTTTTAGTCAACAGACAAAATTGTTAAAGTGGATGAAAAGTGGATCTTGGAAAATCCTTGCATCGAAAGTATTGACCATATTGTTCAGTGATCTTCCCACATCATTTTTGCAACAATGTGCTAAATCCCTTTTTTTAATTTTACCAGTTTTGGGTGAAATTAATGTTGCAACATCTTGACAGAGTGCAAAGTTGCAAACAAATGTTCAATATGGTAGCATGTAATTAAAGAATTTTTGACAAGCTGTAGGACCCAGCCGCTTGAATGCTGTTGAGATCACTCCTACCCAGGCCCATAGACAGGGGGGGTTTGGGGTCAAGCAAAACCCCCTGGCCAAAAATTCTTTCAAAATCATGCACTTTTTTACCATTATGATGACTTTTCAAGTGATTATGGCCAAAGTTGTCTATATTGAGCTCCCCATGTGAATTTTCTAAAAAGTGAACCCCCTTGGCAAATCCTGGCTACGGGCCTACCTACCAATATATTTCTTTCATGTATATGTTCGAGAAATACATGTTTTTGGAGAATGTGAATGTGTAATGTTTTGACTCCCAGAAAATTACAACTTTTGTCCTTTATATTTTTATTCTTAAGTGCTAACCTGCCTATTTTGTTGAAATAAATGGCTTAAATACTGTCTCCTTGTCCTATGGCACTTTGATAAAGGGCTATATAGCTGTATGCTGTCATTGTGTGCCGATGAGCATATGGGCATCTTGGGTTCTGGGGAGGTGAGCCCATAGTCATTTTTGAAGCAAAATTGTCAAAAGTGCCCCCCTGGAATTTTTTTTAAAATTAGCCAAAGCTGGCTACAGGCCGGACGCCACAAAAATCTTGTTTTCAATTGATTAAATTATATGTACAGTAGATATAAAATGGGCCTAAGAGAAATATTGTGGGCAAAGAATAATGATGTTTAATTGACTACATTACTAAGTCGTAGAATGAGTTTAATATTTTTGTTTAATAATCATTGATTTGCAGTATTGTCAGTGGCGCCCTCTTGTGAATTAGTGAAAGGGGAATCTGACACATTTAGGATGTCCCTCATTTAAAGGGTCCATAATAGGGAGATTGAAAAATAATTTTTAAATGTGTATAACTATTGAGAAATTGATATAATTATCCTTGATATAAGGATAATATATCTCCTTATTGTGAAAACTTTGACTTTGTAAGTGAAAGAAATGTTTTTAAGACCACAGTCATATAACTTATCTGTTCTCTGTGACTCGAATATGGCCAGTATGTATTACAGTACAACTGTAAAACAAGAAATTTTGCACTTATTTTCAGCTTATTTTAATAGACCAATCTTGTAAATCGTACCATCTATCTGTCCTGATGTCATACTTAAAGATTTAGGGCAGTCTTTTGACCAATTTTTTATGTCACCATAAGTGGTGACACATTGTTACAGTCTCCAACTTTTTTCTGGACGGTGTTTGCGTTTGGAGTTTGGCATCTGTAACAATTTGCAGAACTTACAAGGTGGTGACATTTGTCATGTTAAAGCCTTGTCAAGCATTGCTACTGCCATGTATGACATCATCATTTAATTAATTTACCCTAATTTCTTTGGGTTGGCCAAAAGGACAGAATTTATTGGTAGGGTCTAGAGACTGGTCTATTCAACCATGGGCTTTCAATAGACCACTATTTTTTGCATTGCTATTGGCAACACTCAAGATTTGGTAATTTTTAATTGTCATCTTTTGAGATAAGCAAGCAAAATTTCTTGTTATTTTACAATATATGTTAAAAGATACTAGATAGTACATTGACTTTTTGCAACATTGTGTGAATTCATCCTCCGAATGCAGGGCTTCAGACACCATCAACTCATCTCCGTTCCTTCCTTCTTCCCAGTTTGGATAATGTGTGTATCCCTGCGTTTGGAGGATGCGATGAATTATATTTTTATTGATTAACTTGCTTGACTCACATGTATTGTCAAATTGTCATTATTTGAGATAATGACAAGCAAAATGTCTTGTTTTACAATATGTGTAACAGGATGCATTGACTTTTTTGCAAGATTATTTGAATTCAAATTTTACAGTTATACCTGTATTTATATAAGGTCAGTATTACATTGTTGATATTTGTGCACAAACTTATTTTATTACATTTTGAGGAGGGGATTTTTTTTCTTGTTTTTCTTGGGGGGGGGGGTAACTGCCTGTTAAGTTTTGTTAGTTCTTTATAGTAAGCATTTGAGGGGGATCCATCTGAATGTGACTAGTTTTGTTTTGAAACAACATCGATAAATTGAAGGTGAATTCCTTTTTTTATTTTAGTTTTTCTAGTTATGTACAATAGTTTTTTAAGTTTAAAATCATAAGTCTGTTGTTGTAACTATGGAAATAATGACACTATAGCTAGATAACAATGGACTTATGCACTTATAAATTTATCCTACTGAGGGTAATACACTTAATATTTGGAATCTGAATACAGATTTAAAGGGAGATTCAACTTAAATTGTGTCAAAGAGAGTTTCTTCATAATTGTATATTTTGACATTGTCAAATTAGATTGTTAATTTTTTACATTGTCTAATTGAGTTGTTGATACTTTAATCAATTAAGGAATTGTTGAGTTTCGGTACCTTGTTTAAAGGTACTTGTATCCTAACGATTAGGCTTCGCTATATTGTATATTTTGATATTGTCAAATTAAAATGTTGATTGTATTTGGGATCATCGAATGCGGATACCTTTAAGTAATGGGGTATCCTCAAGTCAAGAGTTACTTTCCTAATAAATCTAGATATCTAATATGGGCATTTAAAATGGCAGTAGACCATGGGCATTTAAAGAGGCGGTGGACCATGGGCACATTTTAAAAAGCAGTATATGTAAGTCTAATCCAAAATTACCCCAATTTATAATGATATGTAAAGTTCACACTGCGTTGTCTTTTTTGATTCATTCTCAATTAATTAATTTCTGATGGGAGAAAAGACATTGAATTATACCATTACTAAAGTAAAGTTTTTTCATGTTTCAAGTTACAAATCATTATAATTTATCAACACACCATGGTTATTTTAGATTTAGGATCAGAATAACAGATTTAGCTTTTAAATGGGAATAGTACCTTCTTTTATGTTTTGCCTCTGAATAAAGCCCCATGGGGTTATTTTAAAAATAGCTTTAATAACAGGTCAACTGTGCATTTTTGGATTTTCATTATAATAATGAAAACAGATAGGCCTTGTTTTGAAAGCATTTTCAATTTAAGACCCATGGGTCATTAAATGAGTGAGAGATTAATGTGTACAGAATCATCTCAATAGTTTTATTGTAGTATATATTTTATATTATACAGAACTAAAGAATACTATATATAGTACTATTATACATATTGTCATGTAAACCTGACGTGTTCATGTATGAATTGTATGATACACATTCAATAATAAAAAATATGATATTATCTGAAATTATATTTTTGTCATTTATATACAAAATGTACCTAATTTTAGTTCTCTTGAAGAAGAAATTTTGTTTCTTTCATCTGATACTTGGATGACCCTTTCACATTTGCACTGGCTTTCAGTATAGTAATACATTCCAAACAGACATTTACACTTCTTTGGCCCACCCTGTATTTTGTATTCATCTTATATCCTACTCCAAGTGAGTGATAGTAATACCAGGCTAAATAAATGAAAACAACAGGCAGAATTAATGGAAATCATAACATGGAAAAGTTAAAAAAGTCCCTAAAAACAACAGCCGATTCTGTGAAAACAACCGGTGAAAATCGCCCGTTGCCTTCTGCTAATGAAACCCCTGAATACCATGAAGATGTATACTTATATATGTATCTGTCATCTTTAGAGACTAGAATTCGGATTTCATTTCACCCTAGCCAAAGAATCAAAAATACTTGTTTTCAAGTATTGCCTCTTGTGATCTTTATATTAGATCTAGTTATAAAATGTTTTTGGCTACCCATTTCAAAACGAGGTCAAAATGGCTGCAATAACTCTGGATGATTTGTATTTCGTTGCATTAGTGACAATAGCTTCGGCATGGCAGCTTGGTGAGTTTAGAAAACTTGTTGAGTGTCTTCATGGATACGGTTTCTTGCAATGTCATCGGTTGTTATGGCTTTTCGTTTCGAATATTGTACATGAATAGGTTACTTTACTATGAACTTTTTTAAAAAAAATTTGAAAGTTTCTACTTTCTTGAGTCGGGCAATCTGCGCGAGATTCGGTTTTTACTTGGTTCGGTTTTTCATTAAAGGAAGTACTTCATTCCCATGATTCAAAGTGCTTTTCTGCCATCGGTTCGGTTTAAGTTTGTACAACATACGTCTACAAATCCGGGGCAGGTTGATATTATGTCATTACATTAGGGGGTTCAGGTCATTTTGATGCTTCCATAGAACTCTCTTGTTAAAGTTATAATATTTTATATTTTCCCTTAAAAGTTCTTTCATTGCTTAACTTATATTAACTTCATGTGTGGCCGTAAGGAGTCGCTCAATTACTTCAAACACATAGTTTATGTAATATTACGTAATATTGCATAACATTATATCACTTTATATCATAATTATACGTAATATTACTCCTATTATCATCTAAATATCTTTTTTGGAGGCTAATTTCGTGAAGGCAGGTGATAGGGGAAGGAGGTGGGCAAAATTTTCATACACAACAAGTACTTACTTACTCTCTAAGGGACAACTAGCTCCTAAAACTACCCGTCGAACGGAAAAGAGAGTAAAGTGACTTACCAACTTGGGGTTTTCAATGTAAAACACACGTTAACACACTTTAAGATATCTCACGTGTATCATCAAAGATGGCGGGACAGGAGAACGATACCTCTCGTCTTCTCTCGTGTTGTCTCGCGAAGTACTTCCGGTTCATACATCTGTTCTGAAATGTGCTCAAAATAGTGTTAGTCGGACGTGTCAAGCAGTCCTCTTTAAGAACACGAATCTCAATAGTATCGTAAGTAAATGAGTACTCTTTAAGGCCACATAAAACATTATATAGTGCTATATAATTTATTTATATTTTCCCTTAAAAGTTCTTTCATTGCTTAACTTATATTAACTTCATGTGTGGCCGTAAGGAGTCGCTCAATTACTTCAAACACATAGTTTATGTAATATTACGTAATATTGCATAACATTATATCACTTTATATCATAATTATACGTAATATTACTCCTATTATCATCTAAATATCTTTTTTGGAGGCTAATTTCGTGCCATAACTTTGCATAGCAAAGTGCCGCCATAAAAAGAGAACATAAAATAGCAAGATACTATGTAGTTTTCCATATATTTATAAAAAATAGCAAGTTTTCACAAGTTTGCTTAACAAATCTTTACTATTTACACAAGAGAAAATCCCTTTGAACTACCATAGCCAAAATAAGAAACACAGGAGTCTCACGAGGCTGTTCCTCACAAGTCAACCCTATGAACTTAAAATGACTACCAACAAACAAGGCCAAGGTGTCTTATAGGGCTGTTCCCTACAAGTCGAACCACTGCCTTTTTGTTTATTTGTCTACTTAAACTTCAATTAAGGTCCAGTTGAACCAGCGCCTAAAGCGCAATTTTGAAAGTGTCTCATTTGGTTTGTTTTCATAAAGAAAACTATTTGGCAACTAAGTAGTTCTTTGTCTATAACTATACAATTATAAAAATGTCATCTAGTATTTAAAAATCATATGCATTATGACGAGGCAGGTAACCATAACACTAATAAACACATACTTATTGAATCAGCACAATATTAATATGTAGAAGGTAAACATACAGTACTAAACTCATATTTTGTATTTAATCTAAAAATTGTGAAGGGTTAGGTAGGTAAATATAATATATAACCCCGGACTCTTGAATGGAACCATTTAACCTTTGAAACTACATGAGTTAGGCAATATAGCAAGTAACCATACATGGTATTTTGCCCTTATCTCAGATACTTTAGGAAAGCAAATGATTCCCATCTTCCCATCATTTTTATTTGTGTAACTGACAAACCGTTTTGTGCATAGTAAATTGCACCCCCTATTCGAAAACTGTGAGGTTTGATATTCGTTGTAGAAAGATTAGCTTGTGCTTTTGCCTGTTGAAATATGTTTCTGAAGTGCGATGGATGAATGGGTTTTTGCTTTAATCTAAATAATGGGCCGTCGTCCCAACCTCTGAATTTTAAATAGTTTTTCAATTCTCTAACAGGACAGAATATATTGCTTGGGAGAGGATTTATCCTTACACGTACTGCTTCCTTGCTATGTTTGTATGAAGTAAAGCGAAGTACCAAACATTTGCTAGAAAGCTCTTGTACACTGTTAATTAGTAAATTATGGTCACCATAACCTGTCATTTCGCCTATTCTTAACAGTGAAAAAAATGCTACTACAAACATAACTCGAAAAACTCTCACTTCTTCCTCTGTAAGTATCAGTTTGTATAAAGATTGTATCAAAATATTTAACGTATTGACAGTTAGAGGTTCCCTTCTAGTTGCCTGAGGAACTTGTTTAGCCAGACCTTTTAACCCCTGCTGAATTGTGAAGTGAGCAGCTGGGTCATGTTGACCGTTCACCTTATGTACGTAACTAATTGCGGAAATGAAAGTTCTTATTGAACTGGGGGCATAATGTTCCTCTGCTAGGTGAGCTATAAACATAGCTAGATGGGCTGGATGGAGAGGCCAAATCGGAATATTGATGGATTGTCCAAATTGCACCAAACGTCTCCATGACCTGGCATATAAATCATTGGTGTTGTTTGTATGTGCAGCATTCACAAATTGTCCGAAATTGTTAAAAAGTTGTGTGGCTTTAGGTGATCGGGCATGGGGATGAGATGTGCCTCTGGGGCCAGATTGCTGAACACCTGAATTAAATTACGTGATAAAGCGTCAGCAGCGGTGTTAAGTTTACCTTGAATGTGTATTGCTTTGAGGTAAATGTTGTTATTCAAGCATTGTAAAACTAGTTTTCTCACCATGGCCAACATATTTTCGTCCTTAGCACTGCCTTTGTTTATTATATCACAAACAGCTTGATTGTCAGATCGAATAGTAACAACTTTATTCTGGAATTGAGCTTCCCAAACAAAAAATGGCACAATTGCAGCATAGAGTTCTTTAATAGCAATGTCTAATGACATCCAATTTTCCTCCCAAGGCCCAAATGAATATTCATTGTTACAGAGTATGCCATACCCCCATGTCTTTGAAGCATCTGTTTGTAGGACCAGGGACTCTCTCTGCTCCCATTCTCTATCTAAGAAAAAACCTTTTCCATTAAATTGAGCCAAAAATTCGTTCCATATTTGTAAATCTGTTTTGGTTTCTTTTGTCAATCGAACTCTGTGGTGCAACTCTGACACTTTCATGGATAAATTGATCAACCTTCTAAGAAATGTGACACCAAAGGGGATAACTATACTGCAAAATTGAAGAAAACCGATAATACTCAGAAGTTCGCGTTTTGTAACTTTATTTCTATTTTGGAATTTCAAAATGAGTTTTCTGCCTTTAAGTAATTTTTCTTGTGGGAGTCGTAATTCACTTTTGACTGAATCAATTTCCAGGCCTGCAAAGGTAATGACTTGTAATGGCCCTACAGTTTTTTCTGGAGCCAAGGGAACCCCAACTTTTTCACAAAAGGATTGAAATTTTTCTAAACTGTTTACACATGCCTCGTGTGACTGTTCTAAAATAATGAAGTCGTCCAAAATATGTTTCATATTTGAAATATTTAATTTGTTTGTTGCGACCCAGTTCATGGCTGTACTGAGGGACTCAAAAATTTTACATGAAATGGATAAACCCATTGGTAAGGTTTTGTCGATAAAATAAAGATCGTTGACCATGAATCCCAAGAGGTATTGATCATCAGGGTGTATGGGTACAATATTGAAAGCACTTTTAACATCCAATTTGGACATATATAGAGGCTTTCCTGACTCCTTGATCACATTAATAACATCTTCTACCTTATCATAATGAATTGTTGAATATTCTTTATCGATTCCTTCGTTGATTGATCGACCCTTCGGTGCTGATAAGTTATGTATTCTGCGAAATTCACCAGGTACTTTTTTTGGTATGACTCCGGTTGGTGAGATAATTAGATTGTCGGGCTTTTGTATATAAGGTCCCCGTAATCTGCCAGATTTATGTTCTTTACAAATTTTTTGGTGAAGAAATTTCTTTCGATTTTGATCGGTCAATTTATTTTTGGGAATTTTTCTATTCAATGTACCTTGAAAAGGGATTCTGAAACCATGTGTAAACCCTTGTTCCAATTTTTCTTTTTCTGTTGGATCATATCCCTCTAGAAATGGGATCAATTCATTAATATTTACCGGAGTGACAATGGAAGCATCATCATTACATCTTAAATCAGACAATGGAACAGTATTCAAAGGTTGATCAAAAGTTTTTTGTAAATGAACCAACAAGTCTGGAATGACAATTGAAGCTTCATCGTTGCGTATTAAATCGGACAAAGGAGTAGTAATGGGTTGATCCAAATCTTTTTGATCCTGAAATAATAAGTCTGGATTGACAATCGAAGCATTGTCATTGTGAATTGAATTGTACAATGGACTAATGTTGGAAGGTAGATCCAAAACTTTTTGATCATGACTGGACAAATCTGTTTGATTTTTTGTCAAAAAACTCTTTTCTGAAATTTCAACTGTTTTTTCATGTAGCCTCGGAGGACCAGTTTTTGAAATGATTTTCTTTACAGGCACTATACTTTGGAAATTTGGATTGATATTGTCACAGCTCAAATGACTTATTTTTGTAATGTCAATTTCATGATTTTGATTACTTTTTTGTTTGTTTTCCACGAAAAGGATTTTTCAGTGCTTTCTCACATTTTATGGCAGGGTGTACTTTTTCACAGGCCGGGCAGGAATGGGAAAGCTTACACGACTGTCCCAAGGAGCAGTCATCCTCCTTATGAAATTTAAAGCAGTATCCCATTGGGATAAAGGGGACCACTTTATCTTCCTTGCGAGCGCGTTTTTCTTTTTTATGGAAATTATCTCCATCGCTACTCTTTGATGTCACATCATCTTTTCTACCCTTGGTTTTACCTAGAGCCCATTCACCCTTAGGAAGATTAAGACACTGACGCTCCATATTTTTATCGATGATTGCCCATGAACAAAGAGTTTTGGCTCTTTGTTTGCGAAACATGCGATCGTATTTCGCCCATGATCGACCTTCTTCCCTCATTTGCAGAATAAATGCTAGGTAGTCAATCAGGTCTCCACCTTCCTGAGGGTGTTTCATCAAGTAAACACGCATATAGATACAAAAGGCTTTCTGCCACTGAAGAAATTTCAGGTATTTGTCGGGCTTTTGTTCAGGGACATAAAGCTGTTTGTTGCTATTCACCCTTATTTGGGTAACTCTTTTAGAAGACGAGCCATCTTCATCATCACTGTCCTCCTCTTTTAGTAATTTCGATAGTTCGACAAATTTATTATCCCAAATTTTTTCTTGAATATGTTTTGGGATTGACAGGGTGATAGAAGCTGACCCGTCCACTGTTTTTAGTACATCATAGGCATTACCTCTAGTTTGTGGTAATGGAGCATAATACCCTGAGGAGATGTTGGGCATTGCCCAGTTGTTTGGACTCGAGTCCATCGGCCTTTGAGGGGCAGAAGGTGGTGCCATATGATATTGCGGAAATTGTAGATTGTGTTGATGCGTTGTCGTCTGAGTAGGAGGATATTGTCCAGTCATCGGATTGAAGGTGGGACCTGTTTGGAATGAACCTGTTGCCGGTATGTCACTCCCTAGACCCCAGATAGGCCATTGCCCTGGGATATATTGTTGTGTTTGGGGACTTTGTGGTACCTGGTGAAGATACGGGGCTTGTCCTTGTTGCCTCTGAGGTGTGTCAGCATTGATAGCCCTTGTCTCCCTAACATCCTGTGTAGTGTATTCTGCTGCACTGTCTTCGTCATCTTCAAACCCTGCATAGCCTAAGGTTTCCTTACTACTCTCTGAGGCATTAGCATTGATTTGTTTTTTCTTTAGTTTGATCAGTTTTTTCAGTTTTTTGTTCTTAGTTTTCAGTTTATCAAGCAAGATTGCTTTCTTAGACTTCACCTTAGCTCTTACAGATTTTGATGGCTTTGCCACCTTTCCTCCTGCGCTTCTTTTTCTTTTGTTTGAGACTTCTTTTGACTCCATACCATTCTGCAAGAACACAACCCGAATAAATCACCAAAGATTTCCTCCCAAAATATAATGAGCGAGCGACTCCTTGGGCAAAGTAAATACTTCACCGTAGAAGGATCTCAATGGTCAAAATAAACAGCTGTGTTAACCTGCTGGGGTATATATGCCATTCGTAGCCAACTTTATTTGAAATACATGTATGTATCTATTAGACTATTTATTACTTTTTATCTTCATATTCGATAACTGTTTAGGTGGCTCATAGTGCCACTATGAAATTTATATTAGTTATGAAGCATCTTAAAAAGATTTGCAAAATTTATATTAGTTATGAAACATATTAAAATGATTTATTCAAAAGCAGTGGTGAAAAAACTGTGAAGCCTTTGTATGGCATCCCACTGAATTAATATTGAGCAAACAGTAGGTGAAAACTAATAGAGCCAACATAAAAAAAAAAAAAAAAAAAAAAAAACCTTATTTACAGACCAAAAGCAAGCTTTTGGGGTTAGTCCTTCTTTTATTATGACTCTCCTACATGTTGCATTAACACATTCAATATTATGGTAAAGAATATATACTGAGCTAAAATAGCTATCCTAGTGATTAGAACTAACTTAGGTTTAAAGAATCAGCTATATTAATTAGAATGTTAGTGTACCGCTAATGCGTGTTATACATGCCTCCCTAATTAGATAAAAGTGACAGTGTTTGACACCCATATGCACACATATACGTATACATATATCACATTATATACATACATATAAGCAAACTCGTCAATATGCATGCACTATCGCTATATCTATCAGGTGAAACTATTGAGGCTTAAGTATGACTCGCTTACTGTAAGCACAAAATTTATAACTAGTAACTGCATAACTAAAAAACAACTTCACTAAAGTAGGTGCAAACTATGAGGTTAAATTTTATAAAAGAACCTCCCTACTTTAATAATAACTGACAGTACCTACAGCAGGTGAAAACTATGAGCATAAATACAGACATAGCCTTCCTACTTAGATAATCTAAACTTTAAACTGTTGTTATCTCAATTTTGTAGGTGAAACTGGTAAGGCTTATATTTAAACTCCCTAATGTAACTGCAACATCATTTTAAGAGGGTAAGACTATGAGGTTTCTTAAAACACCTCCCCTCTTTTAATTTACTTTTGTTTTGTTAACAATAGGTGCAAACTATGAGGCAAAGCAACTATTAAATACCTCCCTATTGGATAGAAATGAAAAAAGCCCACATACTCCATTTAAGGCAGAAGCAAAGCTCAATTGTCAAAATATAATGCTTATAACTAAATTGATCTAAATGCAGCTTGTACCACAAGTCCCACACTATAGAAACTGTTTTGTTATATGATCAGACTTACTTTTCTTTCCTAAAGTGGTGAGTATACCAGAAATGACACCCTTGTATACCCATTTTTTCATTGCATAATGAGTGAGGTGGGTACCATCAGCTAGTTTTTCTTTAAAGCTGTCATCAAAACCTTTAGTTTTCCAAAAGAAAACAGTGTTATTGTCAACCTCCATTTTAATAATATTGTTTACCATTCTGATGATATCATTGCATTTCTCCGCGTGAGAAACAGTTTTTATCCAGCGTCGCCTTTTTGTCATTGGCGTTATCCATCTATATAGTAGCGCCCCTATTACTATATGGCCATTCAATTTTAGCAGAGGCTTCAAATCCCGAACAATATTAAGGATATTATCAGCTATTTCCTGGGCCACCATATGAGAATCTGCTTGAAGGTTCCGAGAACGCGAGGAAGCATCATTGCCTCCAATCTGGAGAAATATCACCTCGTACCTGTCCTTAGGAATCAACTTCGTCATCTCATGAATCTGAAGCGTATCGCTTCCCGGTTTGAACGTATAATGTAATTTGAGTCCCTGACCCGAAATGCGTAAAGGGTGTTCCGTCAGGTACTCCTTCAAGGACCTAACAAAGCTGTGTCCAAGTAATAGACACGGGGTCCTCATATTGACACTCTATAAAATATATAATTATGTAAAATGTCAATCTGATATGTTAGTGAAATATAAATTTGTAAACATGTATTAGTAAAACTTTTAACTTCTGTGCATGAAACAACTGAGCAGACTCAAGTCATGGTGTAAAAAGACTAGGCAAGTCTCAGTCGAAAACAATTTTTGCTGGGAAATTTTCTTTCGCAAAATTTTCATGCACATCAAGTACTTAATTAACATGTTTAGTAAATAACTTTTAACTTCTGTGCATGAACAACTGAGCAGACTCAAGTCATGGTGTAAAAAGACTAGGCTAGTCTAAGTCGAAAAAAAGAAAAATTTGTTGAGAAATTTTCTTTTGCAAAATTTTCATACACAACAAGTACTTACTTACTCTCTAAGGGACAACTAGCTCCTAAAACTACCCGTCGAACGGAAAAGAGAGTAAAGTGACTTACCAACTTGGGGTTTTCAATGTAAAACACACGTTAACACACTTTAAGATATCTCACGTGTATCATCAAAGATGGCGGGACAGGAGAACGATACCTCTCGTCTTCTCTCGTGTTGTCTCGCGAAGTACTTCCGGTTCATACATCTGTTCTGAAATGTGCTCAAAATAGTGTTAGTCGGACGTGTCAAGCAGTCCTCTTTAAGAACACGAATCTCAATAGTATCGTAAGTAAATGAGTACTCTTTAAGGCCACATAAAACATTATATAGTGCTATATAATTTATATAGAAGGAAAATTCAGGATCACAATGATTTTTACATATTTAAAATCGGACTAATGGTTGCGAAGTTACAGTGGAAATTCATCTTGATGTTTCCTGAAAATCTCCGGACATCTGGGAGACAGTAAACTTTGAATAAGTCAAAATTTGAGAATTTCTATAAAAATGCCTTCACTTCAGTGTGGAATATCTATGGTTTGAAGCTATAAAATCATTTTGTGACACCCAGAGTGTAAACTATTAGATACAACAAGTTGACTTGTTAAGGTTTCTGAATTTCATATGTCATAGTCAAAGGAGGATTTGAGTTGGAAAATTAGTGTGACATGCAAAATTTCTGGCTGCCATCTTGGATATGTATCAGATGCTGGCACAGTTTTGCCAGAAGTTTGCAAGAAGTAACTTTTGGCAATGCAGTATGTTAGAGTAACCTAATAGGTGTAAGAAAATATAAGGTGATGGCCTTTAAAGTGGTAAAAACAATTTTCACAGCCGAATTTGACTTCAATTCCTGCGATTTCAGGGGGTACTATAAGACTATTTCATAACATAAAGGATATAGTTGCTATTGTTCTGCTTTCTACAGCACACATTTCTAGTCCAAAGATGAATAATATCCTAAAGTTATAGGCCGATATCTGTATTGGTCTCAGAAATATTGCAATTAATAGGAAAAAAATATGCAATTTTAGTCATTTTTAAGTCTCACATATCTTATATTTGTAGCTTCCAGCAAAAGATGGCAGCTTAAATAGCTCAAAATTGTTTTCTAAAAACGAATTCAAGCTTTGTTTGATATTGTAATACAATTGTAATAATGATAATGTACTATTTATGATTTTTAATATGACTTTATAGTACCCTACCCCTGGGAAGTGGGCGTGGTCAATGTTATTATTTTGCAGCATACAATTAAAAACTTGTATTGATTGAAAGCAAATCAATGCATATAAAACATCTTCACTTGTTACTTGACAATGTTATTCATTTATTATTAAAATATAGGACTCTACATATTTTATATATACAATTTCAATTTTGTACAATGTATCATAATGAAATCTAATAGGCTGTTTCAATTTACAAACTTTTTCTCGGATCACCTTTACCTTTTGACAAAATGATCTACTATATGACCAATAGCCACAAAAAATAGCAGAACTGATCAACGTTTAAACCCCCCCCCCCCCCTACCCCTATGTTTGTTTTGTATGGGGTCCGCCACAATGCAACAAGTCCATTTTCAGTGCTTACTATCACATGGAATATAAGTCACAATGTTTCCACAATATCTGGGCAATGAGATAGTGCCATTAAGAATATGTATGCCCAGATTCAAGATCATGGTGTAAATGCTTGCCGATCTATCGGCTTTCAAAAATGAGGAAAGCTGTCTTGAGTGCCGTTTCAACTAATTTTGAATTAAAACTGCTACTTATGAATTTTTTTCTCAACAACTGTGATTTGGTTAGAGTCCAAACACAGGATATCAAGACATAGTGCTACCAAATTCTGGTATTGAAAATTTCAGAGCTCTAGATCAAGTATTCATATCTGCATGGACTCTTAAAAAGACCCAAAAGACACAAAATGCAGTCAGATATCGCGAAAAAATGTGACAAAATGCACTATTCAGAACAATTTATCTCTTAAATTTTACTTTTATGTACCATAATTTCTGATTCTGCCTCTAGTTAGTAATACCAATAATACATTGAGTAGACTTAAGGTCATAGTAAGTGTAGTTACAGATTTATTAGCATCTAAAAATGGGAGAAGCAGTGTAGTGTAGCAAGTGCAATTTTCACCTATAATTCATAATATTAAACTGCAGCTTTCAGGATTTTCTTCTCTAAAACAAGAATTCCGTGAGACCCCAAAAAACAGGATTCCATATCACTGTACCACCAAATATATATGAGAGTAGTTTTAGGAGGTTATATCAAATAATCATTGAACCATTGACACCTAAAAATATGCAAAATACATTCAGAAATGGTGAAATTGTGATTGTGAAAAAATGTATGTATTCTTAACAATTTTTTAACTAAACTGTATTTTATTTAGAACTGAAACTTGAAGTGCTTACTAGGAGTTACATCTAGTTATTATTTATTAAGTGACTTCAGCATCCGGGTTGATATAATATAGGAATATCCTATGGTTTTGAAAAAATATCATTTATATCCATGAGTGGATATTGATATTTTCATGAGTGAGCGCAGCGAGTGAGTGAAGATATTTGTATCCATGAGTGGATATAATTGATATTTTTGAAAAAAAAATTATTTATCCCATGGGAAATCATCATCAGCGAAAAAATATAACTCGAGAAAAAATTTGAAAAAAAATTGTGAAAAAATGTTGAATTTTTTTAAAAATACTTTTGAAAATAATTCAAAAATGTAAAAAGAAATTTTTTTTCGAAAAAATTCGAAACCATGGAATATCACTTTTCAAACCACCGAATATCACTTTTTAAGACGTGATATTCGATAGTTTAAAAGTGATATTCGATGGTTTGTGAATTTTTTGCTAAAATATTATAACTTGATCCACATATCAAATGTATCTTCATGTGATATTCGATCTATATCCTTGCAACCATGGGATAATCACTGATATGCTTAAGACCAAAAAACCTATAAAGAATGTTATTATTGAATACTGAGAATACATTGTTTTTACATTACGGAGCTTTATTTCTACCTGAAAGTATTTTGGAACATATCTCTTGCTTAAATATTTCATGCAATGTTACTTTCAAAAACTTTCTTAGAACAATTAGTCCATCCTATACTTTTACATGTTATTCTCCATTTCGTTTTTAAAAATTGTGGGAGCTTTAAACTCTAGAAGAGCTTAATTACCAATTATACCATGCACCCTCTTTGCCCTCCGTCGCATTTTTCTTAGAATGGCCAGGCATATTTCAAATTGAAGAGTAAAGTCAGTTAAAGTGATATATAGCTGTGTATTACATACCTAGCGAAGCATTTGTATGGAAGTCAATGGGAAAGTTGGCGAGCTATATCCACCGATATTGCCCGATTACCCCGATATAGCCCGCTTACCTCGTTTTGATATTAGATTTCTTTAATAACCATGATAATATCATGACGTCACGTCATTGATACAAAGTAACCATGGGAACAAAGGTATGTAATACATCAGTTATGTCACTATGACGTGAAATATGCCTTCGTTCTTGCCCAAATATAGAGCCTCCCAAGGTCGGCCTATATTGGGAGAACTCAGGCATATTTTACGTCATAGTGACATAACCTCTAAATATTATGAGGTTATATAATGGTTCTTTCTGTATATCGTGTTTATACTCGAGTGAGTATATGATATATTCACAAGTGAGCGTAGCGAACGAGTGAATATATTATATTCTCACGAGAGTATAAAATGCACGATATGCAGAATGAACCATTATATAATCTTATTATGCCACTCTAATTCAATTACAGTTGATTCGAACACAATCATAACAATTAAAAAACATAAAAATATCCCATAGCCAACTCAATAATGCTGATGTTGATCTCGAACCATTTATGATGTGGCTTGATTCTAGGAAATCATGAAAAGTTTCATGATTTTTTTTATTCATTAGTTCCCAGAATGCACTTCTACAGTGGTATACGCTGGAGTGTATACGGAGGAGTTGTATACGATGACGATATACCACTCTCCACTGTATATCGTTGTTATAGACCCGTGTTATACAACTGTAATTGGACTTAGAGTGGTATAAAACAACGTATCTTTCACTTGATACTGTGATGTCAAGCTTAAGCATTCAAACAGTGTATTTTGTTCCAAGATACAATAAAGTACTGATTTCATTTATTTATCAATTCAGATGCCTTGGAATTAAAGTAAACACTTGGTATATATTACCAATATTATTTTTACCTATTATTGGTGGTACAATGACCAGGTTTCCTTTAATGTCTTTGGTCTTACTGTGCAGTTTGTAAAAAGAAAATTCAGAAAGTTGCAGTCTTAGATGAAAAACTGGTGAAAATCATACTTGCTACAGCTTTTCCCATTTTCAGAAGCCAATAGATCTGTACTTCCACTTACTATGACGTTAAGTCTTCTCATATGTATTATTGGTGGTACTAACTGGAGGCAGAATCAGAAATTAAATAAAAGTAACATTTAAGAGATAAATTGTTCTGAATAGTGCATCTGTCATATTTTTCACGATATCTGACAGGTTTTTTGTCCTTTTGCCTCTTTTCAAAAGTACATGCAGAAGTGAATATTTGATCTAGAGCTCTGAAACTTCTAATATCAGAACTTGGTAGCATTATGTCATGGTATCTTATGTTTGGGGTCTAAAAAAGTCACAGATGTTGAGAAAAATATTCATTAAGCAGCAGTTTCAGTTCAAAGTTAGTTAAAAGTTAAAACTGCACTCACGACAGCTTTCTCTATTTTTGAACGCCGATAGATCGGTAAGTATTAGTATTAGGACCTTGAAACTGCTCATATTATGTAGTCTTTGTGGTACTTTCTCATTGCAAAGGTAATTTGGAAACACTGTGACTTACATTTCATGCGTTAGTGAACACTGAAAATGAACCAGCCTATTAGATTTCATCATGATACATTGTACAAAATTGAAAACGTATATATAAAATATGTAGAGTCCTATATTTTAGTAATGAATGAATTACAATGTCAAGTAACAAGTGAAAATGTTAAAAATGCATTGATTTGCTTTCTATCAATATAAGTTTTTAATTGCATGCTGCAAAATGATAACATTGACCACGCCCACTTCCCAGGGGTAGGGTACTGTAAAGTCATATTAAAAATCATAAATAGTACATTATCATTATTATAATTGTATTACAATATCAAACAAAGCTTGAATTAGTTTTTAGAAAACAATTTTGAGCTATTTAAGCTGCCATCTTTTGCTGGAAGCTACAAATATAAGATACGTGAGGCTTAAAAATGACTAAAATTGCATATTTTTTTCCTATTAATTGCAATATTTCTGAGACTAATACAGATATCGGCCTATAACTTTAGGATATTATTCATCTTTGGACTAGTAATGTGTGCTGTAGAAAGCAGAACAATAGCAACTATATCCTTTATGTTATGAAATAGTCTTATAGTACCCCCTGAAATCGCAGGAATTAAAGTCCAATTCGGCCGTGAAAATTGTTTTTACCACTTTAAAGGCCATCACCTTATATTTTCTTACACCTACTAGGTTACTCTAACATACTGCATTGCCAAAAGTTACTTCTTGCAAACTTCCGGCAAAACTGTGCCAGCATCTGATACAATAAGAAAATATGCAGAAATTATATGCTTAGATTTATTAATTTTGTTTAAGGAGTACGGGTCATTGGTTTACTTCTATATTACTTGCAATAATGATAATATTGAAGAGGTGAAATTCAGGATTATAGTGCTCTTTGCGGATTTAAAATTGAACTAATGGTTGCAAAGTTATTGCAAAAATGAATCTTCATTGTTTTACAAGAGTATCCAGACATCTGGGAGAAAATAAGTCCAAAATATGAGGATTTTTAGAACAAAGTGTCTTCACTTCAATCAGGAATATCTATTGATGTCAGCTATAAAATCATTTTGTGACACCCAGAGTGTAAACTATTAGATACAACAACTTGGTTGTTAAGATTTCTGAATTTCATATTTCATAATCAATGGAGGGTTTGAGTTGGAAAAATGGTGTGACATTCAAAATTTCTGGCCACCATCTTGGAGGAGTAAATAAGCAGAAATATGCTTATTTTTACATATTTTGATGGTTTTTCTGTCTTAAAATTGCCAAAATTAAAAAAATGAAGTAAATAAACATAGAATCATAGGTGACAAGTACATCTATATTGAAATAATAACACATGACATAGTAAGTTGGCATATAATAGCTGTAATTGCATAATTTTGAGGTTGTCCGGACTAAACCCAGAAGTGACTGAACCCCTAATTACATTTGTTTTGGGTGTATACTTTTTGTTTTGACAATAAACAAAAATATTCCCGCACTATATGGTGCATCATGGGTAGGGACTGCTGTGAAAAAATGAACGTAAGTGACATCTATCTCAAATTAAATGTTCCTATAAGTTATTAATTGCGCATGCGTGATAATAATTTTAACCAATTAAATTGCTGGATTTATTGCGCATGCCCTAAAAACCGAACCAAAAAATGGAATCTCGCGCAGATTGCCTCTAGTGACTTTCTTGCACTCAGATTTTTAGGGCCAAGTCACAGTAACTGACTGTCGATTGCAGTCAAAAGTTTGATTGGCGTCGACATTGTTCTGGTTCTTATTTCACTTGGTTGATGTATATGTTACTTCGACCATGGGGGTTATTTCGACAATGGCCGATCATTCAAATTTCCAGGTTTGGTCATTTTGGATTAAGATTGTGTCTGGTGGACTGCATAGATTAAAATAGCCCCATGGTAAAAAAGCACCACGATGAAGTAACCCCCCCCCCATCGAGTTTCAAAGGAAGACTCCTTCTTCTTACTTGTAAATGTAAAGAATATTACAACATTTACTCTCAGATGACAGAGTTCTTTGAAAGAGGGTAGGGCCTATTATTCTCAATTCAAAAATTAAACAAAGTTTAAAACTTTTTAAATTTCCATTTTCTACCAACATTTTCGTCTTTTTGGGGTTATGTTTGGAGTTATGGGTGTATGCACAAGACTTTAGACCATTCCCTCACTTACTATTTTAAGAACTTGATACTCTGAGGCAGTGATTTGGCCGGGGATTTGGCCATCTTCGTGACCTTGACCTTAAATATATACAGATGAACAGCTTCTCTATCTGGTGATCTCTCCAGCATTAAAGCAAGTGAGTGCAACACCCGAGAATTTGAAAATAGGCTTGCACCCACCTGAAAATCCATGTGAAAATGAGAAAAATCATGAAAAATTGGCATATTTCGGCCAATTTTGGTCTTACATGTAATTGTGAAAATAACAATTTCGCAACCACCTGAGAAAAAATCCTGGGGAGATCACTTCATATCAATATTTCATGATTTTTCATTTTAAAATCACCTCACCACTCAGGAAATGAGTGTTTTTGACGCATTTCTTATTATAATTCCAGCTACTCATGCAAAGAGAATGGGTATGTCACGAATGAAGTTTAAAATAGATCCCCCATCTATGGAGGGGCCTCCTGAGTTCCTCCGCACAATCAGAGCTCAGTAAGTATTGACCAATTAAAACTTATTCAGCCGAGCGACTTTATTATAATTGATTGTTACCGTGACATAAAAAAGGATGCGATCTCTGTTCGCTGACTAATAGGTTGTTCTTTAAATCGTCTTCAAAATGACAGGTTAATTCATAGGTTAATCCGGTAGCAGACAGCCGAAAGTTGCATTCGCAAATACAAGCTTAAGCCCATAATTAGCACATCTCTTATCCTAGTTAAAATTTCTATTTAAGAAAAATAGAAAAATAAAAACTGGTCAATTGGTAACTTTTCAAAAAATAATTCCCAGTAAGTAGTTTAAAGCTTCAGTGGTCCTAAGTTATATTTTCTTACATTTCAGACAGAATGGCCTTGAGTTCTACCCTATATTTATTGTAACAATGTGGATATCAGCCATCTTTCTCCATCAAGGTAAATTGTGATGATTTGAGTGACAGCTATATCTTGATATCTTCCCCATTCAGGCTTTTTAAACTGAAGTCAAGGAGGATTGGCTCCCAGAGTGCAACATCGATATTTTTGCCATATATGTGCATGTCGTGATTACAAAATTTGAAATCAAACAGCCGCCATTTTGTTCACTCCGACATTTGAATAGTGAATTTTAGTCTTATTTCCAAACGAAAAATTCCAAAACTGACAAGAAATGATTGAGATATTGATTCAAATCTTTTGAATTGTTTATTTTGAACTTATAGTCCGCTGTAATTTCAGAAAATAAAGACATTGCAATGTTTTCATTATTAGAAAATATTTAGTCTCGATCCTGGAAGCCAATCCTCCTTGACTGAAATTATAGAAAACAAAGTCCCTTGGTGGCACATGTATCTTATCTACATGTATTAGCTTGAATTTGTTTCCACTCACCATTGTAAAGGTGGTCTACTTGTCTTTAATTAAAGGCCATTTATTCCTTTCATGTAAAACCAAAAAGTGATTTCTCTTGATTTTTCTCATTTTCAAGTGGGTGCAAATGGGTTTAAGCCTGTTTTCAGAATTTCAGGTGGGTGTAAGCTCACTTGCTTTAATGCTAGAGAGATCACTGTATTCCAATGGCCCACTATTTTTGTGACTAGCTGTTTGCATTTTAACGTTTGAAGAATTGTTTCACTGTTGTTATTATTTTCAATAACTAAGAGGTAGTTGCATTTTATCATGAACGTTAAAAGTATTTTCAATTTATTGGTCGTAAAATTCCGACCATACGAACGGGGATTCGCAACTCTGGTAACACCAATTTCAATTGTTCTATATCGTAAGATGAAATACTATGTACAGTGTGTACCTGTGTGCAGTAAACACCTATCACCTATAGAGCCACAAAAATATGTTCACTGTACTAGGTAGGTGTTCACTACAGAGCGGGACTTTAAGCAGAAGTCAGTAAGGTATGTAACAAGTGTTTATTGGAGGTGTTCACTAAGACAAGTTTTACTCTATTTTAGTTCCTGCTGCCCTAGTTGGGGTGCTGTATATCTATGCTAGGCAGAATTACTTCAATGGTTACATCAAAGATGCCAAATCGAGGTAAGATCATATGTTAAAGCAATAGAGACTTTGTTATATACATGTTAAAGCAATAGAGACTTTGTTATATACATGTTAAAGCAATAGAGACTTTGTTATATACATGTTAAAATGATAGAGACTTTGTTATATGCATGTTAAAGCGATAGAGACTTTGTTATATACATGTTAAAGCAATAGAGACTTTGTTATATACATGTTAAAATGATAGAGACTTTGTTATATGCATGTTAAAGCGATAGAGACTTTGCGATATAGATAGATAAGGAGACACGTTAAATGCATTGTCAAATATTTCTGTTTGGATGATGTAAAATTCTTTGGGCATCCACATTAAATGATCTTGTAAACATGCAGATTGTGATTTATCACCTTACAATATTGTGATCCTCAATAGAATTAATCAATCTTTCAACATTTTTAACATTATGTTAATGGGAATTTAGCATTGTAGAATTGTTACATTTTTCCATGTGCTTTATGTTTTTTCTTTCTTTTTGATAGGGTTGGTCCATTCAAAATGAGTGTTATGGCATTAAGTGGTTACATATTCTAATGATAGTTAAACTCTGTGTTAATGGGAATTTAGCATTGTAGAATTGTTACATTTTTCCATGTGCTTTATGTGGTTTTTTTCTTTTTGACAGGGTTGGTCCATTCAAAATGAGTGTTATGGCATTAAGTGGTTACATATTCTAATGATAGTTAAACTCTGTGTTAATGGGAATTTAGCATTGTAGAATTGTTACATTTTTCCATGTGCTTTATGTTTTTTCTTTCTTTTTGATAGGGTTGGTCCATTCAAAATGAGTGTTATGGCATTAAGTGGTTACATATTCTAATGATAGTTAAACTCTGTGTTAATGGGAATTTAGCATTGTAGAATTGTTACATTTTTCCATGTGCTTTATGTTTTTTCTTTCTTTTTGACAGGGTTGGTCCATTCAAAATGAGTGTTATGGCATTAAGTGGTTACATATTCTAATGATAGTTAAACTCTGTGTTAATGGGAATTTAGCATTGTAGAATTGTTACATTTTTCCATGTGCTTTATGTTTTTTCTTTCTTTTTGACAGGGTTGGTCCATTCAAAATGAGTGTTATGGCATTAAGTGGTTACATATTCTAATGATAGTTAAACTCTGTGTTAATGGGAATTTAGCATTGTAGAATTGTTACATTTTTCCATGTGCTTTATGTTTTTTCTTTCTTTTTGACAGGGTTGGTCCATTCAAAATGAGTGTTATGGCATTAAGTGGTTACATATTCTAATGATAGTTAAACTCTGTGTTAATGGGAATTTAGCATTGTAGAATTGTTACATTTTTCCATGTGCTTTATGTGTTTTTTTCTTTTTGACAGGGTTGGTCCATTCAAAATGAGTGTTATGGCATTAAGTGGTTACATATTCTAATGATAGTTAAACTCTGTGTTACTGCGAATTTAGCATTGTAGAATTGTTACATTTTTCCATGTGCTTTATGTTTTTTCTTTCTTTTTGACAGGGTTGGTCCATTCAAAATGAGTGTTATGGCATTAAGTGGTTACATATTCTAATGATAGTTAAACTCTGTGTTAATGGGAATTTAGCATTGTAGAATTGTTACATTTTTCCATGTGCTTTATGTGTTTTTTTCTTTTTGACAGGGTTGGTCCATTCAAAATGAGTGTTATGGCATTAAGTGGTTACATATTCTAATGATAGTTAAACTCTGTGTTAATGGGAATTTAGCATTGTAGAATTGTTACATTTTTCCATGTGCTTTATGTGTTTTTTTTCTTTTTGATAGGGTTGGTCCATTCAAAATGAGTGTTATGGCATTAAGTGGTTACATATTCTAATGATAGTTAAACTCTGTGTTAATGGGAATTTAGCATTGTAGAATTGTTACATTTTTCCATGTGCTTTATGTTTTTTCTTTCTTTTTGACAGGGTTGGTCCATTCAAAATGAGTGTTATTGCATTAAGTGGTTACATATTCTAATGATAGTTAAACTCTGTGTTAATGGGAATTTAGCATTGTAGAATTGTTACATTTTTCCATGTGCTTTATGTGTTTTCTTTCTTTTTGACAGGGTTGGTCCATTCAAAATGAGTGTTATGGCGCTACAATTAGGACTAGTGATGTCACTATTTGGTTTACTGCAGATGGGACTCTTGAATTACGCAGGAGTCAATCTCAAGATGGAGGCCATTAGGCTCTACAAGTCTGTTGGAGGGCCTGATTTGATGTCATAAGAGGAATCCTGATTTGATGTCATAAGAGGAATAATGTCTTACAGCATAATGGATTCAATCTCATATAATATCAGGAGTGATTTTGAATAATATCTGGTGTCATAAGAATGATTTTATACTATTACTGCACAATGGACTTAATCAGATGTCATAAGAGGAATGATGTCATATTGCACAAGGTACTTAATCCAATGACACTAGAAAAATGATATACTACAAGATTGACTTAAATATTGTGTGTAGATAGAAAATATATTTTCCAAAATTATGCGATTTCAAAATATTTGCGACAATTGGTCTTACCATTCCTTGCCATGTCTGTTTTCATACATGGTCAATTTTTGTGTTTATTTTTTAAAGATGTGAATACTGGCTTAACTGTTTAACTTGCAGTTGACTGAAATCGCAATATACTAATTCTGTGCCATATCAACAATTTAAGTTTCCATTATTAATTATTTTATAATTAACTGTACTCATTAATTGATATTAAATTAAAATATTTAGCATGAAAGTTTTAGGGGGAAATAACTATTACATGGCACATGTATAGACTGACTGCATGTTTGCACAAAACATACACGCAAATATATTTTTACATTTTATATATTTTTACAATTAAATGTTATATTCGGAATAGTGCATGTAGTAAAATAAATGAGGTTTTTAGAAATTACTGTATTTTGTAATGCTTGTTACAGAATTTATTCTGATATCATGTTCTCTGCCCCATAAATCTAAGGTAGCATTCACAAATTCAACTATCGGCTGACGGTTTCATTGCTGTTTTATGGCCAACTCATTTAAATATAAAGTACATGTAGTACCTCATAATTTAATGAGTTGGACATAAAATACGATCATATCAAATCGTCATTCTGAAGTTGAATTTGCAAAATGCTAGCTAATAAAAATGTTCCCTTGTTTTGTGGTTTTCTCACTGAGATGACCTACCTGTACAGTCTGATTCAAAATTCTATTTAGTACTTTGAATTAAAAAAGCAATAAAATGACCATATTGCAACAGTGTATGAAAAAATATACAAAAGTAAACAAATGTACAAGACCTAACTTTTGTATATTTCAGTTAGTTTTGTAGTTTGGCTATCATATGTGTGGCCTCTTATATTTTGATGCTTCTCTGCCATGTTATTTTCGGAAAAATTAACATGGCTGAAACTCCCTAAATTACAAAAGGCCACCGCTCTACTGCACATTATACCTCTGTACCTGACTATCTGAAATATGCAAAAGTTGGGTCTTGTACCGTACATATGTTTCTATTTTTTATCTACCTAACAAAGGATACGATATTGTAGTCAGCTTGACGGGCGGGTGGGCGGGCAGGCGGGCGGGCGGCATCTCACTTTTCAGCTTGTCTACAGGTTTCCAGCCAAACCATTTGAGGGATTCATCTGAAATTTACAGGGATGTTTCTACATATCAACGTCAAGAACTGATTAGTTTTTGGGCATTCTGGGTAAATCTTAAGGTGGCCATTTTGGATTTTCCGTCCTAAAATCTTCACTTTCAAGATTTGTCTACAGGTTTCCAGCCAAACCATTTGAGGGATTCATCTGAAATTTTCAGGGATGTTTCTACATATCAACGTCAAGAACTGATTAGTTTTTGGGCATTCTGGGTAAATCTTAAGGTGGCCATTTTGGATTATCCGTCCTAAAATCTTCACTTTCAAGTGTCTACAGGTTTCCAGCCAAACCATTTGAGGGATTCATCTGAAATTTTCAGGGATGTTTCTACATATCAACGCCAAGAACTGATTAGTTTTTGGGCATTCTGGGTAAATTTTAAGGTGACCATTTTGGATTTTCCGTCCTAAAATCTTCACTTTCAAGACTTGTCTACAGGTTTCCAGCCAAACCATTTGAGGGATTCATCTGAAATTTTCAGGGATGTTTCTACATATCAACGTCAAGAACTGATTAGTTTTTGAGCATTCTGGGTAGATCTTAAGGTGGCCATTTTGAATTTTCCGTCCTAAAATCTTCACTTTCAAGACTTGTCTACAGGTTTCCAGCCAAACCGTTCAAATTTTTACATATGTTACACAGTGATAAGTTCTAGAGCTGATTAACTTTTCTGCGGCCATCTTGCTTTCTTGGTCAACAAGACCACAATGCTGTGTTTTAGGTACGATATTGTTCATGTCTGTGCCTTGTTCATAAACTGTTGCAATATTGTCATTTGATTGCTTATTTTTTTAATTCAAAGTACTAAGTAGAATTTTGAATTGGACTGTACATGTACGGTAGGTTACAATATTGTCGTTTTTCGATGAATTAAAACAAGCATTCACTCAAGAAAATATGAATTATCTGTGACTACTCACGACTGACGACAGACTTTGTAGTTCACGACTATGAATTATTGGAGCATGTGTATTGGACGGTGACCAACCCTACTCCTTCCTTTGATGGTTAAAAGGCTAACAGCCTAAAGAAAATTAGCTTTGCTGTGCTTATAAAGATGTCGCACGTTTAATTTCAGTCACTGAATATTACATTTAATTTTTTATTGTATTGTAAACCTTGTTGGGAAAATATAAATGTTTTTAAATTTGAATACAATTAGTTTATGCATTTGTTGTTTGTGAGACTGGTCTATCTCATAATTTATATGAAACATAACGTTTATTTGTTTACAAGAAATAAATATATTATAGGCCTAAGTGATGGTTGCATCAAGGAGCAAAAAGTATTTTCTGGGTCACTGCGAATGGCATGATTTCCTCGAGTCTCTTCAGTTGCAAGGCAACCATACTGGGACCGATTCGTGTCGTTCCACTACTGCCCTTGGTGGGGGCTCGCTACCATACTGTATGCCTCCCGGAGTTTACTAAAGCACGTCAGTGGAGGAACCAACCACAGTCTCACAATCTGTCTCTGGCAAGAGCGGCCAGAGAACCGGCCCATGTCAAGGGCCGGTAAACGGTTGGACCTTCGGACCGGGTGTCCTGTAGTGAAATGATCAACAACTCCGTACCCGGGGCTCGAACGCGGGACCTCCGTATCCCATCGGACGTTCGACCCACACAGTAGTTTCTACGCCACGAGGCTACCCTGCTGAGGTGTCAAAACTGCTCAAAAAGTAATAGTTGTTCTAATATTTTGCTTGAATAAACATGAACATGGCTATACTAATCCCATTTTCTCAATTACTTGTATTTTGTATTCGAATAACAATTAACTAACGAAAACAACAACCAGCAAACGCAAACGTGCAAATTGGCTAATTGTGAGTTCCTCGTATAAAGGCAAAATATAGGCAATGCAAGAATTCCCCGGGAAAGATTCAGTTAAAGGCAACACTCTTAAACATGTTCTTCAGGTTGGGTAATCAAATCACAAAAAAATTTTTTCTTCTTTTCACAACCTTTATTTTACTAAACAGGACGTTTCGGATATCCCCAATGGTCCGTTTCCTCAACAATGAAAAATGTAAAACGTAAGGTCAATCAAGATGAAGAGGAAAAGCCGTTGGGAACCGTAGTGTCACCGTATATCAATTTGTTTTCAAAATCATCTACATGTTTTCCGAAGTTCTAATCTGACTTTATATTTAAGATTTGACCTTTGATCACCTTTTCACGATCAAAAAAGGTCTTTTTTCAACTTGCTTCAAATTGACCATTTTTTCAAAATCATCTCTCAGTCTATAAGTTATCAGAAGTTCTAATCTGACTTAAGATTTGAGATTTGACCTTCAATGACCTTCTTAAGGTCAAAAAAGCTCAAAAAGACCAACTTGCTTCAAATTGACCAATTTTTTTCAAAATCATCTACAAGTTCTCAGAAGTTGAAATCTGACTTAAGATTTCAAATTTGACTTTAGATTTGAGATTGGACCTTCAGTGACCTACTCAAGGTCAAAAAAGGTCAAAAAGCTCTTTTTTCAACTTGCTTCAAATTGACCATTTTTTCAAAATCATCAGACAAGTTCTCAACAGTTCATATCTGACCATAGATTTGACCTTCAATGACATTCTCAAGGTCAAAATAGATTTGACCTTTAATGACCTCTTCAAGGTCAAAAAGGTATTTTTATCTTGCTTCAACTAAGTGGTGACATTTTGTCATGTTAATGCCTTGTGTAAATTTATGGTTGTAAATTAATGGTATATGCGTACCTGACAATTATCACGAACTACGTACGTGAAACCAGAAGAACTTCCACTTGAAAAGCTTAAGAAAGAGGTGAAACATGATGAAACCGACAATAATGGGCACGTATGGGAGTCTTCATAATCCTCTAATTCCATATACTTTTATCTGATTTAATTCTGTTTTGGATGCTTGACAGAAAGCTGTTTTGAATGTCTTTACTTTTAACGGTCCTTTTCACAACCATCATTGAAGATAAGTCAAAGTAAACTTTGTGAGTGCTAGAAGTCAAATTATTGTTTGGAATTCCGGAAATGCATTCTTCGAAATGCAGGAATATGTGACAAGAAGTATTGATCTTTTCTAAATACAAAATGTTTCTTAGAAAAACATAAATAACATTATTTTGATCCATTTGGATTTTCACATAGACTACTTTAAAATACTCTAGTCACGTGCCATCGGTTGATCCCTATTGAATTTTGATAAAACAACAACCCAGCTCGCGCAAACGTGCAAATTGGCTTATTGTGAGTTCGTCGTTTAAAGGCAAAATATAGGCAATGCAAGAATTCCCCGGGAAGAATTCAGTTAAAGGCAACACTGTTATGAGACTTCTATATCATGGTTTATATCAAAAATTTCGTTTTTCTGTAAAGTTTTTGGCGTTTGTCGAAAGGAGGTGTTTGCGTTCATGTTTAATCACACAATTCTTAAATAAGCGTCTCGAAAACATAGCAATATTTCGCAAGTTGGCATGTCATCTTCTATGTTTTTATTTAACAAAAAAACACGATTCATTATTATTGATCATGCGAAAATGATTGTGTGGAAAATGAATTTTAAGAAATTTCTTAGGCAGGGCACCCAAAAAGAATTCACACAATATGTGCTTACTAAGATAGCTAGTTCACAGTCGGTGTTTTCTATTTTGGGAGTGTAGGTTCCTAACCTAATGGGAACTCAGACAAGGACCTGTAAAGATATGTAGGATTATAA